AAAGCTAACGGACTCTGATAGTTTTGGCTGCATCGTGTTGGATGACATCAGGGACTTATACTCTACATGTACATGAGTACATTCGAGCCATCAAACTGAGACCGCGGTTCGCTGTCAGGCCCTCCTACACTAACCCTTACAGTCCCGATACGTGGTCGATCAGCTGGAATGTCTCTGACCAAATACATCCTCGCCAGATATTTTCAAGAAAATAAAATAAAAATAAAAAATAGAAACTTCAACTGTCTTTCCAGAGATGCAGATGCCTCGTGACAAACCGAGGCGGGCTCAAGTTCGTCGACCAACCGTCCGCCGTGGACCTGATTCGACGTGATTCAACGGGATTTGGCTTTTTTGACCGGTCTCACCTGTGCAACTGACATGATGAGAACCTAGACAATCGCTGCCAGATACCGACAATTTGATTCAGGGCATTGTTTTTGGCTTTGCAGCGCTCGGAATGGAAATTCCAGCCGGAGGAATCAAGTGTCGATGTTTGTCGTCTCTCGTTGGGAATGCCAGTGCCCTACGCTGACGGACTGCAGTTTCTCCTGCTGATTCCAAATAGGTAAGATACATGCAGATACTTAGCCACGCACAGTGGGTACATACAACGTACAAACACGCCGAGATTCTCTACCTAGCCCGTATGAAGCGGTCGGTTCCATGTCTTTGCACTGGGGGACATCGACGATGAAAAGTGCTTCCCTCCACGAATCGATCGCCATGGTCATCCATGGTCCACGGACAATCCACCCCCAGAGCTGACATCGCGTACTTCGCCATATAGAGGGCGCCGTCGAAAGGGAGCCGGCAGTCACCGTCCACATCTATTGATACCAAACGAGAACAGAACAAGGGACGCCACCAACCCAATTCCAAAAACTGAGGATACCGGATATCCATTTCACTCGTGGATGACATCTGCTGTCACACAAGGGGACGAAACTCGGTCATCTTGTGCTCAATCCCGGCCGATAGCCTTGACGATCCGGTTTTATCGTACGCTACACAGAGGACCCCTCCGTGTTGACAACCCTATTCCTAGCTTCCTCTGCAATGTAACGGGGGGCAAGGAGACAAATGGGTGCTTATTGTTCTTTCCTCTTTGTTTTTTCCTGTTCTTTTTCTTGTTTTCACTTTTATTTTTTATTTTTTCTAAATTCTTTTCTGCCTGGGGGTATTTCGTGTTCAGATTTCTCCTCCAATTCCCAAATTCCCATTCTTCAGGGTTTCCTTCCACAGCCCGTGTTCTCCCCGCCATTGGACCTGACCTAATCGATATTTGTGCATCGTCGACGTCGGGTGTGACTCTCGGATGATGCTACCATGATACCACACCATGCAACCTTCGCTTTCTCCTGGCCGGGGCAAACTTGGGGGAGGAGGAGGTCTAGATGGAGCCATTGGGTCGGAGAACGGATCTATTTTCCAGGAACAGTAGAAACTCCCCCCTTGTCCCTAGGGCAAATAAATTTTCTGGCTTCCTAGATATTCCGATTGACGAGCGTAGAAGAACAGTCACTAGCAAGCACATGTGAGCGATTTTTTGTTTTACATCTTTTCCACTTTTTTTAATATTTCTTTCTTTTTTATTTTCTTTCTTTCTCTTTCTCTCTCCCTTCCAACCAACAACATGGATCAAAATCCGGAGATCTCGGACTTGACCGAAACCTCATCCATGCTGGAGTGGATCAACCCAAGAGATGATTGACGTATTGACGTAGGAAACCGGACTGACTACCTAGCTAGGAAGTGTGGGATGTTTAACTTTAGTTTTAGTCAAGAACGACAGTTGGAGTCACTATACATTCTTCTCTGCATGATGGGGGGCAGAAGAAAGGGTCCGATGTCTGACCCCTACTTAGAGACGAAAAGTAGTGCGCACCCTCGTTTGGGCCCGTCTTACTCAGGCAACAAACCCACAGTACGGTAGGTAGGTAGGGCTTTTCTCCGTCATGTTTGCCTGGCTGTCAGCTTCTCCCTACCTCATCGGGCCGAGAATGAATAGTGTGGGTGATATACTATACTCCAAATAACGCTCTCGCCTAGCCTTTTAGTGTCGGAGTTACTAAGTTTGACGCATGAATCCCAATGGGTGAGAAGGTCCTGTATGTATGTGTGTATGTATGTATGTAGAATATCTGCCGTCATGGAATGGAGGGATCCATCCACCCCACACATTTCATACTCTGCTATATCATCCATAGCCTCACATGTCTACATACTGTGCAGAGACAAAAAATGTATACCTCCTACATACCTACGTGATAGGCAGTGACCCCAAGCCCCCAAGAAAAGACACCAGTTATAACTCTATCAGAATACGGTAGCCTTGAGACAACCATCCGATTAAGGCCGATGCAAAGCGCAAGAACGACAAGTAAAGAGAAAGACCCTTGCATGGACAACATTCCTCGAAACTTGTCCTTCGTTCTTTCGTTCTTTCGCTTGTCAATCTGTCAATCCATCCATTCTTTACGTTCTTCTCGCTGGCCCCCTCGGAGTCGCTTTCTACGGTTTCGTCTTCTTCTACCCTCACCTCTATGACTCAGATAAGCATGCCGGGTTTCCTGTAATGTATGTAGATGAGGGCTTTGTGAGTAGGTGGTCTCGGAGTTGACCGAAATTAGGTAGGTATTGGGTAAAGTAGCAGGCAGCTCTTCTCATTTTCCTCTGTTCCTGTCCATCTTTCTTCGTTTCTTTAAGAACGTAGGTATATTGATAAGGTAGATGGGTAGGTAGATAGATAGGAAAGCAGCACGTCAAAATGAAAACCCTCTAAAACCGTTGCTTTTCTTTGTATAAAAAAATCAAGCAAAGTAAATGACACGTTGGAGGGGGAAAAAAAGGGGGCCCTTTTTTCGGTATTCATCATTATTGACCAGATCATACAATACAAAGAAAAGATCGATCCTTAGTCATGAAGCAAGCCCGCCCTACGGGCGAATAAAAAAAAGAAGTGATCCAAAGTGTCGTGAAGCAAGATAAGGAGATGCGAGAGAGGAAAAAAGAGACGAAAGGTGTGAAGAGAGGAATTTTTTAGGTGGCACGCTTGGCGAACTCGACGCGGAGAATGAGATGGCGATAACCGACTATAGCAGAGAAAATGTTGTGTTAGTTTTGCATGGAATGGAATAGGGTCGGTAGGAGGTGGGAAAATCAATGGGTACGTACAGCCGTCCATCTTCTCGCAGGCGCGAGCAGCGTCGCTCCGATCCGCGAAACTGATGAAAGCGAAGCCCTTGGCCCGCTGGGTCTCTCTGTCCCGGGCCAAAAACACTCTGGTGACACGACCGAAGCGCTCGAATAGATCCCGAACCTCTGCCTCCTCGGCCAATTCGCTCACCTGGGAACCAGAAAGTTAGCATGCAAATTTTCATTGCGGTCCGGAGAACCGAAGACACAAGGATGTGCTGCAGGAGACTCACGTTTGTAACTCTCAGCGTCGCCAAATCGTCCTTCTCGTACTTGCCGGCCATTCTCTCGCCACCAGCAGCAGCACCCTTCCGCATATGAGGAGGCACGTAGCTGGAGGAGCTGGCTCCAAGACCACCGGCAGCGGCAGCTTCCTCGTCTCCACCCTCGGCGCCGGCGCCACCAGCAGACTCGTCGACCGGAGCCATGGTGTCCTTGAAGGGACAGCGAGCAGTGAAATGCTCTCCGCTGCAAATACGACACTTGACCTTCTTGTCCTTGAGCTGGTCCTTGATGCCGCCCTTCTCGCCGCCGGCCTTCTCCTCCTCCGCGGCCTGAGCCTTCCAGTTGATGCTGGGCCGGAACACGATGTTCTCGCCGACGGAGGTGGTATCGAACGAGGGTCCGGCAGGGTGGCCCTTCTCCATACCGAATTTGTCCCAGGCGCGTCGCTCAGCGACCCGGGGGTTCACATTTTCGCGGACAACGGTGGTTTTGATGCGGCGGGTCACCTTGACCTTCTTGTTGTCGTCGTTGAAGCGGTACGAGATCACTGTCTTGGTGCCATCTTTGTTCGTCGTGACTTGTTGCGGGGGGAGAGCGGAGGGGTCATCGAACTCCTCGTCGTCGGCCCAGTCGGCGCGGCTGGAAAAAAAAAATTTTGTCAGAAAAGGGGAGAGACGGACGTGCGCCAATTTTTGGGACCACTTTTCACTTACTTTCCTAGTTTGGACATTGTGATCTGTGGTGATGTGAAATCGTTGCTGATTTTCTCGGATTTGAACGAAAGGGCGATTCTGGTTGTGGATTTGTTCGGCGCGGCAAATTCCCTGTGGCGCAGGCCTCTGTGGCTGGTGTATCCGGACCAGCCCGGTCACGTGTAGGCCTCGCCCTGACTACTCGGAACAACTTTGCACTCCTACTTTGGACATGAATCTCATCTTCATAGGTCATTTTTTGATAGGTAAAAGGCAATGCATTGAAGAAACTAAATTTGTAGCACATCCGAAGTGCAAAATGGACTGGGATAACTACCAACATAGAATATTCGACAAACAACTTTTGCGAAAAGTGAAGAAACAACCACCAAGCAAATCAATGAAAAGATACTCCCCCTTTTCTCAACTGACCAAAATTTTCAGACAGAAAATTACTAAAGAGAAAAAAGAGAAACAGTGAAATAACCGTTGTTGCTACAACGAACAACAACGTCGAAGGAAGGCCTTAATCCTTTCGTCCTGTGCGTTTGCCACTCTAAGGAACAAACGCGGCTTGGGATGCCAATAGTGATGAAAAAAATTCCCCCGAGTAACACAGGAATAAAAGCAAGAAAAATAGAGCAGAATAAGGCCAGAATAATCGCGGTGATTCTATATGGGGTTAGTGATCTTGAACACTCGGCCACATCGAGAGTTCACGTCCAATGGGCAGGGGAAGGCCACAGTATCTTAAACGCGATGCAGATCGAATAGAATGAGTCCTGGTCGATCGTGACAATATCTGCCAGGTTTTGTGGTGTTGGAAGCAAAAGCGTCACTTGATGAGAACAAATGACTTGAGTCGGACGGGAATGGACCGACAGCTCAAACGTATTCTACCTTCACGCTGCCATGATTCTTGCCCTCATACCAAATCTCATACTTGCAGTGTGCACAGTAGTAAAATGCATGAATTTCAAACGAAATTTGGTAGTATTTTTGGCCATCCGCACCCCAACGGGTAGGCATTCGGCTTCTCTGGATTCGATGAAGCTTGGGTTCCAAAACAGCATGTTCCTTAATGTCTAGCCCGAGCATGGTAATAGTAAATGGCATGGTCTTAACAAGTTTGGCGTACTTACGACGATTGAAATACAAAGGTGCTGTGGCATCGTCCAGCTCATACATCCTGGTCTTTATCTCATCGAAAGGACTATCATGAACCAATTGCTGCTGTAACCACTTAGTCACATTCGGCTCTGTTTCTGTTACACGATGCCCCTTGTATCATGTTAACTGTCAAAGCCTTCCAACAACTCATCTTGCAATCTTACCTTTTTGGTGAACCATGACATAACATCGATACGATAATGCCCATAAAACTCAGACCAGTACCTGTGATGGTCAGGACTCAGAACTTAGTCTGTAATAAGAGGCACTCACGCTTTTTGTTGGTCATGCAAGCTTGGATCATACACGACTGAGCATATCAGGCCGTAATTCTTTCTAGCCATGCGTGACTCAATGTGTGTCTGAGCAGCAGAGGCAGAACAGCCCCGCAAAGTCTTTCTCAAAGCCCCCCTAACGACTGCTGTCCAACCGTCGGCAGGGGTCAAAACTTCGATGTCTGGTGAGAACGAGTCACGGAGATATTTGCGCAGATAAGGACTTTGTCCAAAGCCACCGACCAGAATAATTGCCTTGACTTGCTTTTTGGAAGTATGGATCTGGTCTTTCACGAGGTTATGAACTTCTTCAAGAACGGGCAAGAATATCTGTGCTATGTTATCCCCGGTCACTCGAAGCCGGCCCCGACTAACTTCAATATTCTCGTCGTCAGAGATTCCAGGAACAGGGATCATGATATCATCATTGGCATTTCCAGTGAAGGTCCGCTTAGCAACAAATTCAAATCTTTGCATTGCCTCCTCAACGCGTTCCCATCCGGGTACAAGAGATAGATGTTCTTCCAGAAACTTCTCAAAGCGCCGGTTCAGAGAAGTACTGCCGCAAAGAGAACCATTTCCGGGCGCTGCTTCTTTGAGGCGCAGAGTGGGATGGAGTTCACAAATGCAGAAAGTAATCAGGTCACAAGCACCTCCTCCCGCGTCTAACAGTACAGCTATGTCATCGACTTCCAACCCATGCGGGTTCGAATTGCGTAGTGCATGTACTGCAGCCGCTTCAGGCTCTGATATTATGCGGATCTCTGAAGCCTGGCCGTATCCTGCCTCTTGTGCGCAATGAAGTGTCGCGACTTTGGCTTTTTCGGGCCATATCGCGGGAACTGTCAGAACAAATTGTAGATTTTTAACGTCCAGAAGGCTCGAGATTTGTGTCTTCAGGATGTCGACTATGTGCTCGCGTAAATGCCGAAGGTAGTCTGTCGCAACTTGTTCGGGGGACGAATGATAGGGAACAGGGTTCTCACGGGAGTCATTGTAAGCCGACGACAGACGAGTGCCAGACTTGTCTTTCTGATCGGGGGCAAGTCCAAGTTTGATCCATTGGATCCGTGGCATGCTATCGAAAATCTAGAAACCCCATAGAGAGCTTAGTCCAGAGTCTTGGTACTCATAGGCGATCTCACCAGGCACCTTTTCGCTTGTCATTCCATCGAAAGGGCCGCCCTTCGTTCGTGGCCAGTGGTTAATGACATGGTGTCTGTCGGGCTAATTTTCATCAGTATGGATTGAACACAAGGCGATCAGAGATTCAGGAAATTACATCACTCATGAGAGCCCACGCCACGCCTGGGAACGTTGTACCAAAGTCGACAGCAATGACAACCTTCTAACTTTTTGCGGAGTAATTAGCCATTTTCTTTTCTGTCGCAGGGATATGATGTGAGAATGGGGTCGGGCTGACTTCAGGGCAGCGTGTCCTTGGGTCAACAAGAATCTGAGGGATTTGAATATAAAACCAAGCTGAAGGGGGGAAAGTAATGCACAGAGGAAGTGTGAGGAGAAGTCAAGAGGGGATGGAGGAGGTTAAGAGGGTGAAGAGGATGAAATGAAGACGATTTGGTCTCGTTGATCTTAGCGTGTTCGGGCAGCTCGCCGTAGCAAGATTTCAACTATGCTGAAAGGGAAATGAAGAGGTTGAAATCAAGAGCATGAATTGAAGAGGATGAATAAGAAAAAGGATGAGAGCTATGAGCAAAATAAGTGTCAGAGAGAATTGTCGGAAAGCGCTTCAAGTGAATGAGGAGAAAGTCCCAATCACTTTCACTTGTGACCTGCTTTCATATTTCTCCCTTCGCCTCTTTGGATGTAGAATATACAGAGACATCTTATTCTACATCCCCTGCCTCTTTTTCTTGATTTTATCTCTAAGTATCCGTCTTCGTCTCTCCGGTGACATAGAACAATGGATTCTGATGAAGTGAAAAATGAAGGGAGCGAAGTAAGTGAGCTTTCCCTGCCGTTCCATGTCGTTGACAGCCTTTTAGAGTGAGAACTACCACCCAGCCTACGACTCGCCAGGTGATGATTCTCGTGCTTGTGTTCCAGAAAACGAGCATCAAAGACCTCCCCTCGACAACTCTTTGCAGGGATTTGGCAGCTTCAAGTCTTGGTTGCCGGAATACAGAAAGGTCATCTGTGCTTTCGAAGAAAAGGCGACGCAGGAAATACACCAGAAGGAACAGGCGCTAGAGGAAGCAAACCAGCATATCCAGATGTTGGAGGCTGAGCTTCGAAAGTGTCAAATGCGCCTATCTAAGTTCATACCAGACTACCAACCCTCTGATACAACCATTCGGGAGAAATTCATCAGCATTCGCGAGAATTTGTCAAATTGGACGGAAGAGTTTCCTGACGTTGAAACCTTCAAAGATTCACTCATTTCGGCTCACCGAAAGTTCGAATTTCCTCTCAAGATCTACGGCTGGGGAATGAGATGCCCTGGATGGCCCTCCAATGCACAGTCGGAGATATTCATGTGCATGGTTTGGTGGCCTATCTGGGATACGCTGTTCATGCCACTCGTAATCGCACCGCCATCTGATCTTCGGGTTCTGAGGACACTCGAAAGAGGAATATACAAAGTAAACCCAGATAAAGGCGTGCAAAGTCCCTTTTGAAGAAAACTATGGTTGGGTCTAACTTCTGTAGATCTGGAAATCTTCAATTTATGGAGGTCGGATACAATTCGAGCCTATGTTTCAGGCCAACAACATCACATTCATGTGAAGAAGTGCTCAGAACTAACAGCGAGGCTACGCGAGATCTTTGACTCCTTCAACTTCAAATCCGACTTTGACAGAAATCGCAAACTCTCGAGACTTGAGGAACAGATCAAAACCCCGGCAGCAAACCTCGCTATAAGCTTGAGTTGCTCGCCAGAAAGGTACAGCTGGGATTGGATAGAAACCCCCCCCCCCCCCCCCCCGGTAGTGTTGTTTGCAAGATCTGCATAGCTTTAACATTATGGATATTGCGACTCATAACAAGATTTCGAAAAGGAAAAATAATGATGTACGCGAGAGTGAAAAAATCGTGAAACTTCTTCTTGTCATGTTTCCTGCACTATACAGACGTGGTCGGGGAGATGAGCCCGACATTCTGATTGAGAAAGCCACCATCCTCATCCACGTCAACCCAGATCTACCTACGCCTACGCCTACAGTTACGGTTGAAGTTGGCAATTCTCAGCGTTTGGCATGAAGACTGCTGTGGTTAGAATTCTCGACCAGCATCTATCGATGAGCGGATTCGGTTAGCTTCGTATTGCTACTGGTCAGGTAGGGGGGTGTAGTCATTTCGGTCCGGAATTCGATGGGAACGTTTCTATTCGAGGGCCAAATTGATGATTTCGTTCGATTTAGTTCTTCTTTTTTCGAAAGTTTTCCTTTCATGACATGAAAATCAGATTCAGTTGATTCTCATTGAGTAAATGCATCATTGGCATCAATTAAACATCTATTTACAGTCCCAGTCACATAATCCTAGCCCGACATTTCCATATGGAACTATGCAAAGACAAACGGCCGAAAATAAGCAAAACAATCTATATATGCATAAATGAAACTTGCAGCAAGCCCCCGTTTTACCGACCAAATATTCTTATCTCGATGGGTCGTAATACCATATACGACACCGAAGCGAAGGCGAAAGCCAGTTCGAAGCCAATGTCACCGCCAGAGGGGGCCGCACCCGCATGTTTCGCAATGGGACCCACGTACCACGACTGGCTCATTCCGGTGATCATACCAGCAACGCCGAACGCAAAAGCCAGAGCAGCGGCAATGCCAGGGGGGAGCTTGTCGGGTTTGTCGTATATCTCAATACGGTATCCCGAAAAACCTCGCTTAAAGACGAAATGGTCGGTGAGGGAGATGCCCGAGTATATGGCCAGCCAGTATGCAATGAAGTTCATAAAGTTTTCCAGGATCGTTTCGAAATAAGAGTAGCCAGGGATTCCGATAGCAATCGAGGCGCAGGAACCTAGGAACACCCAGATGAAACGGGGGACTTTCGGGGAGTACCGAGTCATAACCTGAAGGGTAAGAGCGACAGAGTAAATGTTGGGACAATTGTTGGCGATGATGGAAAGAGCAAGAATGACCAAGCAAAACTTTCCGAAACCACCAAGCGGCTCGAGAACGGCGTTGAGCAAGCCGCCATTTCCGGACGTCGAATAACCCAACTGATATTTGTTGTTGCCGTCGTCGATGGACGTCGCGGTCATGACCGCGATACCCAGCATCTGGGTGAAGAGCAGAGGGAGGATGAGTCCGGCCCAGGCGGAGAAAAATATCTTGCGGCGACTTCGGTTTGCAGGCTGATATACGGTGTAATCAGCAGCATAACTGGTCCACCCGGTGGCGAAGCCGTATACAGTGGAACCAAATGAAAGACAACCTCCAAGCTCAGAGGTTCCAACTCCCATCGGTATATTCCTGAAGTCTCCGGAATGGGCAAACATCCCGAACACAATCATGAAAACAATGAACGTGGGGATCCAGCTCCAGTACTCATACATGTGGACCACTTTGTAGCCTGCGAACGTGACGAAGAGAGTACAGAAAGCGATGATGAGGATACCCGCAAATCCCGGCACGTCACTGTTGACCGCGTTCAATAGCTGGGCACCCACTATGGAGTTGGCGGCGGACCAGCCCACACAAGCCAACACATTCAGACAGGCAACTGAAGAAAGAGGAAGTAAGCATTTGTTGTTCATGGACAAACAGTTATCCTATGGGTACTTACTGAATTTGGTTGCCCACCAACCAAACCAGAATCTTGAGAGTACCATTTGTCGAAGGCCGAAAGGAGGACCGAAGCACGAAAAGAAGCAGACGGTCATGATACCCAGCAGGTTGAAGAAGATGCAGACCAGGATGGCATCAACGAAGCCGAGGCTGAAGAGGGATTTCCCGAGGACACCGATGGCGAAAGAACTGACTACCATGTTGGCCGCCAGCCACTGCGACGGGTCAGTTGGGAAGGCATTCTTGTCATGCCAGGCACGAGCCGGCGTCAGACAAATGCAATGAGGCTAGAAACACACCATGCTGCCAATATTGAAATAGGACGTGTCCGTCTGTTCTTCCGCCGGCACCCGTTCAATACCGCGCTGCTCAATGTTGAGCTTTCCTGCCAGTCGTTGTACCTTTGCGTAGAGGGAGTCGCCATAGGCAAAGCTCTCTCCGGGAACTGCTCCATCGCTACTGTCGTCGGCGGGGAGCTTGCCCACCTGAGGGGCCTTTTCAAGGTCGGGGTCGCTGCTACTGCCCCCAAACATCGCGTCGAGATCGGGATCCGACAGAACCGTGTTTCAACGATTGTATACGAATGTCGGCACGAAAATCCCCACCAATGAAGGAGGAGACTTGGGGAAGACGGAATGGATGGACGAGCCAATTGAGCAAGCTCACAAAGACCACGAAGGGTACTTCGAAGGAGGGGGAAACGAGAGAGACGAAAGGGAATTAGACCGGGTCTCACATGGTTCTTTTTTCTTTCTTTCTTTTCTTCGACTGAGGAAGGGAGGGACAGGTACTAATAACTACGCGCTGGGAGGCTGGAGCTAAGACAAATTTGTTCCGCACAGTCACATCCTTTCCGACGGCCCACAGTGGGAGCTGACCCGATCCAGCAGGAACCACCAACGAGAGGAGAACGATAGTCGGAGAATGACCGCGTCCGCGTATTCGCCGTTCGCACTGTCGCGTGTGCCGACTTTCTCCCCGAGGTCAAGCCTTTTTTGTTTCTCGTTTCGAGAATCCTAACGGGCCCGCCTTGGCTAACCCTAACGGCCCTGCGCTTGTCCCCCTTGGGTCGAGGGTGGGTGGGGTCAGCCCCGTTCTGACTCCCCCATTGGCCACTAGCGTTTCGACTTGGAGGGCCAAGCACCACATGGGCTGAATCGCACCTGCCCTGATTGGTGCCGGTTCCTGACAAGACCCAGGTGGGTCCGTGGCGAGTTTTCACTTTTTGATAAGCCTTTCGTCCATGATAGGCAACTGCAGATATGCTCCCCTCCCTCCAGTCGGGTGCTGAACTCATCATGATAACAGCAAGCGTCACTGCTGGGTTAACGGATATCTCGAAAGTTCTCTACTATCTCTGCCTATCTCTGCGCATCTTTCAATGCTTTCGGACCCTTGAGCTCCAGGACATCGGTCATCACCGATAGATAGTTAGACAACTCCTTCACACCCATCCTATCTTCCTCCATTGAATCACATTTATCGCTGGCCAATATCCTGGGGTAAACACCTGTTTGTGACTTGGAAAAATCAGTGGAATGATACGATTCAGTATACTACGCCTAAGTAAAGGGCGTTACATAAATGATCATATTGAACACTGAACCATCGCGTGTCAACACATGTGGTCTGGTATCATTGCATCAATAACATCTTTAATCTAAATATTCTTCCACATATTAGAAGCACTCCCCGATTCTCCTCCCTACAGAGTACTTAACTGCCAAGCTCCCCAGGAACTCAAACTACCCCACGCTATCGGAAACCTACGCTGCCACGAGGGTGAACAAGATCGGGTCTCGCCGCGCTGGACCCCCTGCAATTGTAACACCACTATCAACCAAGCTATGGCGAAGCTTCGGGTCAATGCAAGTGCCAATCTTCCCGCGATGCGAGGGATCATTACGATTGGATTCTCATTGGAGCTTGCTGATGATAAAGGATGAGCGTTCTAGTCTCAATTTGGACGTAGTTGATTTATCTGATAAGGGAGACGTGAGCTTTATGGTGACGATATCATTATCATGGAGATAGTTATATAATTGGTATAAGTTCTGTTTAATGGTTCTAAGAGTCTGCGTAAAGAGAAATTGGTGGCCATGGACCATGTGACCGTCTTGTCTATGAAATGTTCATCTCTTGCGTTTATTAGGAATTGTTTTCTTTTGGTTTTAACTTGAGATTTGATATTTATTATATACTCATCGTCGGATATCAATGAATGGAAGCAGGTTCATTTGCCAGGGCTTTAGTTTTGGTGTTCAGAGTGATGTAGCTGACGGAGCCAAGATATATACGGAGTACGGAGTAGCAACCGCTCAATACCCTGGTATGTGCCCGGTGTCACGGTCCACTACAGAGCTCCTTCACTATATCTTACAAGCGTACTGATTGCAGAGAAAACTGTGGACTACGAAGATGAGATAACTCAACTAATTGAGATTGTCAAGATGCTTTTTAGGGAGAAAATATTCCCTTAGCTATTGCACACATGAAATGATCACCGGTAGACAAACGGCAAAATGCTTGGCACGTGATACCCCAGGCACATAATATCTGGTAACCACATGTTCTTCTGTACCTGCCGAACAGACCGAGCCATCCGCACGTGATGTGTCGGTCGTCCGAAGGTTTTTGCTACTGTTTTCAAACCGTCGTCTCTCGGAATAATCATTGCTTCAAGCATGACTTTCCTTCTCAAAAACCAGAACAGAGTTACTCATCTATCAACTTAAACCCAAGATGCACGGTTGAAAATAATCAATATTTTCTATCAGTCGAATAAACAATGATATAAATTTAAAAAAGCAAACGCTGAAGCCCACGGTCATAGAACATCATAGGAATATGCATCAAAATGCTCCTGATCCCAATCCCGAAATAAACATGGAGATATCAAATTATTTACAGCTTAGCAAGCATCTTGTTGCCCTTCTGCAACAGAGCAGCGGCATCCGTAACGAGTTCGTCAACAATAGCCTTGGCAGGCTTCTTCTCCGACACAACGGCAGCAACCTTGCCCATCAGGTAGGGACGAGCATTGTCCAAGGTCTCATCGTCAACATCATCGGGCAGGTTCTCGAAGTCGTGCTCGACGGGGATGACACCCTTGGCAGTCAGTTGCTTGATCTCTTCCTGGCGGTTCTCCTCCCAGTTCTTGATGTATTCGTTGTTGCGGACACGCAGGGGACGACCCTATGTAACGTTAGCGGAGATTTTTATATTTCTCTCGTGGTCTAGGGGAACTTACGGTGAAGATGATGGTGCGGACGTTATCCTCAAATCCGGCGGTACGGACAGCCTCCTGGTGAGCAACGGGGGCACCGGCCTCGTCGGACAAGATGAAGCGAGTTCCGATCCAAACAGCAGAGGCACCGAGCATGAGAGCAGCGGCAACCGAGTTACCGTTGAACAAGCCACCAGCGGCGACAACTTGCACGGGAAGACCGGTCAAGGGGCTCTTCTTGCCCTGGCAGAGCTTGGCAACGGTGGGAATGAGAACGGTGGTCGGGACATCACCAGTGTGTCCACCACCTTCACCACCCTGGGCGCAGATAATATCGGCACCAGCATCAAGTGACTTCTGGACGTGCTTGGGGTGACCGATCATGTTCATGTACAGGATACCGGCGCTGTGGAGACGATCGACAACATGCTTGGGAGGGATACCGACGGCGGAAACGAAGAGCTTGGCACCGCTCTTAATGATAATATCAACAAGCTCGTCAAGCTTGCCCTTGGTGTAGTCGTAGCTGATGAGAAAAGCGCGTATTAGTATCCATCACTCTTGCTCCGCCGGAACGGTTGTTGCATGGGGTGATTAGAATCCTTACTTGGTCTTGCGTGCGCTTCCTCCGACCTGGGGGAGCAGAAGGTCGACACCGAAGGGGGCGTTCTTGTCGTTCAGATAGCTCTTGAGCTCTGTGATCTGTTCCTGAAGCATTTCAGGGGTGTAGCCGACACCACCGATAACACCGAGACCACCAGCGTTGGTGACCGCAGCGGCCAACTTAGGGCCGGCGGCCACGTTCATACCTGCCAGCAGAATGGGGTGGTTGATCTTGAGCTGATCAGTAAGGGTAGTGCGGATTTGCTCTGTCAGGATTTTTGAGTTAGAAGGAGAGTGTCTTCAGCAGGCTTTGGGGTCACACGCGCCCCGTTCGTATGCGGAGAGGCATGCGGAGGGTGTGGGTGGTAGGGCTTACGAGGAGAGGCCATGATGGAATGTGAGGATGGGTATATTGACAAAATAAGGGATAGGAGTGATATTGGCAGGTAGGAGAAATGTAATGATAGAAAGGAAGAGGTGTCAGAAAGTGTGGGGAAAGAAAGACAATGGGTTGATTCTTTATAGGGAGGCCGAGGGACCGAGGGCGAAGAGCGACAGCCAGAAAAGCCTCGGTCCAACATTTGATTTGAGCCAGAAATTCCCCGGGGTTGGCACTGCCGATGACTAACCGCGCGGGGACTGATCACGCTCCGGTCAGCTGATCCCGCGTCTTCCGCGCGGCAACCTTTTTTTTCACATGACGTAGTCGACAATCGCATTCTCGACCCTCGTCGCAGTTAGCAATGGGTTCCGGCTCTCATCTATGGCGATCCTCCAGTGCAGGTCTTCTGCACCTTCCTACTCATAGAAGGGCCTGCGGATCACTTCCAAGAACCCTCAAGAGGTAGGTCTTCGGAATAGGAACGCGTCTGTCCTTGACCCCTCCCCGCCCTTGCTTCTATACTAACTTCCGGATAGAACCCTCTATACCTCTCAGTCCAGTATGTTCACTCGGTCAGCGCTTGAGACCCTATCCTGCAAGCTTTCCTTGCATGGGCGATTGCACTCTGTTCAAATATTTGCCATGGGCATCTATCATCCACCCATCTGACGAGACTAATCTTTGCAATCAGCGACCCCACCGACTAGTTCTCTTGACAGGCGATCTTTCTCCAACTCTAATGCACCTACGTCCAAAAATGGCCCACTAAAGCCTACTATGCCTTCTCGAGGCTTCTCCAATGGCATAGTAGCGTCCTCCAATGCCAAGATGAACTCGGTCGAGACTCCTGCCCACCGAGCTTTCATAGCTTTGGGAAGCAACATGGGGGATCGAGTGGAAATGATCGAGGCGGCCTGTCAGGAAATGGACCGGGCTGGCATCAGAGTAAAACGGACCAGTTCGCTCTTTGAGACGGCGCCTATGTATGTTCTCGACCAGGATGCATTCATGAATGGCGTTTGTGAGGTTTGTTTCCTATCTCCCAATTATGCTTGCCCGTGCACTAGTCCTTACAACGAATCAGGTCGAGACCAGTCTAGAGCCCCTTGAGCTACTAGACGCCATTCAGGCGATCGAAATTGATCTCGGGAGGAAGAAGTTGATCGACAAGGGTCCCCGATCCATCGACTTAGACATTTTGCTCTATGACCAGCAGGTCTTCTCCCACGAGCGCCTCAACATTCCGCACAAGTTGATGCTCGAACGGGACTTTGTCCTACGACCTCTGAGCCAGTACGTGGATCTTTTGATTTGATCGCACCTTGAAAAGAATTACAAACTAACCGGAAACCTCAATAGACTCATCCCTCATGAACGCCCTCCTTTCCCTGACCACGACACCACTTACCTATCCCACCTAAACTCCCTCCCTCCGCCAGACCCAACCCCCGTATCAACAACCTACATCTCCAAAAGCTTCCCTACCCTCCACTCCACCGACCCCCGCCGTCCCACCCACATCATGGCCATCCTCAACCTCACCCCGGACTCCTTCTCCGACGGCGGCAAGCACTTCTCCGCAGACTTCTCCACCCTCACCACAACCGTCCGCCAATTCATCTCCGCCGGCGCTACCATCATCGACATCGGCGGCGAAAGCACCCGCCCTGGATCCGAACCCGTCGGCGAAGCCGAAGAACTCGCCCGCGTCATCCCTGCCATCCGACACATCCGCACCTCGATCCCCGAAGCCGCCAACATCGCCATTAGCATCGACACGTACCGCGCGCGCGTCGCAGAAGAAGCCTGCGCCGCCGGCGCCGACATCATCAACGACGTCTCCGCGGGCCTCCTCGACCCAGACATGCTACCCACTATGGCGCGCACTGGCAAGACCGTCATCCTTATGCACATGCGCGGCAACCCCTCCAACATGACCAAACTAACCGAGTACCCGAACGGCGTTGTCCGCGACACCACGACCGAGCTGCACGAGCGTCTCGCCGCCGCCGAAGACGCTGGCATCCGACGCTGGCGCATCATCCTTGACCCTGGGCTTGGGTTCGCGAAGGGCCAGTCCCAGGATCTCACCATCCTGCGGGACCTGCAGCAGCTCCGGACGCAGGAGAGCGGCCTCGAAGGTCTCCCGTGGCTGATGGGACCCAGTCGGAAGAGATTCATTGGACGACTCACGGGCGTCGAAAAGGCTAGTGAGCGTGGCTGGGGCACTGCGGCTGCCGTGACGGCTAGTATTGCTGGTGGTGCGGATATCGTGCGTGTACACGATGTGAAGGAGATGTGGCAGGTCGCTAAAGTGGCGGATGCTATCTATAGAAGCTAATTTGGGGTGTCTATCCTCTCGCTATGCTGATGTGTGGGCTGTAGAAGATGAAGAAGGAACTGACGTGATGTGATGATTCAACGGGTCAAGACTTGGCATAATTTCAACAATATCAAGATATCTATATAAATAGAATAGTAAACAATTTGCTTTTTTTAATGCTAAACTATTATGAACCAGCCGTTCATACTGAAGTCTACAATACAGATATACCTTTGCAATCCCGAGTCTTCGACATATGAAGTACAAGGACTCAAAATAATAGTTCTTTAAGTTTAGATTGACAAAGAGAACTCCTAACACGAGCTAACCTACTTATATCGAAAGAATATACAGGAAATTGTCACGGATAGAAAGACATGAGCAAGGGGGAGTGCCAATTTAACAATTTTCAATTAACTCAAAACCACAAAGGCAACTAGCAGGGGGAATGGGAATAAAAAGTAAGAGCAACCGACTTATGGGTCAAGACAAGACGAAGAGATATCTAGGATCTTGGACTCTCATGAGACCGCTTTCGGTGGCTAGTGGTCATAGGTTGTCGGCTGCATTGGGTTGAGAATGTAGGCTGAAGTGGGGGAATACGAATGATGAGAACGCCGTGTATGACTCAAAAATAAAGAATAGAGCTGGGTAGCCCGGATGCGAGAAGAAGAAAAACATCCGAGCTGGCGATACTGTAAGTGTGGTGTCAAAGCGAGAGGAGGAACCCTTTAGCTGTTCAAATAGCTGCGGATAGCACCTAGATTATTATTAGTCTTGTCCAAAAGAATCAAAAGGACAGCAAGGCACACTAACCTTGCAGTTTGACGGCTCCATCCCCCACGATCTGCGAGAGGTTTTCTAGGTCATCACCGGCCGTGATGCCAAAGCGGCGAACAAAGTCCTTTGCGGCACCTTCCAAGTCTCCATAGGTGTCATCTCCGGCAGGAAGGTCATCTTCAGGTCGGCCAAAGTAAGAATTGCTAGAGATTGCAGTGGCACCATCGAAGTTTCGCAGGCGATCCTTCGCCTCCGCCTGCGCAGTGGGATCGAATCGTTCCCGTCCAAAGAATTCGTCCGACGAGATACCCTTCTGGGTGCCGAATCGAGTCTTGGCTTGCTTAAGCTCCTCATCTGTTGAATCTCGTTAGTATTGAGTTTAGGTTGGTCAAATATTCAAAGGAATAAACCTACCATCAGCAGCCGTCCTGGTGGGGCCAACCGACCCAAAGCCCGGCTTCTTGGGAGCGGCAGGCTTCGCGCCGACAGTTTGTCCAAACCCAAGACGTCCAATGCCCATGCCCAGGCGCTCCACATCGTTGGAGTTCTGCTCCTGGGAGCCCTTAGTGGCGCCGAAGCCGCCCTTGTTCGGACTGATCGGTGTCGGGGACGCAATGGCGGTGGCTCCTGTGTTTGCCGTCTTGTTCTTGGCATCGGCCTCGGCCTTTTCGGCCTCTGGGTCATAGCCAAGTTTCTCGATGCGCTCTGCCTCCTCCTTGGCTTTTCGCTCCGCCTCGTCGAAATCGATAGTCTCCGCGGCAGCAACCTTCTTAGCCCCGAGCTTAGGAGCCTTCTTGGCGCCCAGAACGCTGCCCTTCTTCGCAGGACCCGTCGACGCAGTCTTGCGTACAGAGGCGCTGGCCCGGATAGCAGCCGGAGCAGGTGAAGAGTCCTTATCGGAAGCCGAAAGCGGGGACTTGGAGCGGGCGCCGTTGGCGTTGGCAACGCCAGCGGTGTTCAGGAACGGGGTGCCATTGCGGCTGACAACCGGAGGGGTACCGGTGCGAGAGGGAGGATTGCTAGGACGCTTAATGGAGGGCTTGTCCCACGAGGAGAAGAAATCATCCTCGTCGGCAGCAGGGGTGCTAGAGCCGTTGGACGAAACGCCCGCGGGGACATCGGTGATCTCCACTTCTTCGGGGTACCTGAGGGCGAGAATGCATGGTTAGGTTCACGAACTGCGAGAGAAAAGTCAGGATGGGTCACCGACAGTTGAGCATCTTGCGCGGCCCGACGCTTCAATTCATCCTTGTACTTAACGGCGGCATTGCACGTGTACTTGACCTTGGCGTCCTTGCTGGCGAGAGCGGCAGATCCGCCATGCGATTGGAAGTATTTAGTGGCGGACTCGTTACCACCGACTTTCATAAGACGGAGCTGTTCCCATTGCCATTCTGTGGGTCGCAGATTAGCATCGCAATGGAATACCGACCAGGGAGGTACGGGGCTGGAAGAGACGCATACGATCGAGGTTCGTGGAACGAACAAAGGAAATGTGGACACCCAGGTTACGATGGTTGGCCGAGCAGTCCAAGCAGAGATAGATACCGAACGGCACCGACGACCAGGTGGGATTCTTGGAACTGCAATCAAAGCATATCTATTGCAGCCAAGTCGACCGTCAGCATATCGACGCTCCAGTGACCCAGCGGGGAGGGGTTTATTTTGCGCACCTTGTTAGCGGGTTTGAGTTTGAGTTTCTCAAAGATCTTCTGAGACTCCGCCTTGGAGGCACTCATGGCGACGAGTGGGAGAGAAGTAAGGACCCGAAAGAAAGGAGAGGGAGCGTCACGCAGGCAAGACAGGAAGTCGAAGGAGGGAGGAAGAGGATCCAAAATGCATTCGGGAGAGCGAACGTGGTCGGAATCGTTTTGGAACCGGGCCGTGATCTTTGCAATCCGACTGGGTATTTTTCACCTTGAGCGTTCTGCTGCGAGGCCTCTACGGAGTCGCCGTAAATTAAGATCTTACCTTTCTGAAACACGGATCCGAACTGCTACAGGAAATATTCGTCACAAGATGACCGTCCACAACTCTCAATATATACCACTCCCACCAGCCAATTTGCCGCCCGCGCCCCAGCACCGTATTGCAAATACGGATAGGGCGAGCCGAACTTTCAGGCCGCTGAGCGGCTGAGGGCCTGAACCGCCAGGCCGCGGCGTCCACGTGACCCACCCTTCCCCACATCTGGAAATGGGCGGCGAGCGACGCTTCGTTTCTTCGGCGTCGCTGCAAATTTCCGGGTCTCGCGCGCGCGACCATCTATCTGCTGCCATTTTTCCATGCCCCCCACGGCTGCGCGACCTACTACTGCGATTCAACGGGAACCCGGGTGACGCTGCGGTCAGCTGTCGTCATGAATCCGTACCTTCGATCTAGCCCTGCCTTTTCGCAGGCTTCGTCTGCCCTGGCCCTGCGTCCTGCTGGTCTTCCCCGCACGGCGGACCTGGCTCGCCGGTATGCGACCCAGAGCGATATGGGTCGAGGAGCTTCGGGGCCTGCGACGCCCCGAAGAAGGAACGTTACCGTCCTGTCGGACGACGGGCGATACGAGTGGGGGGAGCTGAGCGGACGGGAAAAGGCCGCTCGGGCAACGCAACAATCGTTCAACTTTGTGGTGGTTCTGGCGGGTGCGGCTTTGACGGTGAGTGGGGCCTATTACTTCCTACTGGGGAGACAGTTGAATTGGAAGCTGATCGATTTGCCAGGGAGGAGTCTTTTACCTCCTTTATACCGAAGTCTTCTCCCCGAATAGCAGGACGTGGCAGTACGAGAAGGCCGTCGAACGTATCAAGAACGACTCGCGGTGTACGGACCTGCTCGGAGATCGCAGGGAGATTACAGCTTTTGGAGAGAATACGGGGAGCAGATGGGCGCGGAACCGCCCTATTGCGTATGTTCCCCTCATGCCCAGGGATGTGTCGACAACGCTGACCCGGTCTGTAGGAGCTCGATTGACAAGGATCGCTTGGGTCGCGAACATTTGAAGATGAATTTCCATGTAGGTGGCTCGGCTTGGGTCTACGGCTGAATGGATAATTAACGGTGAACAGGTCGAGGGACCTCGCAACTCGGGCGTTGTCTTTGTGCACATGATCAAGTCTCATGACCAAAGTGACTGGCAATATCATCTTCTTGCGTTGGAAGTGTCCGGTAAGTTATTCAATTTGGGTCTTTTGTTCCTACGTCATGCTAATCCGGTTTCCTTTTAGGTCACTCGCGGATTGTGCTCGAGCAGGCTCCTGAGAAACCAGGAGTTGGCAAGGCATTGAAACTCCTAGGTATTCAATGGCGCTAATTCCCACTTGGATATATATCACGGCAAATTATGTGCTGCAGGGCGTACGATCCGCCATGAAGCTAGGGTTTGTTCCGAAACCGGAACTGAGATGCCGAATCTGCATAAATTTAGCTTAGAGGCAAGAGTGTTGCCTAGCCAAACATACTGCAGCTTTGAAGCCAGGAGACCGAGCTGCTGGTAAAGAGAGTTGCCCCCTACTATTCTATCTTTGTATCATAGTGTATTATTCATCGAGGTATTTAGGTTATTTATCTACATAGCATTTTTGCAAGCCATACATTGCCTATGTCGCGACTTAAGTCATGATTCAGGCATCTCAAGAACTTGAATGAAAGAATTGAAATAAACAGTGTCACCATTTTATTCAATACAGAAGTATTAACAACAAAGAATTGACCTTCATATCACATCAAGCATATACATTAAACGACAAAAGCAAATTCCCTTATATCCGAGGGCCCTCCAGAATGGGCTTCGCGGCCTGTGATCTCCACCAGCTCTTGCCCTCCTCGCCGGGGAAGGCAAACTCATCCATACTCTCGGGCTTCATCTCCACGCTGTATCCGGGCTCCAAGGGGGTCACGTAGTATCCATCCCGCACGCTAGACGGGTGCACAAAGTGCTCATGCAGATGGTCGACATACTCCAGCACACTCTTCTTACCGCTAACCACCACGTAGTCGATGGTGCTCAGGTGTTGCGTGTATTCGGGCAAGCCCACGCCACCCGAGTGCGGCACGATGGGGACGTTGAACTTGCGCGCCAGCAGCAGGATGGCTAGGACTTCGTTGACACCGCCGACTCGGCAGGCGTCGGCCTGGAGGACGGTCAGGGCTCCTGCCTGCAGGAGCTGCTTGAAGACCACGCGGTTCTGGCACATCTCGCCGGTGGCAACGCCGATGGTGCCGTGGGGGGTGTTCTCGAGGGCCTTCTTGATGGCGGCGTGGCCGAGGATGTCGTCGGGGGAGGTGGGCTCTTCGATGAACCAGGGCTTGTATTCGGCGAGCTCTTGCATCCAGGTGATGGCTTCGGGGACGGACCAGACCTGTATCGAGAAGGGTCCTTTGATTAGTGGACTGACGTTTTGTATTTATGATACCACAAAGGTAGACGGATAAGGGAGGAGGGGTGGTGGGAGGGTTGAGCGCTTACCTGATTAGCATCCACCATCAGGATGTTACCCTTGTCATATCCAATGGCCTCACGGGCAATGCTCAATCTCTTCTTGTCATCCTCCAAGTTTCCTCCGACCTTCAGCTTGAAGTGCTTGTATCCCTGAGTAACGCTCTCACTCAGAAGAGCCCTCAGCTTGTCCTCGCCATATCCGAGCCAGCCAGCACTGGTGGTGTACGCGGGCACAGCCCGGCTCTGCTCCGCCTCCTTGATACGTTCCTGCTTACCGGACTCGACCTCCTTGAGAAGAGCGATGGCCTCCTCCGGCGTGATGGCATCGGTGATGTACCGGAAGTCAATGCAGCGGACGAACTCCTCGGGGCTCATCTCGGCGACGATGCGCCAGACGGGCTTACCAAGGGTCTTCGCCCACAGATCCCAGAGCGCGTTGACGACGGCACCCAGGGCGAGGTGGATCACACCCTTCTCGGGTCCGATCCATCGAAGCTGGCTGTCGGAGACCAGGTAGCGCCACGTCTTGCCCCAGTCGGCCGTGAGCTCGTCCAGGTCCTTGCCAACCACGAGGGGCGCGAGAAGGGAGATGGCGGAGCAGACGATTTCGTTTCCGCGGCCAATGGTGAAGGTCTGCCAGGGGACACGGTCAGTACTTGTGTGGTTGTCGGATGGGAATTCTAATTGCATACCATTCCATGTCCGACATGAGGCGAATCCGTGTTCACGAGGCAGTAGGCGGCAGAGTAGTCACCCGCGGCGTTCATGGCATCGGAGCCAGTCTTGTCGAGGGAGGTCTATTCTGAATCAGCGACAAAAGACCATTGCAAAAGTGCTTGAGTTCCAATCCCTTACCGGAAACCTCACGTCCCTCGTGGTAAAACCTGTGATCTTCACCATGGTGGCGGCTGTAGAGTATCACGCGATAGAAATGTGTATAGAGATTGATTGGGATGCTTCGAGTGTCCTGCCGTTCAATGCGCAAAGACAACGATCAATGACCACGAAACTATCACAGGAGATACAGAGAAGAGAGAAGCGAAGGACAGAAATAAAAAAAAAAAGCGCAATCCTGGCGCGGGAGGAAGAGAATAAATATCCCTAAGAGACACCCCTCATCCCCCTCCAAACACCCCCGCGGACTGCAATTGTTCCGCCAGCGTGGGGAAGACAATCCTGATTGGCGGAGCAATTCTTCCTGGTCGTGGGAGCCAATTTTCCACCAATGACAAGAGCCCATCGGATTGTCGGCGGGTCTCCGTGTTCCTGACGGGCTGAGAGCCTGAGGCACCTCCTTGAGAGTATTGTCGATACGCCGTCAGCCCTAAGACTGTACGATTTTACGCAGCGAGGATCGGCCTATCTCCGGGATATTTATACGATTGCCTAGTATGTAGAGCATCGCTATAGTGTGTAGGTAGTCTATACATCTACAGACAGGGCCGCAAGAGATGGGAGTCTCAAGCAGAGCTACAGGGACAGAGGCAAAAGAGTACCGTTTGTATTGTGCCCCTCGCTGGAGCGGATATCTTTTAGAGCATCCTATCATTCCCATGCAAAGGCAGTTCCATTCGCCATAACCATAGCATAAACAACAAGAGTGGCCAAATATCAAGCATGTCTTATCCATTCGCCATGCACTGCTCAACCGGAGAGACCTCGCTTCTCGCTTTCCGAGAAGAAGATGATCATCCGCCAGAGTTTTCGGACCAGGACCTCGGCCTCCTCGTCGAGTGCCTATACGGGTTGAGTTAGAACACCATTTTTGAATAATCCGTTGAACGGGGTCAAAAGAACTTACCTCTTCGAGCTGTTCCACTAACTCCTGAGGACTGCCGTGCTTCCGAATATGCTCCTCCACCACGTCCACGAGCATCTGCTCCTGGACTCCCAGGTATTCCACAATCTTCTTCTCCACGAAGGGCTTGAGCTGTTCGCTGACCACGTTCTCGTCCACAAACTCCCACTTGACGTCCCATTTCCAGAGTCCCTCCTTGTCGGCTGGAATCTCGCCTGCCAGCTGCCGGGCAGCCTGGGCACGTTCCTCTTCGGTAAGTCCGGCCGCCTCCGCGGCGCTGTCGAACTTGATCGGAATGAGAGGACGCCTAGCCGTCGCTTCTGGCTCTTCCTCGTCCTCCAGTAGACCTTCGACATCTGCGACCGTCCGACGCGATGTTGCGGCTTGAGCTTTCTGCGCGGCGGCGCCAAGCGAGAGCTTGAAGCGCTGCGGCTCTCTCGGGGCCTGAGGGCGAGTCTCGAGCTCCTCCGCCTGGCGAGCAAGGAAGTCGTCGGCCATGCCGCGTGCTTGCTCGCGCTGTTGGACCGAACGAGCGCGTTCCCGCTCTTCGGCAGCTCGGTCGGTGTCGTCCATGCTAATTTCGCGCGCACGGAAAGCGGCCCGGCTGCGCAGCCACGCTCCCCGGTCGGCATAGTAGTCGTCGGCTTTGCGGCTAGCCTCAACCTCGTCGTTCCATTGCCCGAGTCGCTGATCGGCCTCTTCTTTGACTTCCTGGAGTTTGGATTCCTCTTCCTTGTCTCTCTTCTTCTCCCGCTCCAGGGCTGCGGTCCTGCTTCGCTCACGGTTGAGCCAGCGGCGCTCCTGGTCAAGGAACTGCTTTTCTTGTTCGGCTTCCTTCTTCTCCCGACGCCTGCGCTCCAGCTCCTCGTCGCTCGCATCGGATTCCTCATCTTCGCGGTCGATAAAGACGGCCGTTCCACCGTTCATAGACCCACCGTTGACGAATGACACACCCTTCTGGTAATCTTTGGGAATTTGAGCTCCGAAGCCCTTGGGCCCGGCAGGCGCGTTCGGCATACTACGGTCCCTAGGACCAAGAGGCACGCCGTTTGCGCCGGCAGCAGGTCCACTAGGGGCCGATGATGGCGGGGAAGCCAACCGGTTGACGCGGGAGCTGGCATTTCGGGCTCGCTCCATGGATTCGATTTCTTCTTCCCTCTTCAGGCGCTCAATGTCTCGGCGGTTGCTTCGCTCGCGGAACGCTGAGATTTCTTTCGCAACCGTTTCCCGCATATCGGCAGGAATATCCGACAATTCATCTTCAATGGTGATGGGGATGGTCACAACTTCGGCCGAGCCGCCTTCTCCTTGGCCATCACCGTCTTTCATCGCAACATCGCCCTCACGGTCAATTGCGGAAGTCTCTTCCTTCTGTGTGGGTGACGTGGGATTGAACAAGTCGGAAAGAACCTCTTTGAGAGTAGCACGAGCCGTGTCGAGTCGAGCCTGGCTCTCCGCAGGGTCTTGGTCGCCTTTAGTAGATTCATATTGCTCCAGGTACGTCAAAGAGCTTTCGTCAACGACAATCTAAAGAAAACCATTCAGTCAGCTTGGATTTTTGATTCTTTTCCGCACTTTGCCAAACTTACCAGCAGTGTGCTCTTCTCCACCTCCTCCTGCTCACCCTCATCACCCTGGGACGGTGTCTGTCTTTTCAAAGGCACTTGAACGTCCTTTAGTACTTCAACGGCAGTACCTAGACTTTCAGGGTCCTCGTACTCTGCGAAACCAAACTTGCACGGCTTTTCATCCGCATCCGTGGCACGGATCCAGCGCCTAAGGTTCCCCGCAGACCGTAGTATTCTCTCGACGCCCTCATCCCCGCCAGCGCCTTCCGTGATTCCACCGACAAATATCGTCCTCACGATTTCTTCGCGCGTCGGCGGTTGTAGTTGCATCATCGCATCGCGTACATTCTGGCGTTGCGAATCCAAGCTGGCCGAGCCCAGCCCGGCACGTCTTCCGGGAGCCTCGCGTTCCTTGTTGGTGTCTGGGGTAGCAGATTTCGGCGGACCGGAAGTTCCAAGGCGAATGACGGGAGCCGAAAAGTTGATGTTGGGCATGTTCGGAGGGGGTTGAAAGTTCGCGGGGAAACCGCCCGGTCGTCCTGGCTGCTGGGCATTCGCCTGTTGCAAGCCTGGCAGCGGAGTAGTTCCAGGGGCCGTCATACCGGGTGGCGGAGCTGTGGAATCAGTTATGATGATGATAACAAGCAGCAGAAGATAACAAGTAATACGTACCCATGCCCGGAGGTGCTCCTGGGTAAGCCCCGAAGTCAGGAGGCCTGCCATACAGACCGGGAGCTTCAAAGGTCAGCATTTAGCTATATAAATTATGCATAGATGCATCAAGTCGGAATTGAGACGCGAAAAGGCCTACCTTGGTAGGGGTTGTACATTGCGACAAGATTCGCAGCTCCGAAGCCTCGATCAGGATAGCTGGAGAAAATTGATCGCCTCGAAAATCTCGAGCCCCCGAGATCAAGGAGTCGCAGAAACAAGAGATATATAGGTCAAAGATCCCGATCGTAGCGATTCGACCACCAAGTGAAATGAGTCGCGAAGGGCTTGGATGGAGAGAAAGGTTGGTTCGGTCGGAGAAGATTGCGGCCGGCGGATTTGATGCTCGAGAAGACCAGTTGGCCCGTGCATCGCGCTTCTTGGCGCAGGGAATTTCCGCCGCCGACGGTACATACATACCTAATAGTGTCTCAATTTGCCTTAAGTTCTCACTGTTTGACGGTTGTCTGAGCAAAAACATTATTCCATTTCAGATGGACTGTCAGTATGGGGAATTCACTTATGATACGCAGGAAAGTCTCCCCTCCCTTGGTGAGACAATTTATATCTAACATGAATTCTCTTCGCTTCCTTTGGTTCAGTTCGAGAGAGCTCGACCTGGGTACCTACGCTCCTTTTTCTATACAGGACGAGCTTTCATCAAGCAATCCTATTGATATATTGTCTTTTCTGGGTGCCTTATACTCCAGCTTTGGCTTGGTAGAGATGATCATGTGATCACATACATGTCCAGCGGAGATATGATTGGCGGAAACCTCACCCGTCAATGATACTGCAGCCTGAGGCTGCAACCCTTTCGCAACAAAGAACCCAGTAGACCATATGGAAGTTCGAGGCCCTTGGAGTACGAGACCCCCGCGTCGTCTGCAGGAATTGAAGGGGGTTCGACTCAAGAAAGGCGTTTCTGCGAGCAATCTTATTCCTTTCCTACCTACGTGACGGTGAACACCATAGACATCGTTGTTACAACTTTTGGCTTCAACCCATTCAACTAGCCAGCCGGTGGAAAAGCACAAACGTTCCCCTGCAAATGAAACCTAATGCAATCTCTCTCTTTTTAAGTCGCATCACCCCTTGGCACTGTTGACTCTTCGAATTCACTGGCTGATGACAACGAATAGCTTGCGGGACAAAAGAAAGATTGGTTTCAGTCGACACTCCCACATCACAAATCGGGAAACTTAAACTGTTCATAGATCACTACATCTCAATCGAAACTCCCTGAACAAGAAGGATTCAGCTTTAGGGCTCTAATTAGCCTATCCGCTGCCATTTCGTACAGACAACCCAACATCCTCCTACCATGCCGTGTTCAAGACCAGAAGGGGCTCTATCACAAACAAGAGCCCCTAATTTCTTAAGTTTGCCTATCGAGGCGCGAAATAATATCTACGAACGGGTGCTTGCGGTACCACACCTTTCCAGGAGCCAGGATGTCCGGTGGCAACTTTTGCGCCCGAAAAACCCCGTCGATGGCCTGCACTGTTATATACCAATCGACATATATCCGAAGAGGCGAGTGCGGTTCTTTACGGCACGAATCAGTTCACCTTGGAAAAGATGGAAACGGAGAACCACCGCGCCGACCTGCTCGAGTCCTTTCTCAACTGCATCGGCTCCGTGAATGCAGCGTCACTGTCTCATCTATGTATCAACTTCCCAGCTATGGAACAGACTGAGGATCACTCGAGCTTCTCTTATTTGGAGAGAACGTAAGACTCTTTGAGCTTGAAGACCAGGACAACATTAGATGCATTCGAAATGTATTATTGGAAAGCAATATACATTTCCGGACCATTGCCTCGCTGAATAGAGTTATTCTTCGGGTCTGCGGCGGTTCTCCAGTTCCTTCATTGGAGGATTTCGTTGAATAGATAGATATACAATGACGCAGCTGGCATTTCAATGCGGTGTGATACTTAGTTGATGGTAGATTATTGAATGTATCAGAGTGGTCAATGGAGCTGGCCTCTAAACGCGTTGGCCGCATTTGCTTTTCTTGGGACTGCAAGCAATAGTCCTAACCTACCAATTTTGGCCAAACAGCACCTCAAGTCCCTAGCAAAAAGAAAATTCGTATATCCTATATAAAGAAAATAATTAGATCATCTACCTCATTCCCTATAGCATGATTCTCTATCTAATCTATTCACTAGGTACTTGCTTCCACCTCCATAGAGCCAACATAGGTAGGTAAGTCTACTGTCCAAAAAACTACAAGCGCCTCATCTGAGCGGCAGGTGCTCGTGGTGGATAGGCGGAGCGCGTCGACTGGGTGCCAGGGCGTTTAGCAGCGGTGTTGTTCGGGTGTGCCGTACAGAGCATTCTTTCATCGCAGTCCATGAAGTGGTCAAAGACCCAAAACGCTATTTTAAATGCCGCCCAGTATTGGTCCCTAGTCCAGTCAACCAGCCTCTGAATGGATATGAATAACTTGTAGATGCCAAGTATCGATTCAGTCTCTCCCAACAGCTGTCGCTCAAACGTTTGCGCTTTGCCACTCTGAGTTAAGGCAGTCGCCACGAACCACCAGTGGTGCTGCATCACGACGATGCCCGGCAAAAATTCGATCTCCCAGAGGTTGCCAAAACGTCACCATTTGTATCCCTGTGTAAACTGCGCCACTGGGCCGAGTGCCATGTGGTCACCTGTAGCAGTGCAGTTTCGTACCCTATACTAGGGCCTTTGGTCTCTATTGAGACGGCGATAGGACACTTAGTTAGGTCAGCCTAATCTGTATGGTTGATTGACATTGCCGGACGATATTTGCAAAGGGATTGGATGGCTTGGTATTGTGGCGAGTTTGTCCTAGGCTGTATACAGATGCAGTAGTCCACCATCTTGCTGGGTGGTTTGCGGGGTTGGTATTCGGGGGAAATCTGGACTGTAAGGCTGCAAGTGGGCTAGCACACTTATGGATTAAAATTTAAAGAAATAAGAAGCAGGACATACCAGCATCGATAGTCTACAAGGTCATCCCCGCCGGGGCTGTCTCGAAGAGCCCAATCCAGGATACGCGAATGCACATCATTATTCCAAGACGACTCGGGCGGTTGTTCTTGAAACACCTGCTCGCAAGGTTTTATATCTTCCGCGCAGTGCGTATATCAGGTAATTGCGACTTTTCAAAATCAACACTATCCCCAAAATTCCAGGCTGCGATCGGACGTTGATCTGCAAGCTGTGAATGCAGCCATATGTTAGCATGGAACAAAGTCAAAGTTCACAGCATGGTTTCGTATATCAACTTGGAGGTTCCTTGGAAGAATCCCAAAGCCACCAACTATCCTCTCAAATTCCGTGGTCAATGCATCAAGTGATCTCGGCTTCGTGTCGTTACAGAGGTCCGCTCTCGAAAATCCGGTCTTCTCGAGCTCTGCATTGCGCAGCCGCTTGGTGGGGGATGAGTTGCGGGTGATTTTCGAAGCCTTGGACGAGGCCTTTGATGATGATCGGCTTGAGGTAGAGGGTAACCAAGGAGGTCGGGGCGCCTTTGTCCATCGCAGAAGCTTTCCGACGAGCAGGGCGAGGGGTGAGCTCTACTTGAAGGCCTGAACCGCTCGACACTTGTCCGTGCTCTTGTCCTTCGTCATCTTCCTCCGGTAGGGTATCTCGCATGCGGTCGGTCTGGTTCGTGCGGCGCGCTGGCGGCATGTTCGGCAATTTAGATAACAAAGGCACAGAACCTGAACCAGATTCTGGGGGCGATCGAAGTCGTGTTGCTCGATCTCCATTCAATATCTGTCCAGAGTACTCGTCATGGACATACTCGTTGTTCTCCAGTCTCAGACGCTTGCATGGTCGCTCGGACGATTGAATGTCGGGCACCGGGACAATAGCGTCCAGCCACTTCAAAATACGGTGCGCGTGATCTCGACTCATGAAAAACGATACAATGATGGCTGCAGTGGTCCTAGATAATAATTAATGCCAGGTGATTGCGGGGTGTAAATGGATATGAGCACTGGGCTGTCACGTGCATACTTGACAACAGGCTCAACGTTGCCGGGGAAACCTCGCATGTGATAGGCCACCAGCCCTTCTTTCTTCTAGAGATCTTCGATCTATAATTCTATAATTATAGTTTCAATATCAACGGCATTCAGACTCGGTGGACTCTTGCAGGGGTACTGGAAGCCGAATGTCGTTACGGATCCGTTCTCTGAATACCTAGGTGCCTTCGTATTACAGTCTAGCCAGGAGGTCAGTGGGCATAGTTCGGCATGGTGTAAGTACTAGTACTTCGTACAGGGGTTTTTTTAATTGATCGACGCCCGAGTGAGAGAGTCTAGGCAATTAGTTACATGCACCCAAGAAATGCATTTAACCGACTGACGGCGGAACTTGATCCTCGAGAGATCATAGATTTCACCGGCCTCTAATTTCCGAGACAAATTTGAGGTGGCCATAAATCCCGCTTAGTCGTGGGGGTGCAAGCCGAATCACCCGTTCCTGGAAGTCTCCGGTGAAGGATTCTAAGGTACTCCATAACTAGAGGAAGTTCATATTCTAGAATTCTAGAAGAGCATTGATGACAAACGGACGTCATGCAAGTCAGAAGGTCAGATGACCGGATATCCGACGATGGGTCTCGTCGGAGGACAGTCTGCCTTTGCACGGCCGGACCTATTCTTAACATGACATGAGAGATTTTTTTTAAGAAAAAGGGGAAGAATACATATAGTACTAATATCAAATCGAATCACAGTATTAAACTAATTAAGTATAAAACAGAATAAAATAAAAATCAACAGCTGCTCATAGTCCGATCTGTCCAGACCTCACCTCCCAGTAAACACCGGAAATTACCAGAAATACCTGACGAAGTCTTACGGAGAAATTCTGCGCCGCCGGCGCTGCCCCACCACCGCCCGTGACCGTATCGTACAAAATGCCCCTCCACGGACCCCAACAGGCCGGCGCTTGACGCCATACCCTTCAGGCCTGCCCGCTTTGCCCACCGGCCATCGTCATCTGTCCTCCGTGACTCCCGCTTCGCTTTTTCTTCACTTCATCCCCTGGTCTCAGTCAGTTTGTGTCGAATTCGGTCTGGTTTAAATTCAGGTAAGCCCACTTCCCAATTCCTGCTCCGATTCCTCCTCCCCTCCCTCCTCCCCTCTGTCGATATCTGCCCCGCACTGACACCAACTATCCCTCCATTTAGAGCTTTTCTTCACCACCAAAAAGCCTAAACAGAGCTCCCTCTCTACCACAAACCATCCACAATGCCTGGTTTCTCGCAGGCTACCGAACTCTCCTCCTGGAAGGAGCTCCAGGAACACCACAACTCCGTCGGACGCAACATTGTCCTGAAGGAGGCCTTCGAGAAGGACCCTGAGCGCTTCCAGAAGTTCAGCCGTACCTTTTCCAACACCGTCGACAACTCGGATATCCTCTTCGATTTCTCCAAGAACTTCCTCACCGAGGAGACTCTCTCTCTTCTGGTCAAGTTGGCCAAGGAGGCCAACGTGGAGCAGCTGCGTGATGCTATGTTCCAGGGCGAGCCCATCAACTTCACCGAGAACCGTGCTGTCTACCACGTTGCTCTTCGCAATGTCTCCAACCAGCCCATGCAGGTCGATGGCAAGAGCGTTGTTGAGGAAGTCAACTCCGTACTGGAGCACATGAAGGAGTTCTCTGAGCAGGTCCGCAGCGGCGAGTGGAAGGGTTACACCGGCAAGAAGATCAACACCATCATCAACATTGGTATTGGTGGCTCTGACCTGTAAGTTAACACCCCTTTCCAGGCTGAATGCTTGGAATGTGGTCTCTCTGCACGGATCATGCTAATGGTTGCAACTAGTGGTCCTGTTATGGTTACCGAGGCTCTGAAGCCCTACGGCCACAAGGACTTGAAACTGCACTTCGTCTCCAACATCGACGGTACTCACATCGCAGAGGCCCTCAAGGACTCTGACCCCGAGACCACTCTCTTCTTAATTGCCTCCAAGACCTTCACCACGGCGGAAACCACCACCAACGCCAACAGCGCTAAGAAGTGGTTCCTCGAGACCGCTAAGGACGAGTCTCACATTGCCAAGCACTTCGTCGCCCTCTCCACCAACGAGGAGGAGGTCACCAAGTTCGGCATTGACAAGCGGAACATGTTCGGTTTCGAATCCTGGGTGGGTGGTCGCTACTCCGTGTGGAGTGCCATCGGTCTGTCCGTTGCCCTTTACATTGGCTTCGACAACTTCCACCAGTTCCTGGCGGGTGCCCATGCCATGGACAAGCACTTCCGCGAGACTCCCTTGGAGCAGAACATCCCCGTCCTCGGTGGTCTGCTGAGCGTGTGGTACAGCGACTTCTTCGGTGCCCAGACTCACCTGGTCTCTCCTTTCGACCAGTACCTGCACCGATTCCCCGCCTACCTGCAGCAACTCTCCATGGAGAGCAACGGCAAGGCCATCACCCGCTCTGGCGAATACGTCAAGTACACCACCGGCCCCATCCTGTTCGGCGAGCCGGCCACCAACGCCCAGCACAGCTTCTACCAGCTGCTCCACCAGGGCACCAAGCTCATCCCCTCGGACTTCCTCATGGCTGCTGAGTCGCACAACCCCGTCGAGGGTGGCAAGCACCAGCGCATGCTTGCGTCTAACTTCCTGGCTCAGTCCGAGGCCCTGATGGTCGGCAAGACTCCCGAGCAGGTGAAGACCGAAGGCGCCCCCGACAACTTGGTGCCCCACAAGACCTTCCTCGGAAACCGCCCCACGACGTCCATCCTGGCTCAGAAGATCACCCCTTCGACGCTCGGAGCGTTGATTGCCTACTATGAGCACCTCACCTTCACCGAGGGTGCCGTCTGGAACATCAACTCGTTCGACCAGTGGGGTGTCGAACTGGGCAAGGTCCTGGCCAAGAAGATTCAGCAGGAGCTGGAGACTGCTGGCGCCGGCGCCGGTCACGACAGCTCGACCAGCGGCCTGCTCTCTGCTTTCAAGCAGAAGGCCAACCTCTCTTAAAAGGTTGAAAGTATAAAAATTGGGCTAGCCATATGATGAGAACATGAGTGATCACCTTTCTAGTAATTTTTGTGGAAATTGAATGCAAATAAGTTTAATGATGCTCATCGCATGCCCTCTTGATGTCATAATCTTGACTAGAACCTTGGTTCAATAAGATAGAATGTGCTTGCATCTTCAGGGCAGGGTGTTGAGGTGCCTTTCAGAATTAGTTCTAGTCCATTCATGCCAGAAGATCAGTTAGTTACTCTGTAGTTAGCCAGGGACAAAGGACCAAGATTACTTAATACAATAAGTCACATGACTGTTAAAGCGGCAAGGCCTCGGAGTGGATGTTTTGGCTCCACTCCTCTCGTACAGATCAACTTGGAAGTTGCAGTAAGCATCACCGCGGCACGCCAGAAAGCAGCCAAGTCGCTGGGCTGGTGGAGTGTGTCTTTGACCATCATGGCCTTTCTTGGGGCCGTATTCTACGGCTCAATTGCCTGTCTTGCGTTGCAGGCTTCTGCGGCGGGCAATGGCCGGCCAAGTAACAGGGCCGGTTACGGCCACGGCCAGCCGATGCCAGTGACCTGTCTAAACCGGACAATGTGAGTTTTTTTTGCGATTGCGCATTTTCCCCAATTGGGCCTTCTCATGGCTTGGGTCTCTCATACAATTCTTCTGGAATCGGGGCTAACTGTTCTCTGTCTTAAAGCGATTCCGGTGAACATGTATTTCCCCCCCTGACGCCTTACCTGTCGTCCTCCTTAATTACTGCCTACAACGCGCAATCCCACCAAGAGATCGGATCGCCCGACAATATCACACAAATAGCGTCAAGCTAACAAACCACCCAATCCAAACCATCTAGATCACCGACGACCTCGGAAAACTACAATACATACCCTTCCCGGTCTGCAATGAGACCTCGCTGTCTCTGGCCCTGCGCTACGGCGTCCCCGAGACGGTCAATTGCACCGTCAACTCCCTCCCCGATGAACTCTACCACCTCCTCGAATACTACGTGCACTCCGACGTGCCCATGACCTGTCGTGTACCCACGGGACCCCTCTCCCCAGCCGCCGCCTCCTACGCGAGCACCGAAGACGGCGAGACCGTCGGCACCGAATTGGGCTCGCTCGCTGAGGACGGTCCCGCCTATACGCCCATTACCTTCGCGCTTCAGGGCACCCTGCAGCGCAGCCATCTGCACATCTGGACGGATATGAACGTGCTGATGCACAACATTGCGTCGACGAGCAAGGAGCAGACAAAGAAGAAGAACAAGAAGAAGGTCGCGCAGCAGACCCCTGGGTATGTTGTCGCGGGAACGGCGTACTCGGTCCCCGAGTTCGACGTGGCGCTGATGAAGGGTGAAAAGAAAGAGGATATTACCGACGATGACGAAGAGGGCCAGACTGAGGCCGAAGCAGCTGCTGTGGCGGAGAACGCTCGCGAGCCGTGGACGGCCGGACACGGCACGAAGGTCATTCGCGGCGAGCCGCTCACCTTCACCTTCCATGTTAACTGGATCGAAGGCGGCGCGGGCATCGGGTGGCCGTCCCGGGGGGCGGCCTTGTCCGGAAGCGAGTCCGGGACGTCGGGGTTCTTCTCGAAATTGTTCTTCTTCGGGCTGGCTGCGTCGGTGGGCGCGCTGGTGGCGCTGTATTGGGAGCGCGTTGGGGGTCGTCGACGAGCTGGGTGGCGAGGGGATGGGATCCTGGGGGTCCCGTCTAGAGGTAAAGGATCTATTGGGATCACCTACGGCAATGGAGGCAAGATGAACGGATACGGAGGGTACGCATCCTCTAGCAGCTCGTCTACGCCTGGAGGCGGTGGATACGGAGGGTTTATGACTGGGAAAAGAGATTAAAAGAAGATGATAGTAGTGGATGGCTTGGGATGCTGGGACTTGTATATGGCATGGCATGTATAAAGCACGAATCTTTTTTTTTTGTCTTTGTTTCTTTTGGTTGTTTATGTTTTGGTCGGATTGCATGGACATGACAAGATAGATAGATGTTCAGATTTATTTTTTCTCATCTAGCCAAAACATGATATAACTCCCGTAAAAAGTATAAGAAACAAAACAAAACAGAAAGGTAATAATTGTACAAGACAGTTAACTCTCCATCATACTCAGCCATGCCGGTTACCCATCATACACTTCCTTTTATCTCTGTAACTCTTTCCAAATAACCCCAATCTTTACACCCAATCCAGACAGATAGAATCCACTCACTCACTCAATCCAACCCCCAAGAAGTGAAGAAACCTACCACCCCTGCGCCCTCATCCGATCAATGCGGGCAACGGTCCGCTGAAACGAGTACTTGAACAACTTTCTCCACCTCTGCACCCTCAAGTTCTTGCGGACCTGACCCCTTCGAATATGAAACTTCTGCGAATACGTGTCCTGCTTAACCTTATTCTGGGCACACGTGCTCTGCAGAACCCGCAGCGACGACGCCAAATCCAGACCCCGTTCCGGCTCCACGTACACCTGGCGACCCAGCGAAGGGCCCAGCTTCAGCGACACCTTGCGCAGCGGCACGACGGGCGACGTGGCGGCGTTGAGGGCGCGGGTCACGGAGATGTTGCCGTCGTTGCTGCCGTCGCCGCCGAAGCGCTGTCCTTCGGAGGAGGCGTAGGGGTCCTGGGACTTGGGGGCCGCGTTGTTGATGTTGAGCTTGTCGAGGATTTGGTCGAAGTCGGAGGCGCGGGACTCAGAGGGGGAGGGAGAAGAGGAGGGTTTGTTGTTGGATTGAGGGCCGCGAGAGGAGTTGTTGGAGGAGGCGAAGCGCTGGTTGGCGAGGAATTGACCCCGGAGGATCGATGAGGGCGCTGTGGTGGTGTAGAGAGATGTCGGCCTCGCGCGGAGGAGACTGCGGGTTAGGGAGCGCATCTCCATGGTTTTTTTTCTGATGTTGGAGGAGGGAAAGGTGGTCGATTATTGAATTAGAGAGGTAGATGGCAGTTCTTATTATTGATCCAGCTCCGACGATTGCCTAACCTGCGGAGATCAGAGGGGAGTGGCGAGGGTTGAGGTCACGAAAGCTCTCGTTCTTCTGCTGGTCTGGAGGAGGTCAAATCCGTTCGGTTTTCTGCGGACACGTGACCGGGCCTGTCTCCATGCAACTCTTTCCCTCGACCTCTCTTTGCTCTGACACCGACGACATCGTGAGATTTGCTGAGAGCTGCGAGAGACTAGTGCACTAGCATTGTTGCAGAACATTATCCGCGACTTTCTCTTATCCGAACAATCTTCAAAAAATCACTCGCCATGTCGTCCATCTCCATCGCGACTCTTCCCCGCATGAGCCGGGACGCTCTTTCAGCCCTTCTACTCTCCGCCAGTTCCCCCAGTAAACTCGCAATCATTGACGTGCGAGACTCCGGTAAGGCTGTCCAGCTTGCAATAAAAAATGGAATAAAAATTAGTCGAGGCCCGTTATCTAACTTATCGCAGACCACATCGGCGGGCACATCCACTCCTCTACCTGGATTCCCAGCTCGTCTCTCGACCACCGCATGCCCGAACTCGTCCGCAAGCTGGCGGACAAGGAGAAGGTCGTCTTCCACTGCGCTCTCAGCCAGCAGCGCGGGCCGTCGGCTGCTCTGCGCTACGCCCGGGAGCGGGAGAGCACCCTCGGCGCGGAGGAGAGCAAGAAGCAGGATGTGTATGTTCTGGAGGGAGGGTTCGTGCAGTGGCAGGAGAAGTATGGCAAGGATACGCGATTGACGGAGGCTTATGTGGAGGATATTTGGCAGGAGTACTGAGGCTCTTCTGTGTGATGATGTTCTTGATGATAAAATGCGTGCAATGTTGGGCGATACCCGCGGGGCTGGACTGCTTATTCGGTTTGATGATTTGACGTTTAAGATAGAAGGTTAGATTAGCATTGATTCTTGGTTCATGATATATTTATATATTTACATGCGTAATATTACATTGTTCTATAGGGACAACGAGATCTAGATTCCCCCGCCAAATCCGACAGGACGACGCTTTCCACTGTTCTCCGGGATGATGGCCATGACCTTGTAGATCTTGCCCATGCCGCCTTCACTCTTCTCGACCAATCGCTTCCAGCTGCTTTCTAGCGTTTTCCGTTTTTCCTCGTCCTGGATGCCCTTGAGCAATTGCTGCATGCGCTCTTCGATACCCATGCCCTGCAGGAAGTCTCCTTGCTCCATAGGACCGTGCACTTCCACACCCTCACTTGCTTCGATAGCTGCTTCCGCCAGCGAAGTAAAATCGACGTCGACGCTCACATCGACCTGTCCAGGGGACGAAAGTGGGGGTACATTCTGGTGCTTCTGGATACCGCGCAGGGAGTTGATGGGAATCGTTGACAGGGTTCCGTAGTCCATGATCAAAGCCGCACCAGACGGGACACGCTTGGCGGTTGCCGGAGGAGCGGAGGAGTCCCCTCGAGTAGCGGTCCGCGGGGGTTGCGACGAGCCACCAATCCTTCGTGCAAAGTCCGATGCATAGATGCGGCTTTCCGGGCTGATTTCAATGGTGGACCCCGGCTGGGACTTGAGCGCTTGGTACCGTTTGGAGATCTCGGGAATGACAAGAGACGACGGGGTCGATGCTTTCGCTAACGTCAGAGAGAATTCGGGTTCGCCAGCCTGGTTCTCGTCCACGGCTTTGGGGTTCAAGGTGACCATGAGCTCGCGCCACTGGGGGGTGTTGGCGGGCTTCGGCGGGTCGTTCAGTTTGATGGGGCCAGTAGGCGTCATGATTTCCTTCTGTTGGGGGGTGTTTTCCGGAGAAGGAGGAATGGATTCAAAGGCGTGCATTGGGAGGGCGTCAAAGAATTCATGTGCGAATATGAACGGCGTCTTGCTTTCATCTGTTTTGGGATCATGAGAAAAGGGCCTGTAGTTTGCAAGACTCCATCAGCACATACCATGAGGCAACAACCTGATATCTTCCACCCAGACCACCGGAACGTCGAAATATTTGCTGGTGCTCTTGTGGCCGATATCAGTTTCCACCATGGGGGCATCGCCGCAGAGTCGCTGTCGCTGGACCTCTCGAAGCGTAGGACTAGCTTCCACCAGATAGATCGCTTCAATGCTCGAAGTAAACGTCTTGAAGTTCCTGAGAGCCTATTCATCCAGAGAATCAGCATCCGCCACTCCAACTAGGTGAGCAGATCAGACTTACACGAAGCATGTCATCCATCAATGTCCCCTTGCCCGGTCCAACTTCCATCAATTGAACCCCGCTGCGTTTCCGTCCCTGCGCGATCCATTCTGCTATTGTCCACACACCGACTAGTTCTCCGAAAACCTGAGATATCTCTGGCGACGTGACGAAATCACCTTTTTTACCGAACACTTCCCCATCGCCTTCGGGTCGAGTCGTGTAATAGCCACCCTCGGGGGACGTGAGGGCTTGACGCATGAAAGCCGCAATCGGGATCGGGCCGGTTACCTTACGAGAGTAGTGGTTAGCAAACAGGTCTGCAGGTCAATTGAGGGTTGTATCAAGTACTTTGATGGCACTGGCTAAAGTTCGAGCCAGTGGCGTAGACCACTCTCTAGTATCAAATGTTGATGAGCATCGCCGCGACCCAAAAACCAGCGTTCGGTTGGGATATCGCCGAACAAGCTGGGTCAGCGCACGCCTGCTCCCAATGTTCATGTTGGCAGACGACCGGGGGGAATGAAGGTGTAGATTTCTTCAAAAGTGATTGTTGGAAAGCCGCCGTTTGTTTCTCCAATTCTTCTCCGCAACGGTTCCGCAACACGTGATTGTCCTTATCGTATCAGTCCCTTTCATTTACATCTACACTTGCTATTTTCGATTATTGTACGCCAAATCCCCAAGGAAACATCGGCTAATATTCATACAAGTCATCATGTCCGACAAAGGTACACAAAAAAGTCCAATGGCCGAAACCGTGATTAAGCAGGTGTCAACGTCAATATCCTGCTGTCTTTCCACCACTAGTTATCATTACTTTTTTGCAGGCATTGATAGCCAAAAGTCTATTCCGATTGACTGCTGATGGCCAATTCCTATCGGTTCCAATTTCCCCGGTTCCTTGAGTTCTGAGGAGCGTCGACCATCATTTGATCACTGTAGAGGCCCTGGTCGTTTGCGTCCTGGTTCGTATTTCTCCCACCTCTCCCTTGGTTACGACCTCTGAAGTTTCGTCGGTTATTGCGACCGGTGCTCCGAGTATCGGTCTGAGCGAAAAGATCCCCGTTCTGCTCGCCAAATCCATAGTTTCCGTTTTGGCCGGTAGTGTCAGCTCCGCGATGCAAACGACGCTCACGGTCTGCTTGTTCTCGAAGATCGTTGAAGGAGGGAGAGTGCTGGGATCCCGAGCCAGTCGACCGGCTAAAGAGGTCGCGCTTCGCCTTGGGACCACCCATTGGTTTCATCCGCATGGAAAGAACCAGGCCATCCGCCTTTGTAGAAGTTAGCTTTGGCCCAGTCGGAACACTCATAGTCAAGATTCTCACCCTCTGGTTGTGGAGGTTAGCGATTGCGTTATCTGCGGCCCATTTCTCGGCGAAGGTAATTTCCGCGGTCACAGTAGGCTCGTGCGATGTCACCCAGCATTTCAGGATCTCTCCCGACATGGGCTCGATTGTGGACTGGATATCTGCGGCGGTGGTGCCGGGCGCAAAGTTGCTTCCGATGACTACGAACGGCCCCGAGGCTCCCTTGATCGAAATTCCAACCGGTCCCTCCCGGATCGATGCTTGTCCACTGGTCGGATTGAGAGCCGACATCAGACGATCTTCATCGGGGCGGCGCTTCTGATGCGATGCACCTCCTCCTCGAACGGGCGCAGACGGGACTCGTTTTGCGTTCTTGGTCTTGAGGTTTGTTGCGGGAGTCGAGCGCTAAAGGATCGTCGAGAATTATCGGAGGTCAGTCCACTGTGCAAGGTCATGCTAGAAGCAATGATTTCTCCCAAGGTTACCTTAGCCACGCCAATCCGACTCGCAAGGCTCCCCGATGCTGCGTTCTGTGCTTTGTTCCCAGCGCCCGGGCCGGGTGCGCTCGACCTTCGATTTTTCCCTAAGATTCGGTTTGCAAGTTCTTCATTTTTCTTTTTCTGGCGATCTGATTTTGTTCGACGGCATTTAGCGACTATCCCGACAATGACAGGGTGGGGTGTTTGCGGAGCTCTTACCAGCGTTGATAATCTGGTCAAAAGAGACAGCTTCCTGGCCGCGGGCCATGGCGACGGAAATTGTAAAGCTCGGGCGGGTTTCACTGGAGTAGAGAAAGGTGACGATAAGATGAGAGGAAATACCCTGAGAATAAGAGCGAGTTTGTGGATCGAGAACAGGAGGGAAATCGAAGAATGGGTGTGGTCAGCAAGACGAAGGGAGCGAGGGAGAGAGAGAAGTTTGGGGTAAGTTTGGGGGTTCCATAGAATTTCCTCCCATTTATTTATGCAGCTCCGACGCTGCGCGACACCAAACTTGACCCGCGCATCGCTCTCGCCATGTCCAACGTACGCCCCTGTGCGGGCTATAATATCCCTCCGACCCGTAAATTGCTCGGATTCGGTGTTTTCTACACTAGCATCCTCCCACCTGGCTCTGAATTTTCCCTTCTGGAACTCCTGGGGTAGGAACGATGCGCAGGGTGATGAACTGGAAGCTGGGGAGCCAGCCTCTTCTTCCAGTCCCTGTGCTCTGCTTTTCTTTATTGCTCTTTGTCCGACATTGCAAAATCTCCTAGTCCAACGTTCGCTTCGCCTTTGTCTGCGAATGCAAGTTGTTTGCCTTTGATTCATCTCTTCCAGCCCTAATCCAGTATTGTCTTCTACGGTGCTTTCGCAAGCCTTCAATCTTGCCTCTTTGGTACCGACTGGCTTTCCCTAGAGTTATCACACGGTGAAGAGAGACTTCTAATACGACATGACTTCGGACAATCAAAGCAACGACTTTGGCAGACGTTACCAGACACTGCCTTCGTCCGCTATCGTCCGCCCATCACCAGCAAGAAGAGCTAGGTAGGATTGATGTAGCTCGCCATGCTTGATTTCAATGTTGATATTGAGTTTAGGGCCACCATTCCGTCCAACTCGCCGTATATATGCGAGGAAAGCGTTCACTATCCGGTTTTCAATCCTTTGGACCCTAGACACAACCCAACAGTTCCTACATCATCGTGGCTCGACGATGACTACCCTCAAGAAGCGCCCGTTGACCCGGACTCTGAGGGTTGGATGCAAAGTTTCTCCAGGAGGTCCATCCGTAAAGCGCGTTCCGGGCTTCTAGCTCTCAGGTCGGGGATGCAGAGGCGTCCTCTCATGGTTGTCCCCCGTCGCAATGCCGAAATGCCGAGGCCTTCTCCCTGGCCGCAGGACCATTCTGACCAGAAAGAGAATATTTTCCCGTCAACGGTATCGGAAGCAAGTACCGAAGAAGATATCGAGTTTGGGTCTCACCTGCATCGAACCAAATGCAAATCTTCTCCTTTGACCCATGGTCAGGATAGACCTATACCCAGATCGCGATTCTCGACGACTTTGGCCGATCTCTCACCTTTTGCCAGAAGAAGCGAAGATACGACTGATTTACCTAGTCCAGCTCTCATGGAGAGTGTATCTAATACCCGCGTGCATGAATCAGCTAGTGAGAATACAGAACAGTCAACAAAGTTCAATGTACCTTCTATAACACGTGAAGTCGAAACTGGAGATCGCACCCCCGCCGTTGACGCTACAGAATCCAGTGCAGAAAACTCTAGGTCTAGCAATTTCCCCAGGAACTCCGCCTGCTCTGATCTTTCGGGTGCCACGGCTGCAGAGACTGCAGGTCTTGCTCACACGTCCAGCAATGTCGACAAGTCGAAGACTGGTCGTGTTGACAGAAGTACGGCCTACTCAAGCTGTGTAGCACAACCCTCGCTTGACAGGAGCTCATCAGAGTCAAGCAGCTCCTTTGCCCATGAGGCTAGAAAAGTTCTTCGTAAAGAAGACGTAGTGGTGCCCGCACGCCCTCAGGAGTCACATGTCGTCGAAGTGAACGACATTGATTTGATTATGGACACACTTGGAGCCTTAGATCGTCTCAGCACTCAAGATAGCCCTAGTACGTGCCGCGTGGACCTCGGATCTAATGAATCAAGTCCAGATTCTCCCAGACGGACTAATACAGGATCTATGTATCCGTGTCGCTCGTCTGGCACCGAAAGAGAGCCGCGTCGGAGCAATGGAGAAGCCCAGGCCAATGTGGGTTAGTCGATGACGCTGACTGAACAATACTAATAGCATCTAGGGATCTTGCAATATCAGGATTCAGGTGCAAAGTGGTGATTGGAGTCGCAGCCTGTCCCCTGTCCCCGAAAGCGTCGATTTGGTGGACTCGAGCGACTTCTTCGGCGACCAGGCAGCGTGGTCAACCCGGCCGAGTGAAGAGGGGACAACCACCGACATCACGTCGGTTTCCAACGCTTTATGGTCACCCGTCGAGACCGAAGACATGACATCCGTGGCATCCCTAGGAGACGAATATTTCCTCGTCGATGGCAAGACGAGCGGGTTCCACCCTGATCGGGGAGATAACCCTACCAAAGCCGAGCGGAGGCTTGCTAGCGATGGCAGCCTATATAGTGACCCTAGCCTCGAGCGCAATCCATCGGTTCGAACGCAGGATATCCCCGAAGTGATCGGGCCCTCAACCCCGATACGCCGGCCGCCGTCAGGGCCACGGCGAAGGGATCGAGATGCAAGTGATTCTACCGACGAATATCGGGTTACATATCCCATATTCCTGAGACGATATCTCTCCTAGTTCCTTAACGATGGAGCCAATGCATCTTTCGAGTCGGCCCGGTTCACTCGTTTTTTGTGTTTGGTCTATATGGCGATATCGCTTGGTCTCGAAAGCATAAGTCGTTATTTTACATTGTTAGAGCCCGTCAAACTATTTGTTCCAGTTCATCCCAATGCTTTTCTGTATCTTAATAGGTTGGAACAATCTTGCTGGGCACGCTACTTCTAATGATCATTGAATACATGGCTGTTGGTAGTATTCTTATTTATCTCTGCATACATAACATTACACATTCACGATCGAGCTTGACTTGCTTCTTAGGGTTTCTGGTCCAGTTAGAGCCGTCTTGCTATGGAGTGTTTGCCATTCAGGCATGGCAATTGATAAGATAGGGTAAATAGTCCAAAACTTGCTACTTCACTATTAGTAGGACGATGTCTTTTTTCTTCGATACAATCATTAGTCCGTTTATCTACATTAATGTACAATACCCTCCTCAGTACCCTCCTAGCGTTGTATTGAGCAGGCATAAACTCAGTAAACTGATGATATGATGCCGAATGCTTCAACCCTGGATCCTTGTGCAACTCGAAACAAAAGTCAGGTCTAATCTGCATGCTCAGAGAAGGATTCAACCGAAACCAGAGAGCACCTCTCATCAGTTCCCAATCGACTCGGCCCCATCTATCCCAGCCGAAGAGTGAAGCCCGCTCCCGTTTCGCCCGTGTCACTAGCAGCAGCCTGACCACCAAAGACGCTCGCAAAGTCCAGCTTCGGAGCGTCCTGGCCGCGCTTCGGCGCCTCGGGGGTCTCGCGACGTCTCCGCCTCTCCATACCTGCTTTAGACGGGAACGTGGGGAAAATCTCCTTGGGTTTGGGACGGGGGTCTTCGCGGAAGTACTGATGCGCAAGACATTCTTGGGTGGTTGGGCGGATGCTCGGGTTCAGGGCCAGTAGGGACGAGAGGAGATGGAGGCCGGCGTTTGTCAGGAAGGGGAATTTCGAGCGAGGCAGTAAGGGGAGACTGCTTGAGGATGAGTCGAATGATGAGGTGGGTGGAAGACGGAGGGATTTGGCGTTGGGGAGGGATCGGAAGCCAGGCCAGGATTGGGATGTTGGGGGACCGGTGAGGGCGAAGATCTTTTAGATGGGTTAGCTTTCCCGAGGTATTATGCTTGGTCTGGAAGACACATACTTTGGAGACTTGGTCGACTTCGTTCTTCCCTTGCAGTAATGGTTCCTTGGTCAGGAGCTCGCCGAATATACACCCGATACTCCACATGTCTACCTCCGTGCCGTACTTCTCGGCGCCCAGGAGCAGCTCGGGCGATCGGTACCACAGCGTCACGACCAGCTGGGTCAGCTTCGGAGGCGGGTCGCCGTAGTACCGGGCCATACCGAAGTCCGCGATTTTCAGCTCGCCGCGGTTGTTGATGAGCAGGTTGGAGGTTTTGAGGTCGCGGTGCATGATCCATTGCGAGTGGAGGAAGCCCAGGCCGGAGAGGACTTGGAGCATGAGAGTTTTGGTTTCGGAGGGGAGGAAGGGCTCGCGCATGTCATCTAGAAGGGTTTTGAGGTCATGCTCGGCGAAGTCCATTACTAGGAAAATGCTGTGTTGGAGAGATGTTAGCTGTGTTCAATTTTTTGGTTTTTCCGGGGGCACTGGGAGGAAGCGCATACTCATCCAGTTTATTCCCCATCACAACTTCCCGTAAATATACCACATTCTTATGGCGCGCTTCCAATAAAGTCTGGATCTCGCGAAGACCAGTCACAGGGAACCCGTCCGTCGCGTTCTCCATCTTGAGTTTCTTCAGAGCCACGACTTCGCCGGTCACGATGTCCTTCGCTCGACTGACCCAGCCATACGAGCCCTCTTCGATGTGATTTAAACGTTCGAAGTTGTCGACATGGCGGCAGGGGCCCCATCCTGGTCCCGGAAAACGCAGCAGCTTCGAAGGCACCTGGGATGCTTTCTCTTTCTCGCCTCGGGGATCGGCGAACTCGGGCAGCTCCTGGTCATCGGGCTCATTGGACAATCGTCGTCGTTTCTTGGGCGGCGCATCGACATTACCGTTGGTCTCTGAGGGGGATTGAGGCTGCGATTGCTGTTCCTCGAGCTGGCGTTGCTTTTCGGCTTTGGCGCGTCGTTTCTCTTCCTTCTCCCGTTTGCGTTGGGCGACGATAGCTTCGGTCTCGGGGTCGTCGTCGGCCCATCGGGACTTGGAGGACATAATTAGACCGAGCGACAGATTCCCGATCCCAGAATGACAGGAATTGGAGATGGGTCGTATGACGTGCTGGATTAATAAGGGAGGGGACGGGGGATTGAATCCAGGTGAAAAGGGCGGAGAAGGGCGACAATTGGAGGGATGACGCCGTTTGGAGATTTGGCGGCGGATTTCAAATCATCCCCCGCCTTCGCCGCCGCTTCGCCCTCGTCTTCCGTCGCTTCCTGCGCTCGTTCTTTACTTTCACGTTGCCACGTTCTTTTACTTTCATTTTCCTACTTTTTTTGAAGGAACCGTTCTTACCGTCTAATTCACATCATGATTGAACCTTTCCAGGTCGGTGGGCCCATGGATTGGTGGCGCATAGTCCCTCTGACTGACTGACGCATCCCGCACAGACAACCTTCGCGGTCCCGATGACCTGCGACGGCTGCGTCAAGGACATCTCCTCGTCCCTGAAAAAGGTTGAAGGTAGGAGAGCCTTTCCGTTCTCATCCGGGGAATCGATCCAAACATGATCAGAAAATTGATCGGTCCACTAGGAGTCAACAAAGTCGACGCGAATCTTAAGGACCAGCTCGTATTCATCGAGGGAACCGCCGCGCCGAGCTCTATCGTCACCGCCATTCAAGCTACAGGTCGTGATGCCATTCTACGAGGCAGCGGGACATCCAATAGTACGTGTGCACTCAGGAAAAAAGGTCTACTCGAGCCGCCGCCCAGGCTAACCCGTACGATGATACGTCCGTAGGCTCCGCCGTGTGCATCCTCGAAACCCACTCGAACACGGTCTCCAATAAGATCCGCGGGCTGGCGCGCATGGTGGAAGTGTCGCCGACTATGACTCTGGTGGATCTGACCATCAACGGACTGGCGCCGGGACAGTACTGGGCGACCGTGCGACAGGCGGGGGATATCTCGCAGGGCGCGACCTCGACCGGCGGGATCTGGGAGGCGCTGAAGTCGACGGTGCTCGGGACTGAGACGACGGCGACTAAGGAGCCTCGCGGGGTGTTTGGACGGGTGGATGTGGACGACCAGGGCCTCGGCAACGTGTTTCTGGACCGACCGGTGGCCATCTGGGAGATGATTGGGCGCAGTATGGTGGTGTCGAAGACGAAGGAAGGACCCTTCCGCAAGGACGACGCGGATACGCTGGTGGGCGTGATTGCTCGCAGCGCGGGCGTGTGGGATAACGATAAGATGGTGTGCTCCTGCTCGGGAAAGAATGTGTGGCAGGAGCGCCAGGAACAGGTGGCCCAGGGCATGGCGTAAAGGGGCCTCTCTTCATCTTACTCGATCCTCCTTTTCCATGAGAATGAATGAACGAATAAACGGATGAATGTACATAAGTTGATATCCCACGAGGAATGGAGACCCGCCAGTGGATCCAGGAACTTCACCTGACCAGGACGTATGCAGGCGCGAGATAAAAATACTCAGGCCCCGATCATTATTGGGTCAAGGCCCGCAGGATTTGCAGACAACGAACGAGTCCGAGGGAGCTTTGGCGTCGAGCGATGCTGCAAGCGCCGTGGTGGAGACGGCGAAGTTTAATGCCGTGATTTGAGTATACCAGGAGAGCGGTATACTTCGGAGGTTATTGAGGATACCTTTTTCTCTATAACACGACAGAGGGACAGTCCATAGTATTCTTGTTCTCTAGTATTTCAGAGGGAAACCTACTATTCCCAGTCTTATGAATATTCAATTGTATAGATCCAGGGGAATAGTAAATACTGTAGGTAAATAAGTCGAATGACGGGGGATGTGACGTCCCCTGCAGGCGCCAATCACTCGCCCGCTTCCCCTCTTCGTCGGTTTATTTTTATCTTCTTCTGCTGCTGCTGCTTCTTTTCCCTGTCACTTTCTCTCTCTCTCTCTCTCTCTTTCTCGCTCTCTGCTGCTGCATTCTCTGCACGCTAACTGTCTTGGTAGCGTCCCTCTTCCCTGTCTTCCCTGTCCTCCGATTCTTTTTTTCTTTTTCTTTTGTCGCTATTTCTGTCTCCCTCTACTAGTCTTCTACAGTATACCTACTGTGTACTCACTCGACATCCCACTTAGCATTGACCGCATTGACCCGGTCTCTATACTCATCCTTCAGTCCAGCCCTCATACTCGCCAAGTTCCTTCCAACACCCAAGAATCCACTCAATTGACCGCATCAACCCGCACGGAGGGATGTTGATCGGACCACGCCATTATCGGTCTACTATCTGCTTGTCATAACCACTAGCGTCCCATGCCTGGAGAATTGACCCCCGCGGTGATCTAATTATATCCCCAATCTATCTTGATTCTCTCCACCCAACTTCCTCATCCACCGCCGGCCATTGTCCTTGGTCCATCACAAAGTGGCATTTCCTCCATCCCCCTCTTCGGTGATTGCCATTCTCCCCCTCGGTGATTGACTATCACATTTCCCGATCAATCTGACAATCCTGTCGTGTCCGGCCCCCCCTTTTTTTTGGGCTTTGGGCTCCCCCTCCCTCGGCAGCTTAGGGCCTAGTTCCTTGGCCTGGTTTAATTAATATCCCTGCTCTCTACGTGGTCGGAAACAAAACGGTCCTTTTCTTGGCTGCCGGAGCAAATATATTTATTGACTCGCGCTGGCATCTCGTGTGACCTGGTCGGGCTTCTCCCTCGTTCAGCGGAGCGGTGGCTGTGCCTCTCGGGTGTCCCTGCATAGAATTGTCAGAAACCACTCCGTCGGGCTGACAACCGCCAGAACCAACCCTCCCCTGAGCTCCTCCTACTATACGGGTGGAGCGGAGACACGAATCCCTGGCAACAATGTCCCTGAAACAGGTATGGCAAGCAAATGGGTCTCATCTCAAGAAGACAGTCCTTGGTTAACGAGTGCGGCAGGAGATCGAAACGTGGGTGCTGGCCCTCGAGCATTATGACAGCCAGGAATTCGACGAGGCGCTGCGTGTTTTCACGGCCATTGCCGATACGTCCAGGATCTGTTTCAACTGCGGTGTGATATATGCCACCCTGGGTGAGCATGAAAAGGCGGTAGGTACGCTGGAGTCGCACATGTACCACCCAGATGCTGACGAAACGTAGGTCGAGTGTTACCAGCGTGCCGTCAGTCTGGACCAGTATCTCGCCATCGCCTACTTTCAGGAGGGGGTGTCCAATTTTTTGTTGGGCGACTTCGAGGAAGCGCTGGCCAACTTCAATGACACCTTGCTCTACCTGCGAGGCAACACCTCCATCGATTATGAGCAGCTGGGCCTGAGATTTCGACTGTTCTCCTGCGAGGTGCTCTTCAACCGCGGTCTGTGCTACATTTACCTGCGGCAGATGGCCCCGGGCATGCAGGACCTCGAGTACGCAGCCAAGGAGAAAGTTACGCCGGATCACGGAGTCATCGATGATGCGATCCGAGAACGAGCTGAGGTATGTCAAATCATCCAGTCAGACAGCCCTCAACTGAATGTAATTTCGGCTAGGGTTACACGGTGTTCTCAATCCCGGTTGGGGTGGTATATCGGCCCAACGAGGCGAAAGTCAAAAATCTCAAGACCAAAGACTACCTGGGTAAAGCAAGGCTGATCGCTGCTTCGGATCGGAGTAGTACGCCCACCGGTCATAAACGAACCCAGTCAGCGTTGGATAACCGGTTGGATAACCGGGCAGGTGAGGTTCCCCCGCACATCGCGGCCCAGCTGGCGCAGAAGCCGGCGGCGGGTCGGGGTCGTCAGCACTCTGAGCCGCCGCTCAACCGCAACCTATTTCCCCCTACGCCTCCGCCAGACCCGGACAAAGCCAGTACTGGCAGTTCTGCTGCCAGTCTCAGTCGGCCGGGATCTGTTCGCGCAGCACGACCGCCGCGGCTTGACCTTGATCGGCCGGGTGCCCATATAACCGGTCGAAATGGTATAGACCCCGCGCCGACGGAAAAGCCTCGGATTGGAACCACTCGGACGGCCTCTGAACCGCGAGGCCCTTCCTCTCGTCCCTACTCGCGCGGGGTCCCCAGCGGACCCTCCCCGACGCGGGGCCGACAAATCAGTCATCGTCGGGGAGGGAGCGATACGACCAATTTTCCGGTAGGAGCACCTCCAACACACGCAGACGACGGGCAAGGCTCGTATCCTTGGGCGCCGGCCAATGGGGGGCGGCGCGGAGCCCCTCGGCGGCAAGAGCGGTTCATTGACGAAGAAGAGGAATACGCCAGTGAGGCGTACGAGGAGGTCGGGGCGGCGGATGATGATTTCGAGCTAGTTGGCACGCGGTCACGACCACGATCCCCCGCTCGAAACTCGAGGCGTGCCGCCTCACGCCGGCCAGAAGTGCGCAAGTTTCGGGTGAAGGTGCACGCGCATGAAGATACCCGGTATATCATGATCGATCCAGCGATAGAATACGGCGAATTTGAGAGAAAGATTCGCGAGAAATTTGGGTTCAATTCTCTTCTGAAGATCAAGATGCAGGACGAAGGAGACATGATCACTATGGTGGATCAGGAGGACTTGGATCTGCTAGTGAGCTCTGCGCGAGAGACCGCTCGACGAGAGGGAAGTGAGATGGGAAAAATGGAGGTACGTCGTAACCCCCCTTCTGTGGAATCGAGTCCAACGGCTAACTCTTGGGCCATAGATCTGGGTAGAAGAACGCACGATGATTTGATGCCGGGGTCTGGAATGGCGTCTTGGCGGCGTTGCATTGTTATATGGTGTTTTGTTACATGTTTATACCCTTCGACGAGTGATGAATGCTGTACATAAACCGGAAATTCCTTGATAAGACGACAGTTCACAGGTCAAATGCTATATAGAAGTCCTAGTATCCTGGTTGTAGATAAGATTAGATAGATAGGGCTTGCAGATCACGGGACCGGCATTGTTGACAGCGTCATCCCGTTGGCATCTTCAACGTAGCTCCTACCCTTCTCCATCCATCCCCTCTTTTCCCACCACCACAACCATGACCGATCTCACCGTCGAATTCTCCCGTCTCTGCGAGGCGAAAGGCAGCCCTCCAATTCCACCCAACCGCTACCTCGCCGTCGACCGAGCCGACGAATTCCTGAAGGAAGCACACCGCATCGTAAGACTCACATTTCCCTCCCTCCCACTTCTACACCTACAAGATGAAGGAAGACCATCCACTTACTAACCCCTAATGCGTCCAAACCACAGAACTCCCACATCTCCTCCCTCCTCAAATACCTCCACTCCATCCGCCCCTCGTACCTCTCCATCACCGCCGCACCCCGTCACACCACCAATACCAGTATCAGTCCCGGTACCAGCACCACCACGCCATTGACTCGCCAACCCACCGACCCGAAATCCAAACCCCTATCCGACTCCGACCGCGATAACGTCGACTCCGAAACCACCCTCCTTCTGCATGGTCTCAGCTCTTCCATCTCCACCCTCTCTTCCGCCGAGTCTCTCCGTCGGGATACCCAGGCGGGGGTGCTTCGCAAGAAATACGGACACGGCGGCGCGGCTGCCCGGTTACTTTGGAAATGGGCCGGTGGGGATGCCTTGTCTAGCTCCACAGGGGACGCTGACGGAGAAGGGGAAGGGGATACGGGGAAAACAGATGAGCAGATCCGCGACGAGGCGCTCGAGAAGACGACTAAGGCGGTGCGCGAGAACGTGCTGTGGTTCTTGAGACGAGGACTCGAGGATGCCGTGAAGGTGCAGCGGGAGATGGTAGAGCGGCGGATTGAGCGCGTGCGCGAGAAGGAGAAGAGCGTGCTGTATAAGGCTGCTGGTGGTGCGGGCGCGGGTCGGTCGAGGGGACTTTCGTCGGCAGGTCCGAGTTCGAATCGGGATCAGAACCAGAAGTTGGATGCCGGCGAGGCGGCTTTCTATGATCGACCCTGTTCGACGATGGATGAGGCCGAGGTCAAGGCTATCGAGGCGGAGTTGTCGCCGGAACAGTTGCAGCTTTTTGCGGAGGAGAATGATTCCATGGTGAAGTATTATGAGGATACTTTGAGTAAAGTACAGTATGTCTTCCTTCCCTTCCTTCCCCTTCCTCGTGTATTCACTTGCAAGTAGAAAGACGAAGCGCAAGAGAGAAAGAGAACTAACGACCATCACCTCTCCAGAAACGCCGAAAAATCCCTCCTCGAGATCTCCTCCCTCCAACAAACCCTCGTCTCGCATCTTTCCACCCAAGAGGATTTCATCAGCCAACTCGCCACCGACGTGACCACCACGCAGACGAACATCGGACAGGGCAACAAGGAGCTGAAGCGCGCGACGGAGCAGCGCAGTCTCGCGCAGGCTGTGTTCTGGGGGTCGGTGGGGTTGTGTACGTGGTTGGTTATTTGGGATTTGGTGTTTTGATGATAAGCCAACACCATGAGCATAAGCACGAGCATATCTAGGAGGGGTTCTTTGTTTGCCTATCTATCTCCTTGTTGCATATTACCTATTACCTACCTGCCCTTTACTATTCTATAAGCTACCTATCTATCCTATCCATCCTGCCTGATACTCTCCATGTGCGTCTTTGATGTATCAGTAAGGGATGTGGCATGTTTATATTATTTTATCTATACCCTGTTTTTTTTTACGTTTTATGATTGGATTTCTATTTTCATATACTCATCTACGATACCAGTCAAACTTAAGTAATATAAACATATCTATTGATTTTTCACTCATGTAAACTATGATCATAAGTCGCTGCTAGGACGGAGATATCAAATGAAAAGGCCCCAAAAAGAGGGCCAGATGGCAAGAGAGATATAAGACAGAAAAAGAAGGGAAGAAGGGACACCGGACTACGACAACTCACGCACAACGCTATCTACTGCCTCGGCAAAGTAGTCTATGTTGTGCGTGTTGAGGCCGGCCATGGAGATACGACCGTTCTTCGTCTGTGAAGGGGTGTTAGTGTTGGTCTAGAGGCGAGGATCTAGTTTGGAAAGGGAAGACATACCATGTAAACGTGCCATTTCTCACGCAACAGCTTCACCTGCGACTCGGTCAACCCCGTGAAACTGAACATGCCGATCTGTTCCGTGATATGGGCCCACGTGCCCGGGGTTCCCTTGCTCTCTAGTCGCTGACGCAGACCCGACCGCATCTCAGCGATGCGACCGCTCATCGTGCGCAGATCAGCCTCCCACTCAGCGAAGAGGGCCGGGTCGTTCAGCACGCGGCTGGCGATGCGGGCACCGTAGGCCGGGGGGTTGGAGATCTCGGACCGCTGCAGGATGGCCAGCTGGCTGGCGACGTTGGCGTTGGCCTGCTCGGCCTCGGCGCCGGGGGCCGACACGAAGTGGAAGGCGCCGGTGCGCTGGCCGTAGAGACCGAAGTTCTTGGCGAAGGACTGCGCAATCACCAGCTCGAAGCCTTGCTCGATGAAGTAGCGCACGGCCCAGGCGTCGCGGTTCAGGTCGCCCGAGGCGAAGCCCTGGTAGGCGCAGTCGAAGAAGGGGAATAGGTTCCCTTGGCGCATGATCGTGGCCACCTCCTTCCACTGGTCCTGGGTAAGGTCCACGCCGGTGGGGTTGTGGGCGCAGGCGTGCAGCAGGATGACGGAGCCCGAGGGCGCGGACCGCAGGGCACTGGTCATGCCGGCGAAGTCGAGGCCCTTGGTCTTCTTGTCGAAGTAGGGGTAGTCGGCGAGGGTGAGGCCGACATTGGTAAAGATCTGATGGTGATTGGCCCAGGTGGGCGAGGAGAGGTAAATCCGGGGTTTAGGGTTTGCGGGGTGGAATTTTTGGAGGAAGAGGGCGCCGAGATGCACGGCACCGGTGCCGGAGATGGTTTGGAGGGTAGAAACCTGGAGAGAATTAAATGATGAGCGACGCTGTTTTGAAGGGGTCTGGTCGTTAGAACAGGGATGCTTACCCGGTTTTCGCGGATTGCTGGGCTGTCGGGTCCAATGATGACTTTCTGGGCGGCCGAGGTGAATCCGGGCAGACCCTTGATTGAGAGGTATTCGTTGTCGTAGCCCTCGGTGCGAATCAACTCATCGGCCTGACATCGAATAAACCATGATTAGAAGATGAACCTCGGCCTACACATGAAGACTCGGGGAATTTCTCTACCTTCTTGACGACGGGCAGAATCCAGGGCTTGGCGTGGTCATCGCGATAGGCGCCGATGACCAGATCCACCTTCTTATCGTCGGGATCCTGACGAAACGCTTGCGCCAACCCAAAGAGCGGATCCTCGGGGGCGGCCGACACGACGGAGGTGGAAAAGACGGAGGGACCGTTGGAACCCATGATGTGCGAAGAGAGGGAGGCGAGACGGTTACGAGCGGAGGTAGCGAAGGAGGAGGATGAAGGAGAAGAGGAAGAGGCAGGCGGCGACATGACAAAAGGAAGTAAAATAATTGGGGACGGCGATGGGATTTATTAATAAAAAATAAAAATGGAGGGGAAGGGCAGGTGTCACACCACCGGAGAATCAGTCCAGGCGGTTGCTGCTTGCGTTCACCGGGAATATTCAATAATCCCAAGAGTCCAAGACAGAAGATTCCCTCGTCGGTCTCGCAAGGGAAGAATTATGACCCAAGCAAAACGCAGATGAAATAATCCCGCAAAAAATTGGAGGCAAATTCCCGCAACAGGAGGGGAAAGTTACCTAATTGATTGCCGCGAGGGCGATGAGGGGTTGGAGAAGTATGGAGTAGCTGTAGTAACAATAGTAACAATAGTAACACGGTAACAGGAACTAATCGCTCTGGATTCCCCCGGATTGCGAGTTGCCATTGAATATAAATAATTTATACAGACTCAAAATCGTCCAACTGATCCGTGGCAGATGCTTGAGCCGAGGAAGTTCAAAAGCTCTCGAGAAATCCCGAGATCCAGGCATGACGACATTCACATGATGCCGCGCAGCATCACGTTCTCCTCGCCTTCTTGGGGTTAAAACTTCCCCTGTGCGGAGAGTCCTTACGGAGTACTTCTTTCTCTTTCGTTTTCCCCGAGAGCCTCGAATGGGCTGATGCTAACCCAAAGGACTTCAATGCGGAGACCATGACATGATCTCCTTCCTCCCCATTACCTCATCGGGTCGCCTCAGGCCCGCATGGAATATTCCACTCGGTCCCAACCCCTGGTCCCAGTATCTTCACTTCTCGTCTGTAGTAATTCAAAATAAGACCGTCACCTCTTCAAACACCTCCAAATCTCCCAAATCTCCCGATTCATCCAATTCAACGCTCTCTCGTACTGTGTAAGCGTTCGCTTACCCTCAATACTCCCACCACCAACCACGACGGACCAATTACTTCTTACTATTTAAATCTCCCCGGGACAAATTAAGTAAAATACTGTAGAAGTAAATAAATAAAACCACGCCCGATGGGAATTTATCCGCGCCCCCGGACTTATTCCGAACCCTGTCTTTTTTTTATTTTTCTTCCTCGGTTTTGCTTTTCCCTTGTGCGTGATTTTTTGTTTTATCTTGTTGGTGGTGATTTTAATTTATCCGGCTTGTGCCTGGCCTGGACTTCGAGGCCGGGCCGGGCTGAATGTTCATTTCCCATTCTCCAATCCCCCTTCCCTTCCCGTTAATCAACAATATTTTAGAATATTTTAACAAATAGAATATTTTATGATTCTGATTTTCTGTATCTCTTTATGCATGTATGTATCTACAAATCTGCATTCTGGCAGGCTGTGGATGGCAAAGATACTCTGATCACTGTCTCTTTCCTTCCTTCCTTCCCTCTTCTCGAGGGTAGAGAAATAATCGGCTATCTTTGTGTCAATGATATGTGCGTACAGTGGCAGGGCAGTCAAAATTATTCTCGGAAGGTGATAACTACGTAATGATTTATTCTCCCCCCGCCTCCCGGGTTCTGTTTGTTCTTCCTTCTTCCTCGAGGGTCCCCCGACTCCTTTACCCCACGGGGTGTCCACTTCGGGAAACTCATGCGAGGGGCTCGCCGGATTCCGGAACCCGCCTTCGTCCCTGGAGAGGGGAGGCTGCACTTGCCGTTTCGGGGCTTGCTTCCCGGGGAGTCTTGCTTGCCATCTTACCACACATACCTACTGGCCTACCAGGTACACAGTACCGGTTAGTGAGATTATGCCGATGCATCTGTATCTGTATGTCGCAATATATACCTAGAATGTAGCAGATAGGAGAGATGTACATATGTGCTCCGATGCCGTCCAAACCGACCAATCAGTCTTTTAACCCCCTATAAATCCTGTCAAACGCCGTGTACCCCGTCACTTCGTAAATTCATCGCATGAAAACAAGAAAAAAATAAAGAAAAAAAATATTTAAGCCCAGAATCCACAAAGATAATAAAGATAAAAGCAAGAATGAGAGAAAAAAAAAATGTCCAACCCAGTCAAGGGCGCGAGCCTGGCTGCGTACAACTTCCAAGCCCTTCTATGCAATATGTGCTCAATGGTGAGTTATGCACTGATGTCCCACGGGAATCGGAAAGGTTCAAGTCTCGACAATCGAGTTGTACAGGCATATCATATGCTTTCGCGCGCTCGGAACGCACGCTCACCCTCGGGATGCCTCGCCGCCGTCTTCCCCATGCGCGCGGGTTCGGATGCGGAATTTGTCCTTGAGTCGTGCTGTGAGTCGGCTACGTCGCCGCACTTGCTCGTCATTGTCGGCATTCTGCGCGTTCTGGTTCGCTTCTTCTCGAACGCTGCGAAGGGCGGCCAGTCGCTCCTCCACACTCGCATCGCGCATCCGGCGCGCATTCAGTGATCCGTGGAGGTAGTTGCTGAGGCGGTGGTGTCCACGCTGATGCGAGGCGTCGGCAGTCGACTCGTTGGTTGCTTGCGCCGGTCCTTCCGTTGACTCGTCACCTTCGCCCGCCTCGTGCTCACCCTCTGCCTGCGTGGGATGAAGGTCGATTCGGCTGATAAATTATTAGTCCATATCTCAAAAGGAGATCGAAGCACACATACCAGAGAGGACAGGTTCCCGACACGTTCACCAGCCACGGGTCGATACAGTCCGGATGGAATTGATGGTTGCAGGGAAGCACGCGCAGGTCTTGGCCCTTGACGAAGTCATCAGTACAAATGGGACACGAGTAATTCGGTTGTTCGTCGCCTTCCGTTCGTTTCTCGGATATCGTGGCCTCCGGCGGGGAGTTCGGGTCCTTGGGTTGCGCTTGAGCAACCTCCGTACCATCGGCTGCCGTTGTCGTCGCTTCCCGCGTTTCAGGGTTCTGTCGCACGCCGTCCTCAGATTCCAGGGACATCTCCACGTCGCCCTTGGCGGCATCCACCTTGGGATCGTGACCGTCGCCAAACTTGACAATTGGAATCGTCTCTAACATCGCCCTGGCTATCCCTCGAGCTCGACTTTGTCGCGGTCGTCCGGCCGTATACCGCGGTCCGTAGCGTTCCGGATGTCTGTGTGCTCGGACAGCGCCGGTAATGATAATGGCCAGGAAGAGCGCTGTAATGATACCTGTGATGCTGTACAGGATGATCATGGCTGCCACATATGTCAGTTAAGGGGTCATGTACCTGGGAAGAAGCGACCTTACCCGTGTTCGGGTTGTCCGACGAGCCGCCCCCTGTATCCTGGGTCTGGGGGGTCCCCGACATTGTGAACGACATATCGGGTACTACACCGACGGTGGCGTTGCCTTCGGATGTGTAGTTGTCTTTGGGCGAGCTCAGCTGGGTCTTGATCTGTTTGGCAAAGTCCGGATTCAGAAAGGTGAAGACGTAAGGATACTGGGCAGCATCGGCTTCGTTGGAGCTATAGTTGCAATGATGTAATTCAGAGCTATACAGGAGAACGGCAGATGCTCTCTGTTTAGATGTGACGACGTTAGAAACGGTCGAGCTAGCATCCAAGTTTCCCGGATAGTCGGACTTGTCGCAGCTGATGAAGGCGATATCACTACTATTTAATTGTAGTGAATTGGCAGCGTTGACATTCACCAACTCTCCTTTAAGGTGAAAGTCCTATAGGGATGACGTTAGCAAAGGAGTTGGGCATCTTTCGGGCCTAGACCGAGCGTGTAAGATACGACGAACCGAGAGTTCTCTTCTGTCCAGGCTAACCAGGGCCGGGGTCAAGGGGGCGAGGGTGATGTTCGCAGGTAACTGGATCCGGGCACTCTGCAAGTGAAATCGCACTGAACGGGTCCAGGACAGATCGCGGGAGTTGTTGGATGGCAAGACAGTCCAGCCGGATGGGTCAGCCGCGTGAACGGTCGTGGAGAGCGCGAGGAGGCAGAAAAGAGAGGAAAGGGAAAAGAGGAGAAAGGAGAGGGGAGACGACGGTTCTTGTCTGGGCCCCATCGGAAAGAAAAAAGAAAGAAACGAGAGGGAAGGAAGAAAAACCTAAAATAAAAAAGCCAAGCTGGGTTCCCCACGATGACGAGGCTTACGGAGATGGCGGAGGGTATGGGGGAGCCCGGAAGATCATTAGTCACAGATCTTCACCGGGGGAGGGGGGGGAGGAAGGAAGAGAGGTATGCACACAAGATAGGGAAACAGGAAACGACAGTAAAAAAATTATGGGGACGCAGGTAAAACCACACGGTAAGGGCCAACCCAAAGCATGGGCTTCTGATATCACGGCGCAGGGCGATTACTGGCGGCTACAAAATTGATGCGATCGTCGACTGGAATTGATTGGAAGAGTCGGGTGGGAAGTGGATTGGCAGCAACCGGGGATCAGGATTTGGAGGAGGATTCAAGAATCCAGAAAGACCGACAACGGGGCAAATTTCCTCCAAGACTGGCGCGCTGCAGTCACAGACAGGCCGGTGGAGTGGGCTATGTCAGAGCCAAATGTTGGGCAGGGCGATGTACCAACCACCGAGGTACACACGGTGTACAGAGTTGTGGAGAGGGAGGTTTCCAGGGTTTCCGCAGTGCAAGACCCAGTATGTCTTGTGGATTGTCACGCAGGATTAGACGATGGAGGTGTCAGTCGTATAGAATCGAAGTTGTGCATACCAATGATTATTGCTTATGCTTCGGATGCTGCTGGAGCCGCTACTGCTGCGGCGACGGGGTGACGACGACCGAACCTCCCGGGCTATCCGGAAGAATCGGGCGGAGAGAAGAGAAGAACGAGGAGAAGAGAGTGTGAGAGAGAGAAAGCGCGATCGAGAGAACGAGCAGGCGAAGCGAATACGAAGTTACGGGTACGGAAGGAACATGTCAGAGGGGAGGAGGGGAGGAGAGAAGAGAGAGATGGAGAGAATAACGATTGTTATGATGGTGAATTGGGTATTGACAAATTTTATCCGTCCTTCAGATTAGAGTGATTAATATCTATGAAATTACCATTTTCCCATCGTCGTACCGTCACGGGAGGCCGACGATCCGCGACGGATTGGGGCGTTTTTGCCAGGCGGCCGCAACCGATCGACAGGGAAAAGATAAGCTGTCCGACCATTTCCAATTCAATTGATCATCATTGACGATACGGATAGCCATTTCATTGTGGAACTCTGTCAATCGATTGCGGACTCTCATCATTCCCATGGATTCAGAGATTGATTGGAAATCCGCAGCCCGTCGTCGCCACCGTCGCGCGTCCAAGCGTCCAAGCGTCTCATCTATCTGACGGAGGGATTTCCATTGCGACTAACGAAGTAACGAGTCTTGTGCGGGGTTGATCCTTGGTAGGGCCAGCTGGCGTTTGGACGGCAGGCGATCTGCCCTCGTTATTTAGTCCGGCCGACGTTCATCCTGCCATGAGGAGAGCGAAAGCGAGAGAGCGCGACAGCGAGAGAAGACAGCAGGAGAGATGAGGGCACCTGATCCCCCGGTCGCTCTCGTTGCGTCATCCACGAAACTCTGTTTGCATCTGCGTCCTCGGTACCGGGCTCGTTTTCTATCGCTTTTCATTATGAAGACAACTGCTCCCTTAGTTCGACTTGCTCGTTTCAAGAGCAAACGGAGTACGGTGTACAGGATGACCGACAGATGCAGTGGTTGAATATTTTTAGTGTGCCAGCGAAACCCAACCCCGTATTTTCCAACGTGGGATTCAATCGTTGAACATAAAATCCGATCGATCGCGGCCCTCATGACTAATACGCTCGCTCTCTTGCTCAGCCACACTTGGCCGTGTCCGATCGCTTTGATGTTTATCTCCATCAATCTATAACTATACAATAACAATGGTAGATCCCACCGGTCGATAGCAGTACGGGGTACACAACGTACATACCATGTACTGAGTACCTAGGGACGGACAAATCCGTGGAAAACGGATTCCATATCCCCTCCTCCGTCGATCCTCTCTCGGTCGCAAGGCACTAGGAACCCGATGACCCCGGCAATTCTCCGCTTCCCCTTCCAAGTGGAGACGTGCCATCATGATTATTGTCTCATCTTGTCGTCTCCGGAATCGGAGCCCGTGTCTTATCGACCTATCGATCAACCTTCCGCATCCATTCCATTCCGCCTCGTCCTGTCTAGCCTCGCGCGATCGCGATTAATGGTCCATTCTCCTTTCTCTTTATTTTATTCACACGGCAAGATGATTGAACAATGGTCTTCTTAACCCTCAAGAGTGACGGTCTCGGAGTTCTGTCCGTTCTCCCGTCAAACCCATAGATTTTTCCATACTTGATTTAACTAGCGCTCGTCGCGTCGCAAACAAACCCTCGACGATGGTCGGCGGTCGGTGATCGGTGATCAAGCATCGTCGATGAAGGTTTGAATTAACCCATGTCTGTGTCAGTCGTAGGGCGGACCTTCTTTGGAGAGAGAAACCATGACTCGATCTATTTCGACAAATACCTAGTTCAAAGAAGCAAGATGCAAATACTAGGTCCATTAATTACCTCTCTCTCTCTCTCTCTCTCTCTCTCTCTCTCTCTCTCTCTCTCTCTAGTCTTGGAAAATCGTCATGAACCTGTGCTACCTACGATGACCGAGTAAAGCCGTCCACGGATCTCTTTCCCATCATTCTAGATCTAGACCCTCCTCCATTACGTCAACCAAGGCGCTTCTTATCTGGGGAAGGTTTTACGGGGAGTGACAAGAAAAAAAGAAAAAAAAAAAAAAAAAATAGAAGAGAAGAGAAATAGTAAGATGAACAGGGCATCAGGCAGTTAGCCTCGAGATCATGTGTGACCCCAAACCTGTCCCGCCTGCATCCTTGTCCGACCGCACCCCATACCAACCCCGGAATACTAAAGCTTGGCAAGGGTGCTTGACGGCGGGATGGAAATCGCAAAAGGAAGAATGAGAGGCATGAAATCGGTCACTTGGGGCCTTGATGTGATATCATGGACACTTGTGATTCAGCTGAGACACCTGCATGTAGAGGGAGGGGGGAGGAGCTCTGTCAAGCGGATGCAGCTGTCGGGCGACGGGATGGCGTGGGAGAGAGGTCGAAACATGCGCCCCCCTTAAGTCTGTTCAGGTGTAACATCGAAGGGCCAAAATCGATCTACGAAAATCCTACAGGAATATTGAACCTTGTTGATCGACGGGGAATCTGAGCCCTAGCTAGCTAGGGAACCACCCGTAGAGCACATCCCTCTCCCTTCAGATGGATGGATGGATGTATACCTACTTGTGAACTCTGGTGACTTCCATAAAGAAAAGACTTGAAATGTCCGGGATGAGGTGCCAATCATGCTGGAGGCAACAGGGAAGCTCTGTTCTGTTGTACGGCGTCGCTAAGTGATTCTGTGCCACCGTCTGTCTTATGTATTGAACCTTGCGAGTTCAGACTACGGAGTATGGTTTTATAGTTTGAGGTTCATAATAGGCTTTCGATCCTGTCGTTCCTTTCTTTTCTTTTCCTTCTCTATCCGGTGTCTTCTTCGATCGTGACGGTTTACCTGGAGGAAATGGTTTCATACCAGGGTCGTTAAAAGGAGACTCAAGAGCAAGCCAGATCCAGCAGAACAATCGTCGAATATTCCACACGTTTAAACGGAGAGGGTTGTGCCCTCGTATAAATAGGCAGGTAGACGAGCTATACGGAGTAACTTATAGATCTAGATTATAAATAGTCACGCCCAACCAGTGGAAGGACCGGTCGGTACCAAACGTCGCGGGCGGTCCAGTCCTCGAGACGCCGAAATCAGATGGACGATAGCCCCGTCAGATGACGGACGATTGGCGGACGGCCAGGTCGAGACTGTCGTGGCAGCAACACTTGGTCCGTGTGTCCATTTTCTGACAGGAAGAGACCAGGAGGGATCAAGGTGGGAGAAACTCAAAAACGCCCACGGTAAAAGAAAATCAATAATTAGAATAATCAATAATCTATTGCGAAAGAGAGAGAAAGCTCAGACGATCAAGTGGTCGTGTTTCGATGGAACGTGCTGCCGCCAATCCGGTTGCACTTGGCTAATTCTCGCATCTTACCTATCCAAGAGAGATCGATGCTCATATTGCAGGTCATTTTTAGAATCGGAACCAACCGCCAGTTGAGGGTGGTGTGTGCGTGGGTGTCTTGGTGACTGCATACACCGATCCATGTTGGAAAGAGAGAGAGAGAAAGAGGGAGCAATAAGCCGAGTATTAGGTACTTGTACCTGCTCGTCCAGCCAAATATGCGAGGTGCCTTATTGTGGGTACACTGTACATATATAATAGTATACATAATAATACTAAAGGGCAAATGCTCAGGCACCTCCTTGTAGGATCCACTGGAATCCTTTGGCTGGTCAACAGACCTAGTCCGGACGTCTTGAGATAGGGAAAGCCGGGACGACTGCTGCAGACAGAACCCGAAAGAAAATCATCATAAAAATCCAGGGGGGGATAATCAGAGGAAATAAGAAAGAGAAACAAGTTTGAAAAGAAAGATTATCGCCTGCATGAGTCAATGCAGACGAACAAAGAGAACCCGGTGCAAAATGGGTTTGAGCCAATCTGGAGGTGCTAGGGCCTTCATGGATTCGATAGACATTCTGCTAGATCACCGGGGGGCTTACTGGGGACTGGCGACCATGGCTGGTGACTATGTCAGATGCCAAAGTCCCTAGGAAAACTAATTTAAAAAATAATAATCATAATAATAAGAACAATATTAAATAATGATGATACTAATAACGATAATAAAACAAGTATGACAGCCAGTCATTCCTAGACAGAACGTCCAGGAGGCCGACAATCTTTCGGAAGGGTGGTGTGATGCTCGGGATATTCTCGCCCCTCTCGGACCTTGCCCTCTCGCACCCTTCTCCCCCGTTCCTTTATCTGACCTGGGATCAAATCATCCACGGAGGAAGAATCCCAAGGGCGGCGCATCGAAGCCAGGAGAGGAAAACACTGTGTGGCAGTAAAGTACGGGCCATGGAATCCTAGCAGCGGGTAAGAAAACAAACCAGTTACCAGATAACACAGCGAAAAAAGCAAAGAAAAGTAACGCCATTCCAGGCCGAACCAAAATTAGCAGCCGTGCCCCCCATAGGCCGCCACCGTCTAGAATACTTATCCCGCTGCGCATCCCCGCCTCCATTTGAGGCCTCGAACACTGAACGACCAATAGGTCCATCGCCAAGGGGAGCATGATTGGTCCAGCGGGTCAGGGAGGCGTGCAAGGTTCCCTGTTGAGGGTGTCAATGTTTCTTATGTTGCCGCGCTTTTCTTACCGTTACAGGGCCGAGGCTCCCATCGACTGAAGAGTCTACTACCTAAACGGACAGGGGAATTGCTCTCAGAATTCACCCCAGGTGTAATGAATGATTGAAGGAATCTGGTCCGGAGTAGAGAAACAACCTGGTAATGAAGAAGAAAAAAGAAAAGAAAAGAAAAGGCAGGAAGGCAACCTAAAATGAGGAGAGAGAACAAATCATGATTAATTAATTCATTAGGAGAGGGGAGGGGGGGGAAATACTCAGAAACCCCAGAATGCTATATCACTGCGCAGAGGAGGGAGCTTTTTTTTCTCCCTAAATTTTTTTTTCTTTCTGTTCTTTTTCTTTTTTTTTTCCTTTTTATTTCCCAATATTTTTTTCTCATTGCTTTTTTTTTTCTCCCCAAGGTACGTACTGTACAGACAGAAGAATAGGGAAAAGTACTTTTCTCGTCTAAGAAAAAAAAGACTGCTTGCTACTGTCTGTGTTTTTTCCCTCTCTTCTCGCTCTCTCTTCCTCTACCTTTCTACTCCTACATGTTTGACTTTTCTGCTGGTGATGCGCTTTTTCCTCCACCCCATCTCCCTCCTCTGCCTCCTTCTTTTCAACCTCAGAATCTCAAATTAAAAATCACGATGTGTCTATTCTAGCGGGGCCACCCGTTGCAGTACAATCCACCATGCAACAACACCCCCAGGAGGACCCGATAAACATCCACTTCCGATAAACCACCTGCAAAAGAATAAAGAAGAATCAGACCGTGCGAATTCTCTGTCCTCAACAAACAATTCCATCAACGTCGTTCGACATCGTTTCATCATCTATTCATTCTTTCATTCATCTATTCTATCTATATCCATCCATTCTTCGCCCACCCCCTTGAAGCGAGCCCTCGTAACGCCAGTCAACGTCCTGTCTTCAAGTTGCCGACCGAGCCCCCTGACATGAGCGCTTCGATGTCCTCGCGCTGCATTTCCCCCTTCCACCTACTTCAGCTCCCACAGCCAACAAGAGAGAGTTGCCGCTTTGACTCTGCACCACCGCAATGTCCCCTCAGTCCCTTGCCGTCCCAGCGGCCCCTCCGCCGGCCGACGACGATCAACTCGCCATCAGCTTTTGGAGGAAACGGTACGACAAGAGGCCCCTTTCGGCGTGAGTTCTCCACTTGTCTTTTCTTTTTCCTGACTCGTATACACTCCCCTCATATTAAATGCTCGTTGCCACTCGTCTTGGGAGGTGTTCCCGCCCACATCTCTCTTGTTTACTTCACCAGCTCATCTGATCGCACGGATGATCTGCGTCACCTCCACTTTTCACCAGGTGGTCTACGCTCTGCTCCACCACCGGGTTGACTTTCGGTCGTCCAACTCTTATGATTCATTTGATCTTTTCATGGCGGATCGAATTGAAACACGTCCCGACAAGATCGTACTAACCGGACTTTCCACAGAAATTCTATAATCGCCAATCTTGACATCGAATACAACGAACTTGCTACAACCTGGAAACTCTTCCAGGATAACCTTCCTCCCGAAGATCAAATCAAATTCGACCATCGCGCCCAAACCGCCGACGATGTTTCGGCAGTCTTGCAGAGCGTGCAGAATATCTGGATGTCCAGTTCCAAGCAACGATTGTTTACGGCCTCCATGAAGTACTGCCAAAAATTTCGTGACACCTTGGAACTACATACCGTGCTTCTGAACGCCCTTCCGAAGAACGAATACTATATATCCCTCTTTTACGGGGCCTTACAGTCGCTGATAAAGGTGGAGTAGCATGTTCCCCAACTAGGACTGTTGACATGACTGACCTGGTCGGAGCAGGCGTCTGCGAATTACCCGAGAATCGTGGAGGGTCTCATGCGGACCCTTTCCAAAATGAACAAATCAATCAAGCCGCTAGGACAGGATGACACCGGCCAAGCCGGCCTCTCAAAGGATTCGATTCTTCATATCGCCCGATTCTATTCGATGGCATTTTTCATGCTTGGGGAGATAATGGATTGGTATGTGCGGAACTTGAAGTGTCGTCTGTTGACGAGTTTGAACCACGACCTATACTCGGACCTTAGTGGGCTTCTTTCGAGGATTAATCGCAGAGCCAAGGATATCATGCGTGCAATGCCCGATGAAATGGACCTGGACGAAGAGGACAGCTACAAAACACGCAAGCCGCCTATCCAGGATTTCAAACTGTGGGAGACCGCGAGATTCAGCCAAGTCGGCCTGCAAAAGCAGGCTCGTCGATATGCGGCGCAAAATGCCATCACCCGTCAATTAATATGGGAGATACAAAACAATGCATGGGAGCGTCTCGGCATGATGGCCGAGAGAGAGAAGCTCCTTTCGAACATGTTGGAGAAGGCCAACCAGCGGATGCGCCCCGTGAACCAGCAGAGTAGTGGCATTGCCTGCTTGACCATTACCGCTGCGCAGGACTTAGGTATGCAGGACGGTTACCTTGGGATAGACCGGCGGTCGGAACTAACAGTACCATCCTTGCAAGACACTTCCAGGTTCAAATGGTCCCAAGGGTTCAAGCATAAGTATACCCGGGTTGAACTGCAGGTCGCCTCTAAACATCTGCAGGATTTCTTCGATTGTGACGATCAGGTAGCCGATCTTGAATCGGACGTGGATGTGATTGCGGAAGATAGTATGACGGACTCTTTGCACCACTGGGCCACTAATTGCCATTCCCAGGTCCTCGCCGTGGGAGGCTCTCCGTCCGCGGCTTTTCTGAGCCCGGTTGCCCTCATTTCCGCCTGCATCGCCAATTTCGCCCGTCAAGCCAAATTGCCCGTCATCTCCCACTTCTGCTCCCTGCCAACCAAAGTAAGAGACGGAATGACACAGTGCGAGCAGAGTCTTATCGCGTTGGCGTACAGTTTAATCCGACAACTGATCGATTGTCTGCCACCCGTATTAGAAGGCCATGCGGCTTGCAACCTGAGCACGGACCGATTCAGTCCCTTGAACGGCACTCTAACCTCTTGGAAAGAGGTGCTGTCGTTGATCGATATTCTCTTGCATTACGCCCCGCCCCTCGTCGTATGTGTGATCGATGGCTTGGATAAGATTCAAGATGCATCAACGGATCAGCATATTCGGTCTCTGGTCAGAACTCTCCTCACCAACACTCGACATCAGACCGTTCAGATGCCGAACGGCACCGAGAGCCAAAGTGTTTTGTTGAAAGTCTTGTTCACCGTGGTGGGACGACCGAGCTCGCTGGTGGAGACGCTGTCTGAGAATCGACTTATCCTGAGTGAATCGAACACCACCGACGAGGTGGCCGCCGTGGATCAAGCTCTAAACCCTGACGTTGGGGTTGTTATGATGAATGCATGAATTGTCAGCGAGTCGGCAAGCGAAATCGTCTATATATCCATATTTTTTTTTCTCATCCGCATTGACATGGCCACACTTTCTTTCTCATTTTCAAGGCTATTTCTTTCGTTTCTTTTTTCGGGTGAAAATTCGGGGCATTAATAGAATTGTGCGCAGGCGGGGATTCTCTTTAAATACAACTCTTTGATTGGCAGACCGATTTGGCTTTCTTAAGTTCTTTAGTAACATCTTTCCCTTCTCTGTTCTGGCTTCTCTTTCATCTGACATTGCCTTTGTTTTTTTCATACTTGTGACATTTTGCCATTCATCCATTGCGGAGGCATTTTCCAATCAATCTTTGTGTTCCAAGGATAGGCACACCCTGCAGCATTTCTTGTATGTATCGATTTGGATCGCACTTTGGCTGGGGTGGCCCCAGCTCCCAAGCCCGTTTCTGACATGATTACCTGTATATGTGTATTAATATCTCTAGTCCGTGATGATGCAGAAGTACATGTTTTATACTCTTCCCCGGGTTTCTGGCTGGTTCTTGGCAACCCCGGATTTCGGGTTCCGTCTGCACGTGGCCCACCCACCATTGCAACCGAATCTCTTCCTGTCCCTGTTTGTGCTTCATTCTTGACTCGTCTCCTCTGGATCTGGTCCGGGATTCATTTTTGGGTGCTTCGGGATTCTGGTCCGTCCTGCGGGGATAAATAGACCTCGGTTTCACCTTTCACTTAGATCCTACCTCCCGGTTTCTCATCACATCCGACATCATGACAGTATCCAGCGCCGCGCCGAAGACCGTACCAAAGCGCTTGTTTTCCACCGAGTCTCCTCGGCTGGAAGACTTCATAAAAATCTGTTCCCAGAGAACCGACAAGACCACATATCCTCTGGCAGCGTCGGTGGAGAAGAACATTCCCATCTACGATGCCTCTACCCTAGATCCTCTAGACGCTCGCCTGGCCGACGACCTTCAAGATGAATGGCACCACATCCTCAACGCAGGACCTGGAATCTTCGTGCTCAAGGGCATGTACCACCCCAGCCAATACGAGTCCACCCTCACATCCACCAGCGCCGCCTTCCAGCGCATCGTCGACCAGGAACGTCAGTCCTCCACCACGGTCAAGGGCGACCATTTCGCCGCCAGCGGCAAAAACGACCGCATCTGGAACTCCTTCAGCAAGCACGCCACCGAGGACCCGGCCTCGTTCATCGACTACTACTCCAACCCCTGGCTCCGTCTCGTCAGCGAGAGCTGGCTGGGTCCCGCCTACCGGGTCACCGCGCAAGTCAACGTTGTCAAGCCCGGCGGCGCCGCCCAGGAAAGCCACCGCGACTACCACCTGGGCTTCCAGGAGCTGGACCGCTGCGCCGCCTTCCCGCGCAGTATCCAGCTCACGAGTCAGTGCCTCACGCTCCAGGGCGCCGTGGCGCACAGCGACATGCCCCCGCAGAGCGGGCCAACGCGATTCCTCCCCTTCAGCCAGACCTACGAGGTGGGGTATCTAGCCTGGCGCCGGGACGAGTTCCGGACGTATTTCAAAGCCAATTACACGGCGTTACCGCTGGCGCTGGGCGACGGGTTATTTTTCAACCCGGCGGTGTTCCACGCCGCGGGGGCAAATGAGATGGAGCCCGATAACAACCCTGGTGGCGGGTTCCATCGCAAGGCAAACCTGCTGCAGATTAGCAGCGGGCTGGGCAAGACGATGGAGACCATCGACACGGTCCCGATCGTGGATCGGTGCTGGGACGGCCTGGTCGAGCGGTATCGAGCAGCGGGGAACACGCTGGACGCGCCGCTGGAGGCGTTTGTCCTGGCGGTTGCGGATGGGTATCCGTTTCCGACGAATCTAGACCGTTGGCCGCCGACGCCCAGTGGGATGGCGCCAGAGAGCGAGCAGGAGATCGTGCGTCGGGGCTTGAAGGAAGGATGGGGACGAGAGCAAGCGGTGGAGGAATTGAGACGGATGCAAGCGGACTCCTGCGCTTGATATTTAGTTAGTCGGTTGGTGATTGATTGACACGAATACTGCCTACCTAGGTAATATGGAACCTGACTCGTCGAAGTTTGCCAATACATGTATGTATGTATGTATGTATGTACTACTCCTCATTCCATAAACGAGGCTTTCTTTTGAGTCTTGGCCAATATATTTTCGTCGTCTGTCTCAATCCTTCCGTTTTGTTTGCTATCTTCTTACAAATCAACCAACCCAGGCATTTGACCTGTAAAGTACCTTTGTAAACCGAGCTCCGGGGGCCTAGGACAAGCCCGACTAGACCAGACCAGACCAGACCAGACCAGGGAGTGGACACAGCAGTCGAGTAACGTCCCGTCCGGTGGCGAGGCCGAGACAGACCGAGACGCGATTGGCAGATCCAGTCTGATCGAAACGATCGGACATACGTAGAACTGAGGAAACATGGAATCCGGGGCTAAGCTCCATGCAATACGAGGTGATAATAGAAGCATGTTATAACCTCTGCCCGTTCTGCGGGGCGGGACCCTGACTCCGGAGGAAATTTTCCTATTTGAGTAGGCTTGCTTGAGCTTAGATTGGTGCGTAACAGCCTTGCAATTTGCTTGGAGATAACTACTGTAGATAGTGGAACAAATCATGAGTGGTCACCATATAATGGACGATGGTATAAGCCCTAAATGGTATGGATGAGGCGAGGTATGGGTTGGAGGTGGAAGTAAGTTTGTCAGTCTTGTCAATGGCTTATATAGCGCTACTTTAAGGCTTGTAACGTGAACTAGCATCATTGGTCTAGTGGTAGAATTCGTCGTTGCCATCGACGAGGCCCGTGTTCGATTCACGGATGATGCATTTCTTTTTTTGTCTTTTTGTCTTTTTTTGTTCTTCGGCTTTGTCTGTTCAAGCTAGTTAATCAATTAACTATCTACTAGCCACTAGCAGTATAGCAATATAATATAAATATATATTATCGACACAGACCAGATGTTCCTTGCTCAAATCAGATCGAATCCGACACATTGGATATAATATGATCCGGTCTTTTGCCTATCATATACTCAGTTACCTCTGCTTACTTTAATCCACGCAAACAAAATAAATAAAGTACGTACTGAAGATTAGACCTTGATACTGTCACATCCATCACCACCCCCATAGACGGAGAGAACTCAAATTATCCGCACCCCTCGTGCTTCACCTTCCCAATATGACTTCCTCTCGTCTAGTATCCCTTTCTCTTCCGTCTCCGTCCTCCGAACGAGGCGGATCTACATGAACTGTGCGCTGGACCGCTGAGCAGCACCAGCACGACTCCTCCGACTCCGCGGAAAAGCGTCCCGCATCCACTGTCAGTGCCACTGCCCAGGGGCTATCAATAAACGATTCTTCGAACTAGCTTCGTTTTATGATTTGTGGGTTCGCGTTCGCGTTCCTTCAGATGGAGATTTGAGGGCTACACTAAGTGGGAAATAATATCCGGGTCCTTCCGGCATTTGGAATGGTGGAAATGGAATTGATGGTCTAGGCTGCTTCTTTTTTGAGTGGCGGTTCTTGCTTTTTCTTTTCTTTTCTTTTCTTTCTTTTTCTCTCCTTTTTTTTTTTTACTATTTTTTTTTTTTTTTTTTTTTTCTCGTGGTTCTTTCAATGATGGTTTGCGTGTGTGCCGTGTGGAGAGATGTGGATAGTTCTATAGAAATTTTCTTGTATTCAAGAAGGATTGTATGTACTACGGAGTACTACGTGCATGAAAATATAGTAGGAGCATTTTGGATTTTTATGTTTATGTTTATCTTTTTTTTATACACAAGGGAAATAATCGCACAAATATACATATCATAGCATAGCACAGCAAGCACACTACTTGTGAGCCATTGCCTGCGTGAAATCCGTCTGCACGCGGATGCCATGCAATGGAATTTCATCACCACTCAGACTATCCGACTTGCCGTTGCAAGCTGGCTTGGTGCTAGGACTCAACACATTGGTCACCATATGTCCATGGTCGTAACCCGGTCGGAGCGCGGCGTCCAGCTGTCTCTGCAGACATCCCTCGTCTGAATCGTCCGGGAGGTGGTAGAAGGAGTGCCGGTTCGGGGGCTTGCCGTGGTGCTCTGTTGCAGTGCTGGGTGGATTCTTGGTGTCCATGGTGGACGGGAGCACGTTGAGGGGATCGGATTGACTGCCTTTGGAGAATGGCATCGTGCGACTGCGGAGAAGGGCGGGGAGCTTGCCCTTGATTCGGAGAAGACGAGCGGCTAGCTGGAGGGCCGGTCGTAGGGTCGGGAGACAAGCGGATATGATACCGGCGGACATCTCGATGGCGGTCCAGCCGACGGTTGGCGCGAGGGTGTAAGATGAGTCGGCCATGGTGTAAGAGAAGAGGACCGAGAAGCGGTAGGCCGAGGCGAAGACGACGCTAGAAGGGATCTGTTAGAACAGACATGAGGATTTCTCATGCAGGGCGAAGATACATACAAGAATCCCAGTCCGAAGGCAAGCGTGACGGCCATCTTCTCCGAACTTCGCAGCTGCAGACTCCATATCTGGGGAAGAGGAAGAGCCAAGATGATCAGATCCGTGACAATGGTCGAAACTGCGTTGGCGATCCAAGTGCCGACCTGGTTGATGCAGTGGCCCTCGAGATAAGGATACCAGAGCTTCTGGACGGGCACGCAGATAAAGACGAACAAGAACGTGATGCAGATGACCCAGCAGATGATGAACGCGCCGATGATGTACGCCCAGGTTTTGAAGTACCCAAACCGAAAGATCCGATAGTACATCAGGAGAATGCTAAGTTTGGTCCACACCAGGTTGAACACATATAAGATTTCGGCAACGACAAGATATTTCGCGATCATGACAACGCTGTTCGGGTGTAGTGTATCGGCATGAAGACCCATTCCCTCATGGATCATTGCAAAGATGAAGCCAACGACCACGAGATTCCAACCCTGGTTTGGTCTCAATTCTCGATCCCTTTCTATATGTTTAAGGAAGTACAGTCATACTCACCATCGACCACACAATCATCCAATCGTCCCACCATAATTTCTGCTTGCGTTCAAAGCGTGCTAATATGCGAAGACAGACAGCCACGAATGCCAGCACCGTGACGGAAATAGTAGTAGCCCTCGCCCATGGCTGAAGGTTGCTCGTGTCATCGTCGTCCATTGTTAATTAGGGCTGGTCCGAGAAGAACGAGGTGAAAGAGATGAAGAGGAAGCCATGAATAGGGATCGGGGGAAAGAAAAGAAAAAGACATGGCAGATTGGCGAGAAATTTCCCGCCGATTTGGACGAGCCTTAGACTCCTAGTCGAAGTTGATCATTTCTATCTTTTGTCCGTTTCCAGGAGTTCCTGAACCCCATGGTCCGACGCCATGGTCTTAGCCTCGCAGGCCCCTTACTCCATGAACTGTAGGCCAAATTTCCAGAAAGTCATAAACGGGATTTGCTTTTTTGACAGTCCGGCTATTAAGCTCTTCTGCTGCCATCTGATTGCTCGGGGGTGGGTTGCCCTGGCGTGTGGCTCCACCCTCCGTCTCTGCCGGACGATCGCAGGATCCGCCTACTGCCTTGGTGTGAAGTTTTTTCTTCCTCCCTTCCCCCAAAAAACGTGGCCCAATGTCCTGATTAGTGATAGTTTAGCACGGCTAGTACGTGGGCCAAGGCCTGACCAAGTGGCGCGGACGAAAATCTGTTCGTATTCATTTCATTTGGTGCGACAAGTGCTGGCTAGAAATGCTAGTCCTCCGAGCCGGACAATCAGACGATGATGGCCGGAGCCACCTTTGGCCCGCGGCCGCTCAAATGGTTGGACACAATGAAAATTCATGACCGAAATCCCCACTATGACAAAGTCTATTGTTTAAACCGTTGGGCGCCGCCCGTCTGAAATTGTCTCTGACAGGCCTGTCAGGTTTGATGCCTTACGGGGTATATTTGGTGATGAGGTCCAATAGAGCCTCGTTGATTTGGTCTGGGTGGGTAGCGTTGAGATAATGGGCTCCCCCCTCGATCATGACCAGTTTGGCCTCCCTGGACGAAGTGAAAAGTTGGATTTGTTCGCCTGGAACAGTCTTTCCGAATGGCGTGTCTTCCGTTCCCTGATAATGACCGGTCGAATGATTAGCACCGGTTTACAGAGGTCTAAAGAGTCAAGTCAATGTTTACTCACTTGTAACCAATAAACAGGACATTGGATGTCTCTCAGTCGCAGCAACAGCCCGTCCCTCTCCAACAGACAAAGCACCGCCATTCGTGCCTTTCTTCGGCCCTCGTCACCTTTGTACACCTCTTTCAAGGTCTTGGTCCAGAACTCGCTGGATTCGGTCGTCGCCGCCGCTCCGAAACCGAAGCTACCCACCATGCCGCACCACGCATCATCTATGATGAATTCTGGGGTAGCCGAAAGACTCGTCCACTTCTCGTAGAAAGGCTTGAGAATGGGCGTAGGATCCCAGCATCCCTTGGATCGCGAGTCTTCCGACTCGGAGTCCATGGAGGTACCGAGAGGCATGAGGCCGAGAATCTACATGCAGAAGTTAGCATGTGATGCTCTATCGATACTTATCCCCTCGGAACCATCACGACTCACCCTCTCCGGTGCTAGTAAGGCCATGCGGGTCACCATCCAACCTCCCTGACTCGTTCCCAGAGCGAACGCCTTCTGAATGCCGAAATGGTCCATCACCTGCAATGCCATGATCGCCGTATCCCAGTAAGTGAAATGGTCGGAGGGGGAGCTGGTTGAGCCATGACCGAGAGGCTCAATGGCTAACAAGTTCATCGCATTCGTCAGGCGGCTGCTGTTGAACTGATCCCGGTAGAGAGAGACGGTCATGCACATGGAGTTGATGAGAACGCATGTCGGTTTGGCGGGGTCGTAACTATCGTTGGAGAAGGCGTACCCGGCCTTGATGCCGCCGAGATGGGGGACCTGAACAGTTTTGGTTGCGGCCATGTTGATAGAGGACGGGCTGGGTTTTAGTCAAAAAAGAAAGGCTCCTTTTTGCAGTACCAGATTGAAGCTCCCGGTCCCTCGTACATAATAATACATATCATGGGTGACCCCTCCAAATGGGTCAGGACAGCCATGACCAACTCCATTACCGGATGGAGTAGGACTCTAGGAGTATGGATCCCGCCAGCTAGCTCACCGACATGTTGAGACATGGACTAACTCCAATTGATCTTCACTCATGACAGGATTTCGTGCAACGGGGAAGGTTCGGACGAGGCACCCAATTGGGAGAGATCAGCCGCGGACGGGTTCCGTGGCCTGATGGAGTCGTTGTCATTCCCCGAGTTATTGCCGTCGGAGGTGTTGAACATAATATAAATAGCCAGGAAACGAACGCTCTGGCTCGCTGCATGCGCATGATTATGGTTATTAAATCCACCAAGCCATGGCCCACGATCCATTGTGGGAATAAGGCCATAAGCCGCACCCCAGGAGGGTTTTATTCTCGATCGATGCATGCATTATGCTGCAATGCAATACTGAATACGGGTAACTAGTCAGTGCAGCGATCTACCCGGAACTGACAGGATGCCCGGTCGTGCAGGTACTTCTTGACAGACAGAGTCACTGTATGTCATCATATAGATGAATATCGAGTATGGGTTTACTGCATTCCATAGAGAAGAGAAAGAATGGAAGAAGAGCAAGAGGAAGAGGGAGAGAGAAGACACGGGAAAGAATGAGGACTTGTGTGCGATGTCACCTGTCCATGACAGTACCGGGTTACAGCACTGCCTATTTAGGACTAGCGCAGTAATATGTCAATGCCCTCATCTCAGCGAGTATGACACGATATAGTTACTCAAGTACTGAATTCAGCAACTAATAGCACACTTCTTTCTTTCTATATGCAAAAAAGTAGGGTCCTTTTAATTCCCAGCATGTTAGCTCAGGAGAAGAGCGCCGGGCTCATAACCCGGAGGTACGTCACACTGAATCTTTTACTTGATCATCCGAACATCATCACTAACTTCAACGAAAGGGCCCTGGATAAACCAGGACATGCTATCCTTTTTCTTCTTTTTTTAATAACCTCATTTCCCCAGACTAGGTCTTCATATTCAATAAGGACCAGAAAGTGTCTTTTATGTCATAATAGTCCCTATTACCTAAGTTACTCCGTACACCTACTATAGATACCTACCTACTCTCGTCCATCGGGGGGGTGACAATAATTCCATCAATTAATTCCCCGACATTCACAGATCCAGATCGATCTGCCAATACTCAATAGTCATGTAAGGTACCACCTGGTCATATCCACATATATGATATATGTCCTATGTGATCGATCGGTGAACGAGGAAGGGTGCTGGTATATACTCTCGGTATAGAGAATCCGTCGCGTTCAAAGACTTCAGCATCGACTTGAACCCTTTCCAAAATCCGGTGTGCCGGTGTCATATTATGTCAGACTAACGCCAGGGCTCGAACACCAGGTCGCACATATCCCGCCAATGGCCATTCACGATGCTGTACCTGCGGAATCAAAAACCACTCAAATCTGTCGAACGAGCTAACAGAGTTCGCCACGGATGGCCCCTGACCCAGGCCGAGTCTTTCGCCGTCCGCGCAAGACAAGACTTGACTTCACACTTGAAAGGTGGGGGCTAGACCATTGCATTTGGCGAATGACGGCTCGCAGAGATGGATCGAGATCGGTCCGCGCGCACACTCGCCGACGTCCGTAAGGCTGTCTTGGTCATGATCTGTCAAAGAGGATGCGATGGATCATGAATACACTCCGGCGACAGGTCACCTCGCTAGTAACTCAATAGTCAGTACAGTAATATTAATTTTCACCGGCCTTGGAAGGAATGCCTGCAAGGAACGGATCGACGAATTCCAGTCTCCCAGGAGCCGAAAGAATGGGTGAAAGAATGAAGAGGGACGAAGAAGGAAGAGGCGTAAGGTGAAACATCCCCCCCGTGTTGGTGCCTGCGTCCTTAGGCTGGCCCCGTCTTTCTTTTCTTTTTTTGGACTTTGTCTCTGGTGATTCTGCTTCTCTTTTCTTCGCGTGCTCACCCTTCTTTGCTTTCCATTCCTCTCGGTCGCCTCAACTTTCTCTGTCCTTCCTCTTCTTCTCTTCCTCTCGTTCCAATTGCCCACGCTCTTTTGCTGCTTTGCCAATTTTTCGCATCTCCCACGCATCTTCCTCGGTTCGACCCACCACCCCCCACAGCAAACTGTCCAGAACCAGATCTGCGATTCTGTCCCCTCACGATCTCTCGCTCGTTGGCGCAATTCATGTCTCTCATTTGACGATCTCGTGTCGCTCATTCGCTGATTCGCTCAAAATCCTTTCTTTACCGGCCAAACTTAGTCCTAGTCGTGGGGCTGCAGGACAGCCTCTGCTGCTGTCTTGCCCTTCAAAACCAACCCTAGCTGGTTTTCAAAAATACCCATAACCACCCACAGATCGTCTTCTCGAATAAATGTCTGGCCGTCCTGGCTTCGCCGAGAAGCGACTGTCCGTCAATCGTTTCCAGCAGATCTCAGATAATCCACAAGACGGCATGGCCAATCCGAACGACGTGACGATCGAGATTCCCTTGAGCACCGTCCCAAGCCGAGGAGGTGTGCGGAATCCCAGCGTCAATACACCCGTGTCGCCCAATCCATATCAACCGCCAGGTGGGAGCCCGAATCCCAATGCGAGTGAAAAGACGGGGCTCGTGCCAGGCCCTGGCCCGGGCCGTCGAAGGAGGGTCGATACTATGGGGGCCTCGGTGGAGGAGAATGAGGACGGGACGATCACCACCATGGGTCGGATCTATCAGAAGATCCTCAATTTCTCCATCGTCACTCGCTACATGCTCTACGTCACGCCGCTGGCGATATTGATTGCCATCCCAATCATCGTGGGCGCGACGGTCGCGCAGGACGCGACCATCGGCGGCGTGCCTGTACACTGGTTTTTCACCTGGATCGAAGTGATCTGGTTGAGTCTGTGGGTGGCCAAATTGGCAGCCCGTGTCTTGCCTTATATCTTCCAAGTCCTGTGCGGTTTCGTTAGCTCGGGAACGCGCAAATACGCTTTGATTCTTCATAGGCTACAGATCCCTATCGCAACCGTGATTTGGTGTGTGATCTCACTCGTGACGTTCTTGCCCGTAGGTTCCCTTTCCAGTTTGTCAGGAGCGCATTTCGCTGACCTTCATATCTAGATTATGACATTGAATCCCGTAAAGAAGCAGCAGAACGATACAGGAACAAAGTCGTGGGAGAAGACCATGAAAAATATCCTGTTTGCTCTCTTTGTCTGCAGTTTAATCTTTCTCGGAGAGAAAGCGCTCGTTCAGCTCATCTCGATCAGTTATCACCGGAAGCAATTTGATAGCAAGATCAAAGAGTCCAAGCGGAACGTTTATCTCCTTGGACAGTTGTACGAGGCTTCGCGAAGCATGTTCCCTATGTACTGCAAAGAGTTTGCTGAGGAAGATGCTGCTGTCTCCGACTTGATCACCAGCAAAGCCGGTCGCGTACTACCCCGTTCTGGCTCGGCCCCCTTTCGCATGATAAGAGAAGTTGGACACGGGTTTGGTCGAATTGGTGAAAAAGTGACGGCTGCCGTGGGTGACGTGGCCCAGGAGCTGACCGGAAAGGAGGTCTTCAACCCCAACTCGGCCCGGTCCGTCGTCACATTGGCCCTGGAGCGCAAGAGATCGTCTGAGGCGCTGGCCCGTCGGATCTGGATGTCGTTTGTAATCGAGGGCCGCGAGGCTCTTTATCACGACGATATCGTGGAAGTTCTGGGCGCAGGAAAGGAGACGGAGGCGGAGGAGTGCTTCCTCATTCTCGACGGAGATGGTAATGGCGACATTAGTCTCGAGGAGATGATCCTGGCCGTTGCGGAGATTGGGCGCACGCGCAAATCATTGACCCACAGTTTGCATGATGTGGACCAGGCGATTCATGTTCTGGACAATCTTCTGCTCACAGTCGCCTTTGTTATCAGTCTGCTGGTGTTCGTCTCGTTCGTGACGAGTGGTTTCGGCACCGTTATTGCCGCCGGTGCTACCTCCCTCCTGTCCCTGAGTTTCGTCTTTGCCACTACTGCTCAGGAAGTCCTGGGTTCCTGTATCTTCCTCTTCGTGAAGCACCCGTTCGACGTTGGTGATCGTGTGGATATCGATTCCAAAGCCTACTTCGTCGAGCGTATTTCGCTTCTCTTTACCGTGTTCCGCAACGTTGCCGATCACCGCATCACGCAAGTCCCCAACGTCGTGCTCAACAACCTGTGGATCGACAACTTCACTCGTTCCAATGCCATGCACGAAAACCTGACCATTCCCATAAAGTTCGAAACGACATTCGTTGATATCCAGAACCTCAAGGAGGAGCTGGAGCAGTTCGTGCGCGACAAGGAAAACTGCCGTGACTTCCAGCCCGATCTTGATGTCGATGTCGTGGGTGTCGGCGATATGGATAAACTGGAGCTGACCGTCAACATTCGCCATAAGTCCAACTGGTCGAACGAGAGCGTCCGGGCTGCCCGCCGCTCGAAGTTCATGTGTGCCTTGGTCTCCGCGGTGCGCAGGATCCCCATCCGCGCCCCCGGCGCCGAAGAATCGGCAGAGGACGAGAACGACGACGGAGGGAAGCCCGACGGAGACGCTCCGGCCAAGAATGACACCACCGACAAGAACACGGACGGGGGAATGAGCCGCGCAAGCACAGCCAATGCCCCTCAAGGGCTCGGCCTGACCGGCGCCGACTCCAAGTCCACCGGCTTCGACCTTGGTCGGTCATCCGTCGGCTCGCTGCAACACCGTAACAGAAGCGGCGAGGCCCCCTCCAGCACCTTCAGCGGTGGTCTCTCCCCCGAGCACGCACGCATGCGTTCCCCGGCGGCGGAAGAGTTCCGCGACGTCCAAGACGGCGATAACTATCAAACGCCTGCCGCCTCGCCGGAGCAGAAGCAGCTCAACATCAACAACTACGGCAGTCTCGAACGAACCGCCTCAACGGGCCGCCGCAAGGAGGGAACCCGATCATCCATCCCCACAGCCACAGGGGGTGTTCCCATCCTCGCCGCCCCAGTGCCGCAGCGTCCAGCGCAGACTGCTGCCCCTGAATACTACAACTACGGCGGCGGCGGCGGCAACTACTACGACCCGCAGGACGGGCCTTATGATCCCAACCAGCCCTTCGAGCTGCCTTCGGCGCGGGATGCCTCGCCTTCCGGCGTCGACCAAAATCAAGAATATTCCTCGCCGTATCTGCGCGGACCTGTCTCGCCCACTGAGGGCCGACGGGATGAAGCCGAGCACGAGCAGATGCCGGGGTCGTTCGTATCTCGACGACCTCCTCAGGCAGGACAACAATGATCTTGGAACGATAAAGAAAATCTACTTTGATCTCAATACAATTTAAATTTTGGATGTAAGGACAACAATACAAAATGAGCGCAATGGTTATATGATGTTTGTACTATTTTGGTTTAATATCAGCGTATGGGCGGGGCGATTAAGGACATCTATAACTTTTGCAAGATGCAATCAAAGAATTTCATTAGATTCTCGTACGAACTTCGCTAGAAACAATAGATGTCGTAAGTTACATGTAGTTACTCGCAATGACCTACGCATGGGCCAACTGACGATGTATTTATTCTGCATTAGAATTGAGAGATTGTATATTAACACCGATAAAAATGACTATAATACAAGCGACTATTTCTACATGGCTCGTAGAACGCAAGCAGACAATATCGACACAATCCAGCTGGCTAGCGGTCTAGATCCCCACCGGTCTCGATCACCGGGAATTCGTCTCCTTCCACGGGTACGACACCGGATCATCCTTTCGCAACCAGATCTTGGACTTCTTCTTGTTCACGATGTGCTCGACGAACACCTCCCGGGTGTGTTCCGCCTTGAACTTGCGGATGTATCGAGGGTCCCAGAGCTCGCTGGCAATGCCTAGGTCCTTGCAGCAGCGGACTAGCGCATTGGACCGACACCCCTCGGTGGCGGTGGGGATGCCATCGGGCGTGAAGTAATCCTGCTCGCCCCGAGCGACGGACACAAGTCTATATACCAAAATGAATGAGCATTTACCCGATGTACCAACCACAACATGAAAAAAGGGATTCAGAAAGGAAGGAAAAGAGAGAGAGAGAAGAAACGTACCGCCCATTACACACCAACGCGTACTCCCTCGTCACCGTCTTCGGCGTCACGATGCTCTCGCTGCGCGGCACGAGTCCCCACGCGCCGGGCCCGAACGCGCGGTTCAGAATCCGCCGGTACTTGATCTCAGGCAGGTAGAGGATGCCGTCGGGCTTGATCTCGACTTCGCCGGGGTCGGTCGGGGCCAGGAGCACGTCGGCGGTTTCCTTGGGGAAGGGCTCCGCGCTGAGTCCGTGGAAGGACCGCGTCCAGTCGATCTTCTCCTCCGTCGAGACGTCCAGCTCTAGCGGCTTGTCGGAGAGGCCGGTCTTCGAGATGTTGCCCGTGGTCTGGTGCGAGGGGGTCTGAGAGGCGATGCGCGAGGCGCGCTCTTGGGCGGGGGAGGGTGTGGGAGAGGTCGGGTTGGTGCTGGTCGCTGGTCGGGGAGGTTGTTGTTGCTGTCTGGATGTGGCGGAGTGCGTGATGGATCGGCGGGGGAGGGAAAGGCGCGTAGTCGGTGCTCGGTGGAGCAGAGACTCTGCGGATCGGATGGAGAGGGAGAGACGAGGGAGCGACATGGTTGCGGAGGGGAGGATTGAGGGGGATGAAGGAGGTGAAATGAAGATTATCGATGGACGGAAAGGGAAGTGAGCTTATAGTCACGTGATGCGACGCCTGGCATCTGCAGATGGCAGGAGAGGGAGAGAGTCGATTGATTTAACCCAAGAACTAGAGAATAGAACATGCAATAGCTGGGATACATAGTATACAGGCTTGGGCTAGGACCCAAGAAAGAACCGGTGCATAGTCTGGCCCAACACTCGTACGCCGTTACGCATCCTTGGTCTGCGTGCGCTGGTCGTTGCCCTGGCGTTTCCAACACTCGCGGAAAGCTTCCATCTGTCAATGCAGACAAGTGAGAACAATTCAGCGCATTTCAAATAATTAAGGCAAGATACAGGAAGTTTGTCTCGCTGCAATGAGGGAAGCTAGAAGGAACAGGAGTGACACAGGAGGTCAATCCTGCCCGACTGCGATGATATGATCGACTTACCGCGTCCTTGCAACTGCGCCAGTCCTTTTTGGCAAAATAGCAGTCGTTCATCTTGTCCTGCTCGACTACACGCTGTCAATTGAGGTCCTGATGCAGAGAGGAGGGGGGAACTGGGTTGCATTGGCCTACCTGCGCAGCCCGTACTGAAGATCCGCTTGTCCCTGGTCTCCGATCAGCTCCGCGGCTTCTCGCTCTGTCCGCTCCGATTCCTCATTGACTCACCAGTCGTCGGGCTCGTCGTCGTCGTCCACTTCCACGGGCGGGTTTTGGTGCTGCTCTTTCTGCGACATTGTTCTGTGCTTGCGATCGGAATCGGGTTGTGCCTGGAGGACCGAGTTGTTCTGTCTCGGAACTGCTGATTGATTGACTGATTGATTATCGCATCTCCTTCCTATCGATCGAATTCCCCGCCATGGCCACTCCCAACGCCAACTTGAACGGCACAAAGGTCAACGTCCTAGTATACAACGGTATATTCTCCCCCCTTTAAATCTATCAGTATCATATTCTTATTATATCTTCAAATCACAGGAAATGGAACCACCGTCGAATCCGTCCGCCACTGCCTCTACACCCTCCGCCGTCTGCTTGCCCCTCATTATGCCGTGATCCCCGTGACGGCCGATATGCTCATCAAGGAGCCCTGGACCCTCACCTGCGCTTTACTGGTAATCCCTGGCGGTGCTGACCTGGGCTACTGCCGTGCTCTCAACGGCGCGGGCAACCGCCGCATCGAACAATTTGTGCGCCGCGGAGGCGCTTTCCTCGGCTTCTGCGCGGGCGGATACTACGGCTGCAAACGCTGCGAGTTCGAGGTGGGCGATAAGACCCTGCAGGTGATCGGGGAGCGCGAGCTGGCCTTCTTCCCCGGGACTTGTCGCGGTGGCGCATTCGGCGGGTTTGTCTACCACAGCGAGAGCGGGGCACGGGCGGCCGAGTTGACGGTCTCGAAGGAAGCGCTGACGGCGGGGATCGTGCCGGCAAGATTCCGCTCGTATTACAATGGGGGTGGCGTGTTCGTGGATGCAGCGTCGTATGCAGACAAGGGCGTGGAAGTGTTGGCGGACTACGTGGAAGAATTGAATGTTGACGGCGGGTCGGGTGTCGCGGCCGTGGTCTACTGCAAGGTGGGCGATGGCGCAGCGATCCTGACCGGGCCGCATCCGGAGTTTGTGCTACCTTGCAATACAGATGGAGGATGATGCTGACCGGGTATAGGTTTGCCGCGGCCAATCTCGACAAGAGCGCTGGGGGCCCGGAATACGCCCGCCTCGTGGACGCACTGGCGGAGGATGATCGCGCGCGGACGGACTTCTTGAAGGCTTGTCTGGGCAAGTTGGGTCTACAGGTGGCACAGAATACTACGACCGTGCCGTCGCTTTCGTCGTTGCATCTCTCCGCGCTGGACCCGGCGGACACAGAACAGATTGTGTCGTCACTGCGAGACATCATTACGACCGAGGGGCAGGAGGAGTATGTAAAGGACGAGAATGACACGTTCCGCCTCGAGAAGGTCGGAACATGGAGCATGGGTTCCCTGAACGAGGCCCTGCCACAAAGCTCGGAGGGGATCGTCGATTACAATGCTATCACGAAGCCCATCGTGGTGCATGACGAGGTCCCATCGTCGAAAACAACGCCCTATTTCAACCATCACGCCTTCTACTCCCACCTTCGTCGATGTCAATCCCTCTCGAAGGAGGGTGCGTCTGAGTTCGGGTCGAATCTGATATACGGAGAGGTCCTGACAAGCACCAGCACGATCTTGGAAAAGTAAGTCTCCCGCAATGCATCGGCTGGCCCGTCTAACCGGACCAGGAACCCTAAGCTGTTGCGCAAACTGCCCCAAGGGTTCACCTCATGCGCAACCACTCAGGTGGCTGGTCGAGGGCGCACAAACAACGTTTGGGTGTCCCCGGCCGGCGCACTCATCTTTTCAACGGTGCTTCGACACCCGGTCGAGAAGCTGCAGTCATCGCCGGTGGTGTTCATCCAATACTTGGCAGCCATGGCGGTGGTGCAAGGCATCAAGAGCTACGACGAAGGGTACGACGCCATGCCGGTCAAAGTGAAATGGCCCAACGACGTCTGTGAGTCGGCCCAGATGCAAACCGAACCAATCCTTAGCGTGCATGACAGAACGGCTGACTAGGTCTCACCAGACGCACTGGATCCCGAGGATCCGGACAAGAAACGCTACCTGAAAATCTCTGGCAACATGGTCAACTCACACTATTCCGGGAACGAATATATTGCAGTCGCGGGCATCGGCGTGAACGCCCTCAACGCCTCTCCGACCACGTCGTTGAGCGCTCTCGCCGCGCGCTTTGTGGGTCCCCGGGCGGCCCCCATCAGTCTAGAGAAATTGCTAGCGCACATCCTCACGACCCTGGAGGATTTGTACGCCCGGTTCCTGCGCACCGGATTTGACCGAGGGTTTGAAGAGATGTACTACAACGACTGGCTGCACACAAACCAGGTGGTGACATTGGAAGAGGAGGGAGGCGCGCGAGCCCGCGTCAAGGGGATTACGCGCGACTACGGATTGTTGCTGGCGGAAGAGTTGGGATGGAACGATCGGCCGACGGGTCGCATCTGGCAGCTGCAGAGCGACAGCAACAGCTTCGACTTTTTCCGCGGACTGCTCAAGCGCAAGGTGTAAAAATGTAAATAAACCACAAAACGTAAGCCCAGCGGTGGCTGAAGACTGGGCGAAGGCTTCGGCCAGCGCCAAGGAGGCTTGGTCCGGGTCTAACCACAGGGCTGAGCCACCGGTTTCGTGGTTGCCTGGCCTTTTTTGCAGAGGGAATTTAGTTAATTATAGAAAATTTGGACGGCACCATGGGTTGACGGGAGGAGGATCCACGGAGCGACGGCACAAAGAATAGAGTAAGATTCCAGAAAAGTAGTCAACACAGTAATTCCTTGTAAAAATGTCAGAAAGCGAAAAAGTCGGGATGGAAAGGGGATTAGCGGTCATGTGCCGCGTTGGCATTTAAACCCGCCTTTTCCTCTCCGTTGGGGGCTTCTTTCATCCTTCCATCTTTCTCCATCTCTGTCTTCATTCGGATAACTCCGTTTTTTCATCTCCCTCCGCAGTCCACACACTCCCGAAGACTTTCGTTCATCATGTTCAACTTTGCCTGGTTCAAATCTTCCAAGGAGGAAGAGGCTGCCCAGCCCACCTGGAACGCCAACACCCTGACCATGGAGCAACCCGCGAGTCCCGCCGCTCTCCAGCAGCAGCAGGTGGTGACCGACCAGCCCGTACGTCACACTCGGTCCCTTGTTTCCCCGTGGGAGAGTAGCTGCTGCTACATGTCGATGATATGATGCGACGGTCGACTAACCGAGGCCCAGTCTTCCCAGGAACCAATGCAGATGAACCTCCGAGGTGGTGGTGGTGGCGGCGTCTGCTGTGGAATGTTAGTCGTCCCTTGTCCCTTTTGACTTTGGTTTTCCCCTCCCCGACCCGTCCTTTTTGACCTGTCTTGTTCCATCGTTTCTTCCTATGTTCTACCGATCTAACGCGGTTTGTTTTTCTGAAAATAGCTGTGCCGGTCTTGCTTGCTTCGAGTGCTGTGAGATCTGCTGCTAAATTAGGCTCGATGCCCTTGGATTTTGGACGATGGTTATGATACCCGAATGATTGGTGTTTGATTTATTATTATGTATGGACGAGCAAATCTACCGCTGTCAAATGTTATCTAGTTGATTGGCTCCTTTGATGTCACTCCTTCAGCTTTCTGGCAGTGAAAAATGAATGCACGTCTGTTATCCCGTCATGGCACGCATAAGTCGCATAAGTTCCGTTGCTTTGTTCCCACCGCCAAGCAGCGATCGACACGCGATCCGACTAGAGAAAAACCTGCCGGCGTCGGGTGTGTGCGATGCACACCGATGCATGGGGCTGTGGACCGGCGAATCCCAATGAATGAATACCACATCCAGGATCATCTTTGCTAAACTGCGTCACCGGCCTCTCCGAGATGCTAAGGAAACTTGGTCTCCACTCCACTATGTTTCTTGTGAACTCGGCCCTGTTGCGCCATAGATAATAATGTCGACGGGCCCTCCCTGCCTCGGTAACTAGCTTGCGTCTGTCCCCCCTAGTCATGGTATATAAGTAGTCTTTTCTTTTCTTTTTTCTTTCTCTAGCTCGATCGACGGAAACTTCAAACTCAGGAAGTGATCACACGGAGTATATAAAATATTGCGATATTGCCCGACACTCCCCTTCCCACCTTCTCTTCGATAACGTCCTGGAATGGGTCATTTCCTGACCCTCGCGGCCGTCCTGGTCGGCCTGCGCCTACTTTGGAGTATACTCACCTCGTTGCGCCATGCGCAGAATGCTCGTCAACGGCAATGTGGTCCCATCCCCAAATATCCTAGCGACTGGCTGGGCATCAGCACTTTAAGAGAGGTGATGCGAGCCGACAAAGCCAAGATGATCCCTCCGACATTCCGTGGTCGCTTCGAAACGTTACGCCAACAGGAGAACCGACTTGTCACGACTTTCCGACAGGTACAACTTGGTCGCGAAAGCATTGTCACTTTCGACCCGAAGAACGTCCAGGCCGTCCTTGCTACACAGTTCAAGGATTTTGAATTGGGAGAGCCTAGACGGAATGCGCTGCACTCGCTGCTCGGATCGGGAATCGTACGTCACCTTTTCAAATAGTGTGTTTGTGGCACGCTGGCAACACGGCACTAATATGATCTGTCATGTGTATAGTTCACAGCCGATGGCGAAGCTTGGTCTCGCTCGCGTGGCCTTCTGCGTCCCCAGTTTACTCGAGACCAAATCAGCGACCTGGATCTGGAGGAACGCCACGTCCAAGCCGCCATGCTGGCCATCCCCGTCGATGCGTCGACCGGCTGGTCTCCCGCCACCGATATCCAATCCATCTTCTTTCGGCTGACGATCGATTCGGCGACGGAATTCCTATTCGGCGAGAGCGTCGACAGCCAGACCGCCGTTGTGAACGGTCACATCAGCGAGGACAAATTCCCCTACTACTTCGACCGCGGCCAGTGGTACGCTGCGCAGCGTGGCCGGCTGGAAAGCTTCTACTGGATGGCCAACAACAAGGAAAGCCACTTCATAGATTCCCAGGTGCACTCCTACGTGGACCGGTTTGTGACCGCCGCGCTTGAGCAGCGCAAGAACGAGGACTCGGAGAAGTCCGCCCCGGAATCGCAGCAACACTACAACTTCTTGAACGGGCTGGCAGGTGTCACCCAAGACCCCATCGAACTGCGCTCGCAACTCCTGAACATTCTGCTGGCCGGTCGCGACACCACGGCCTCGCTGCTCAGCTGGTGCATCCTACTCCTGGCCCGTCACCCGGACGTCTTCCAGAAGCTGCGTGCCACCATTCTCGAGACTTTCGGCACCTACGACGCCCCGCGCGACATCACCTTCGGCGGGCTCAAATCCTGCCGCTACCTGCACCAGGTCATCAACGAGGTGCTGCGTCTGTATCCCATCGTTCCCGGTAACCGGCGCGTGGCCACTCGTGACACGACGCTGCCCCGTGGCGGCGGGCCCGACGGCGAGTCGCCCGTGTATGTGCGCAAGGGTCAACCGGTGGTTTACCACGTCTTTGCCATGCAGCGCCGCACGGATCTCTGGGGTCCCGACGCCGACACCTTCGACCCGGAGCGCTGGGTGGATCGCAAGGTGAACTGGGATTACCTTCCCTTCAACGGCGGACCGCGCATCTGTATCGGACAGCAGTTTGCGTTGACGGAGACCGGTTACGTCTTGGTGCGCTTGTTGCAACGGTTCGATCGCATCGAGGATGTGAACCCGCAGCAGGAGATCCGGTACGGATTGACGCTGACCCTAGCGCCGGCCGACCTGGTGACGGTGAGACTGCACGAGGCCTCTGCGACGACTTAGGTAGCTGGGGACGCGAGAGCTGGATCAAAAGTGTATTGTAGTATATAGCGAGCACGGACAGAAGAGAGATGAAAGAGGAGCCCACATGGACGAGGACACGAATTTGTTTATTTCATAGTTAATGCCAGTTCGGAACACTGGTTGAAAAAACAGTCACATACCTAGTTTTATTATGCTCTACTCCGTGTGCTTCGACGATTGGACCTCATTAAGCCAGGATATACCTCCATTGCGTGGACAGGCGATCGTTCCTACACGGAGTTTACTCCGTCCACCTCTCAGCTCGATCGCAATCCATCCACAATTAATCTCCCTGCGACAACTTGCCCAAGACAAGCTTTTTCCCGGCCTCACCCTCGGAATTCGCGCTCCCTTGCACCCTGAATTTCCCCAACCGTCACGCAAAACTAGGCAACCGGCACAGCGATGACTCCGTTCCCGTTTCATCTAAAGCAGAGTGGCCCCACGCCGCACAGCAAACCGAGCAGGCTAAGCATCGGCCGGCGTTCCAGATTGTCTCTCCACTGGAAAAGCCCACCGGTTCATCAATAATCAATAATCTGCTCATTTCATCGCATTGGCTGACAACGCCACGCGGGCGAGCGAAATGAAATGGCCATTCCAAACCGGTCAAGGGCCAGGCACCCTGGAAATTGCACCAAGGGGGGTTTAATCTATCCGGCTCTCCGGATAGGGTCGTGTGCCTGGTGGACGTATTCCTGGGTCCCCGTCGCTTCCAATGGTTCCGGAATCCGTCTTAATTGACATGAGATTGTTTGTGGGGATCAGCAGATGCTGATGAGTCTGGACGGTTCTGTTTGAGGGGAGAGATGATATATCGTCGAGGGTGTATAAAGATGGGATGTCGGTCTGCGAGGGTTGGTAGTTCCTTTCTCTTTTTTTCTTCTCTATCATCACACTCAAGACTGGTTTCTTGTCATTCTTTTTGATTCTTCCTTTCGTTCTTGTCACTCTTTTTGCAAGTTCATACATTCGTGTTCCCTCTTTCACTCCTTTCCATTCATTTCCAATATGAGAATCACCAGCCTCATCATGGCCGCCAGTGCCGCTGGCATGGTCAGCGCTTACCCTAAGCGTGACATGAAGAAGCGCGACGCCGGCTTCAACTGTATGTTGCTCGACTTTGCCTGATATTTGTCTCCGTATTAACTCGAGTCAGGGTTCGGTGTTAGCGAATCCGGAGCCGAGTTCGGCCAGACCAACATCCCCGGTACCCTGGGCACCGACTACACCTGGCCCGAGACCTCCAAGATCCAGTCTTTGCGGAAGGAGGGCATGAACATCTTCCGGGTCCCGTTCCTCATGGAGCGTCTGGTGCCTAGCAAGATGACCGGAACTCCGGACTCGACCTACCTGAAGGACTTGAAGACGGTGAGTCGGTCATACGCAGATTCAATGTTTGCAGTGGCTAATGATAGTAGACCGTCTCTGCCATCACTGACAGCGGTGCCTATGCGGTCCTTGATCCTCATAACTATGGAAGATAGTATGTTCTTTTCCACTGGTCTAGATGGGTGAAATGCTAACGAACAATCTAGCTCTGGAAGTATCATTTCCTCCACCTCGGACTTCAAGGCTTTCTGGAAGACCGTTGCGGGAGAGTTTGCCTCCAACGACAAGGTCATCTTTGATACCAGTAAGTAAACGTCCTCGATGGGCTCTACTGAGCAATGGTGCTAATACATACCCAGACAACGAGTTCCACGACATGGATCAGGACCTCGTCCTGAACCTCAACCAGGCCGCCATCAACGGAATCCGTGCCGCCGGTGCCAAAACCCAGTACATCTTCGTCGAGGGTAACTCGTACAGCGGAGCCTGGAAGTGGGCCACCACCAACGACAACCTCAAGGACCTGACCGACCCCCAGGACAAGATCGTCTACGAGATGCACCAGTACCTCGACTCGGACGGTTCCGGTACCTCGGAGACCTGCACCAGCTCTACCGTCGGCAAGGAGCGTCTGCAGACCGCCACCGAGTGGCTGCAGTCCAACAAGAAGAAGGGTTTCCTGGGCGAATTCGCCGGCGGTGTTAACGCCGACTGCGAGTCCGCCGTCGAGGGCCTGCTCTCCTACATGTCAGACAACACGGACGTCTGGACCGGTGCCGAATGGTGGTCCGCCGGCCCCTGGTGGGGAAGCTACATGTACAGCTTGGAGCCCGAGACTGGTCCCGCGTATGACACCTACCTGCCCATCCTGAAGAAGTACTTCGTTGGTGGCAGCGCCTCCTCGTCCGCTTCTGCCTCCGCTACCGCCTCTGCCTCGTCCGGCTCCAGTGCCACCGCCAGCGTCAGCTCCGCCGCCTCGACCACCACCGCTGCTGCTGCTGCCGCCACGACTGCCCCCGTCTCGATCTCGGCCCCGACTGCTCAGTACAAGGCCCCGGCTCCCACGACCTCGGCCGTTCAGTCCTCCGGTGCCTCCGCCGTCCCCGCGAGCAGCGCTTCCTCCTCGTTCCAGACTCGCCCGGCCAGCACTTCCTCCGTCGCTTCCGTCAGCTGCGGCGCCGCTACCAGCAGCAGCGCTGCTCCCACTCCCAGTGGCTCTGCCGGCGTCGTGCCCCACTACTACCAGTGCGGCGGTATCAACTGGAAGGGCAGCACGCAGTGTGAGAGCGGTTACACCTGCAAGAAGCAGAACCCCTACTACCACCAGTGTGTTTAAATTATAAACCACGAGGACGATTGGAGGCGACTACAGAGTCAGTTTTAGCCCGGTATATCTTGCATCGTTTCAGGCGTAGGACCGGATGCAAAGGCAATTAGTTGTATATAGTTCCGCTCTACTGATCCCTTTCAGTCAGAGCGACTTGATCATAGAATCCAGTTCATTCATAATAATCATCACTTTCGTTGGTATCACAGCGCGTAATTCCAAAACACAAAGTTCAAGTTATAGACAGGACAATTTCGACCCCTATTTCGACACCGGAAATTCAAACGACCGATCCCCCTCTCCAGTCGGCACGGGCTTCGCATCATTATCATATAGCGTTCGCTCGAAATACCGCACCGTGCCGTCCTGCCGCACCAGAATCACCGTCTGCTTCTGCGTCCCATACGACCCGTGCAAATAACTCCGATCCAACGAGTCATCGCCACCGACCTCAGACCCCCGCGCCGCCGCCGCCTTTGCCCTCACTTCATCCTCCTTCCTCCCCAGCAACGGAATGAAAATACTTTGCCGAAAGAACGGCAGATAATCCTCCGCTGTGGCATCCTCCCCCAGCTCCGGCAATGTATTTTTGCTCAGCAGATCCAAAAACCCATCAATCAACCTATCTTCCTCCTCCCCAGCGCCACCAGCACCACCATGTCTCCCAATAAGCTCCTCCATCAACCTCTCCCCCTCCAAGATCTTCGGCCACGACCGATCCTCAAACGTCGTATTACTCAATCCCCGCGTCTCACCCCTCTCCTTCGCAACCCAACTCACGCTCTCGACGTCCTCGCTCCGATTCGACACGATCGCCAACGGCTCGCCCACATACCCACATACCAGACTGAATCCGCCCACATTCCGCGCTTCGGGGCTATTCACCATCCCGGAGACGAAGTCGAGCGTCGGGGTCCGTTCGCTCGGAGGGAGCGTTAGCCATCCGTTCACGATCGTTCCGCGCGACTTGTTGCCCGTGGCTTCGTCCGAGGTCTTTTCGCGGTAGTTTGTCAAGACGGCGATTTTTCCGGAGATGCTCACGCCCATCCAGGTGCCGTGCGTGGAGCGGGCGAGGTCGCGCCCGCCGAGGATGTGGGTGTTTGGTTCGGGCCAGTAGTTTGCGGGGGAGGTTGGGCGGTGAAGATATTCCTTTTTGTGTTGTTTAGGTTAGTTGGATGGTTGGTTTGTGGATGGATGGATGGATGGATGGGAAGGGATAGGGACATACATCTCTGTTGTTGATGATGATTAATGGGTAGGATGGATGAGCGGTGGATATTAATGCGATGCACATTGTGTTGGTGTTGACGTTGACAATGGGCAGAGGATCGCAAGAGATAACTCAATGGAGAGAGATCGTCTGAAGAAAAATTATAAAAAGGTACAGAATAGATTGAGCAATCGCTATCGATACCGATGACGAATGATCACGCGATCGGGTAGTATATAGATGGATCGATAGGTAGAGACTAGTAGGTAAGTACTCGTGCTCTGTACAGTGTAGTGGACAATAGCCACGAGGGCTTAGGTAGACAGAATGCGAACGATGGCTGTGCCTCTCAAAGAGAAAGAGATCCAGGAACCGAGCAGACGGGGGCCGACTGAAGAGGAGAACTTGGGCATCACATCACATGGTGGATTCGCTGTCGGCCGGTCATTATGTCATGTGTTGGGCCACAAGGCAGTATCTCACCGCCTGGGATGACCACGTGATGTGGGCGGTGATGGGGCGGAGACGGTGCCCTAGAAGCCTGCCCTAGTTTCCTCTTTGGGGTGGAGATCCTGATCGGAGGATGCTGATGGATGACCATCTCCTTCGTACATTCTGGATGCCTGGGGAGATCCTTGATTCCTGTTCAGAATCCAAGTCATGGTCAGCCAGATACCGATGGAGGAATTGGTTCCCTTCTATCTGTTCCCCTTAAGGTTTTGATCACATGAGCGGGCTGTTCTTATCGCTTTGAATCGGAGTCCGACTCCTGCATCGACTAATCACCTGCATTGCGATCATGATTTCATTATAAATACGAGCGGGGTTTCAATCCTGCATTCTTATCATCCTGACATCAACCCCAGTTTCTGTTGTTCAATACCAGCACGACAGTCATGACCCAGCCCGACTATGAGATCTTCAAACTTGGAGACTGGAAGCTCCAAAGCGGAGAGACCATCCCCGACGCGCATCTCGCCTACAAGACCTTTGGAGACCCGAAATCGCCTGCCATCGTCTATCCGACCTGGTTTTCAGGCCGTACGTCTTTTCGCAACCATCATACCGACACACGAACAAGAGAGACTAACAGGTGACACGAGACAGTGATCTCCGACAACTACTGGCTAGTGGGGTCGGACAAGACGCTGAACCCGCAGAAGTACTTCATCGTCATCCCCGCACTGTTCGGCAACGGTCAGTCCACCTCCCCCTCGAACTACCCCGGTCCCCGTCCCTTCCCGACGGTATCCTTCTACGACAACGTTCGCGCCCAGCATGCCCTGGTCACGCAGCATCTGCGCATCAGCCATCTCCGCGCCGTGATAGGGTGGTCCATGGGCGCCGCCCAGAGCTACCAATGGGCCACCCAGTATCCTGACATGATGGATCTGGTCGTCCCGTTCTGCGGTTCTGCTCGCACCGCGTTACATAACCAGGTCTTCTTGGAGGGCGAGAAAACTGCCCTACTGGCGGCCAAGCATATCGAGTCCGCTGGTTCGGGAAAGGGGCGTCTGTTGGAGGGGACTCAGACGGTGACAGCTTGGGGTGACAATGAGAGACAGATTGGATTGAAAGCATTCGCTAGGGGATATGCGGGGTGGTGAGGATTGAATTGAGCCCATTTGAAAGTTGAGCATGAGAGGCTAAACTCATTGCAGGGGCTTCAGTCAGACCTTTTATCGACAAAAGTTGTACGAGACCGTATTGGGGTTCAAGGGGTTGGAGGACTTTCTACAGAACTTCTGGGAAGCCTGGGCCCTTAGTAAAGGTAGGACCTCAGCACCGCAGCACAAAAAAGCGATCATAGATCCAGGCAGTGCAGTCGCTGATGGAGACGCTTCCAGATCCGGAGAATCTTTTGACCATGTTGCAGACATGGCAGAATGGGGACGTATCGCAACAGGCGCCCTACGATGGTGACTTGGAAAAGGCCATGGCTTCAATCCGAGCCAAAACGCTGGTCATGCCTTCAAAGACCGATCTTTATTTCCCGTAAGTCAGGTCTCATCTGCGCTGCTTCATCTCTGCTGTGGCTGACTGATACTGGCAGTCCGGAGGATTCCAAATATGAGGTGGCGTGCATGAACCCAGGGATTGGTACACTTCATGTCATTCCCTCAGTATGGGGCCGTAAGTATCGTCATGGGGGTTTTCAGTGAATTTGTGCTAATTGACCTCATTACAGACTGGGCTGGCGGCCCTGGAGATAGCAAGGCCGACGTGAAGTGGATTGATGAGCGATTGCGGGAATTCTTTGAGGCAAATGGGCTGGGTTCTTCCGTAGAGGGTATTGTGCAGGCAGGCAAGGAACTGAAGATCTGAGAATGGAAGAGTGAATCAATGTAGGGAGTCGTGAATGAGTGCACAATGAAGAATGAATCCATGAATCAATGAATGGGTGGGAAGGGTCAGGTGACTGTGGCTGAGTCAGCCAGCCAAGACGCCGATCGGCCATCGCCAGTTATCAATCGTCCTCCACTTCACTCAAGCTCTTCGTAGTCTCCCCATTAACTCCTTTCCTTTCTCCTGAGATCTCCTTTTCTTCTTCTTTTCTTTGACTTGCTGGGGCTTTTCATTATTCTTGACTTCCAGTTTGGGTTTATTCTTGTTGTTTCCTTTGTCGCTCGTTGCCAGCTTCCCTGTCGATTTATCTAGCCGCTGCTTGCGCAACCGCATAATCCTTCCTCCAACCGACCTCCAGTTCGACGATAGATAATGGCCGCTTCCACAGCTCGACAGTGGGGAGTTACGCCCCCCATATCTGCCGCTTTACCTACCCAAGATGAGCTCGCCGCAAATGATGATTTGATTGCAGAACTGAAGCTTCAGAACAACTTCGAAAGCCCGACGGAGACAGAACAAAGGTGAGAGCGGTTGCCGGACCTATCCCAGCCTCTTCTTTTATCCCACCCCCTGTCTTCTTCCTGCGAGCGCTAATGCACAAATCTTCTAGAAAGCAAGTCCTTCAGCTCTTACAGCGGTGCGCCCTCGAATTTGTCAAGCTCGTCAGTTGTAAAAAGGGATTGTCACCTGCGGCGGTTGAGGCCGCGGGTGGAAAGATCTTCACATATGGAAGTTATCGGCTGGGCGTGTACGGACCGGGTAGGTTGCCCGTGACTCCTCAACGCGATGGTTGCGGTTGCGATGCTAACGAAGGTTTTGTGCGACAGGATCCGATATCGATACCCTAGTGCTTGGACCGAAACACGTCGTGATCGATGATTTCTTTGCAGACTTTCCTCCCGTTCTTGAAAGACTGGCCCCGCAAGGGGCCATCGAGAAGATAACCCCCGTGCCAGACGCCTTTGTCCCGCTCATCAAGCTAGAACTGTCCGGTATTAGTATCGATCTGATTTTCGCCCGTCTGATCGTCCCCTCGATTCCTCTCAACCTGGACCTGAAGAATAATGATTACCTGAGGGGGCTGGATGAGAAGGAAGTCCGATCGCTGAACGGAACCCGTGTCACAGATGAAATTCTGGAACTGGTGCCCCAACAGAAGACTTTCCGCTTCGCGCTACGTGCTATCAAGTTGTGGGCGCAACGTAAGCACCCCCTTGATGTTCCTCATGGCCGTGGTGGAGGCTAACGCTGCGATACAAACAGGCCGAGCTATTTATGCCAACATTGTTGGGTTCCCCGGTGGTGTCGCTTGGGCAATGCTGGTGGCAAGAGTGTGCCAGCTTTATCCCCAAGCAACCGGCTCGGTCATTGTCGGGAAATTCTTCCGGATCATGAACAAGTGGGCCTGGCCGCAGCCCGTGCTGTTAAAACCGATCGAAGATGGGCCTCTCCAGATGAAAGTTTGGAACCCAAAGGTAGGACATAAGCGGATAACTCGACCCTAGGGCTTTAGTTAACTGAATTCAGATCTACCATGGCGATCGATTCCATTTGATGCCCATCATCACGCCGGCCTACCCGTCCATGTGCGCGACCCATAACATCTCGCTGTCCACCAAGGCAGTCATTCTCCGCGAACTTCAGCGTGGAGGTGACATTGTCGACAAGATATTCCTGAAGCAGGCCACCTGGAACGACTTGTTTACCCGGCATTCGTTCTTCACGCGCGACTACAAGTATTACCTCAGCATCACCGCATCCAGCAAAACCAAGGAAACCGAGTCTGTCTGGTCGGGTCTGGTTGAATCCAAGATTCGGCATATGGTCGGAGCTCTGGACCGGAAACAAACCATCGCAGTGTCCCACCCGTTCCCCAAGGGATTTGAGAGAGTCCACATTATCAGCAGTGAACAGGAGACGGAGGCTGTCAAGAATGGTTCTACCAAGTACCAGGATAAAGGCACTAAGACAGAGACTACCGATGAAATCAAAGACCCTGCCCACCAGGTCGCCGCAGAGAACGGCCTTGAGAAGAACGAGGTGGTCGAGAGCGTCGAGAAGACGCCCGGATATCCCTCGACCATCTACACCACGACCTATTACATTGGACTGGAGCTGAAGCCGCTGGAGCCAGGTATGTTCGCCGTCTTCCCGTCTTGATTCGTCTGACTTTGGCAGGTTCGTCTCGGTCATTGGATATTTCCACCGACGCCCAGATCTTCAAATCAATGTGCACTTCGTGGCCTGGATATCAGCCCGGCATCAACGACCTGGCGATCACCCACGTCCGCAAGTAAGTTTCTCCTCTCCTATGAATTAAAATGGACTCACTCTAACTATCTACCAGCTTTGACCTACCAGATGATGTTTTCGAACCCGGGGAGACCCGACCTACCCGGCCCAAAAAGAAGGTCATCAAGAAGTCCGAAGCAGCCGCCCATAAACGCGGCATTGAACAACTAGACGTAAGTACTTGCCAGATAACCAAGAAATCACTCTGCAGCGAACCACCCCAGACGGAATTCGAACCTGCATATACGGCGTGATACTATCCCGAGTCCTAGGGTCTGGGTATAACTGATATCAACTATTTCACAGGATTCCTCGCAACCAGCAGCGAAGCGACAGGTACCTGTCAACGGAGTATCCAACCAGGTCACCCCTGCCTGAGAACCGAGTTTTCGAACGAAGCTGTACCAACAAACCGTGTCGGGGCCGGTCCCCATCCTTGTCGTGAGCGAAGAAGCGCGACAAACCAATACGCCGTCGAAGTCCCAGATATCTCCGATCGGACGGAAAACATGTAGTAATGATAAGAGAAAAAAGAACAAAAAAATCCTCCCGCTGATTCTGACTGAACATACTGTCGTGATCTAGCGAACTCGCCCAATATGCGATGAAACTATACAACTATGGTCGGGACTTCAAGGTTGGTTTCTATTCCCCTCATTTTTTCTCGCTTATTTTTTTCTTTCATGCCGTCTTCTTCTCGATTCTCATATGCGACCATTACATCGTTCTTTGCCTTTTATTTTAGTTTTTTCTTCCCCGGGCAAACGGATCTACTTAGGCGTCCATGATAATCGTCCAGGAGACACATACACCGCACCTGTGACTCCCCCTCGTTAGTTATTCTTTTCTTTTCTTTTTTTCTTTTTTCTCTCATATCACATTTTTGAGCGGGTGGGTTTTTGGTCTACACTGTACGCAGGTGTACATATCATTTCCCCCATCTGGCTTGTCCAGTTTTAGTTTAGTGTATGTGCCAGTTAAGTTAGGATTAGTCGAATGAAGGTACTCGTTTCCGTGGCCTACGGGTCACAAGAATTGATCTCCTCGAGTAAAAGAACTTCACATCGTTATCTATCTATCTATCTATCAATCTGCCTAACCCCACGCCTCCACTAAATCACATAACGTCGTCTCGCCGCCCACATTCCCCGGGAACACCACGAAGGGGACACCCCGATGTCGCGAGGTTGGCTCGTCGCATCGCCATAGGGGCACGCCGGGCGCAGCCTGTCCGACTATCAGAGCTCGTTTCACGTTTAGGCCTTTCGTGGCTGCGTCGGAGGAGGTGATTCCGCCCTGATGATTTAACATTCGTTGGTGGTTAGTAACAAATCTCATTCTGGAATGTAGGCAACAGCAACAAGCAACAAGCAACAAGCAACAGCGATTCCAAGAACAGCAACAAGGCAGTACAAAGGACTGAGTGGAGAAAATGAACAAACCTTCGCAATCACATATCTCGGCCTCACCTCCACCCCCCGTAACACATCCACCAACGCCTCCGCGACCTTCGAGCCCACACGTAACGACGAAAGCTCGTCGTCGCCGGTAATCAGCTTCCGACTTGTCATGACCAACGTGTTTCTTCCTGCGGACAGGCTTTGCTCTGTGTCGCGCACCACCTGGTCGATTATCGATTTTGTCGTGGTGCTGCTGTTCGAAGAAGACGAAGCCGCGATGAGCTCTTCGACGTTGATTTCGATGATGGCAAGAGAAGAAGCGCCGTGTCGGTCAACCAGGTCTTTCAGCTGGGCGGTTGTCTTGGGCACGTAGGAGCCTGCGAGGATTAGGCCGCCTGTTGTGCGCGGGTTGGGGAGGTGGAGGTCGGTGGCTGAGATTGGGGGTTTCGAGCGGATGCCGAGTCGGGTCGAGACGAAGGCGGCGCCGGTGCGGTAGAGGTAGTGCTTTCCTTGGGCTTCGGCTTTTTTGCTCATGGATCTCATTAGTATAGGTGTATATGGGAGGTACTGTACATATATATACATGTGTAATGGGTAAAACGAGAAAAGGGAGGGAAAGGGCAGGGAAGGGAAGGAAGAGGATATACCTAATAGCAAACCCGCCACGAAAACATGCATATCTGATTCCGCAGCAGCATTAACGACTACGACACCTCCTTTCGGTAGGGCCATCAGTTTCTGAAACACCGCGTCTGGACCACCCGTGCGGATCTCGTCGATAGTGACAGAATGGAGCTGCTGTTTGGGGTCGAACCGTCCGGGAGCCTTTTCAAGGACATAGTCTCGCAGATTCGAGCTCTTGTAGCCGAAAGTACCATCTTGCGCGAACTGCGTCTTACCAGCGGGGACCAAGTTCTCGCCCTCCGCGACGTAGTGCACGTCGTTGATGGTGAAGCGGCCGCCCTGGAAGAAGAAGGGCGCAAGGACCCAGGCGTCGGTCGCGCCGAAGACGGCAGTGGCGACGTCAGCCTCGAGGGGGAAGTGACCGCGTAAGGTACTGTCGCCGCGGAGGACAATATCGACGCTTTGGTTGGTGGCTGTGGCGGCTTGGGAGACGTTCTCGCAGATGGTGCGGATTAGGACTTCGGCGTCTGCGGGGGGCAGGGCGCGCGAGTTGGTGAGGATGAAGAAGCCAGCGGAGGGCTGGCGGAACTCGTCGATCAAGGTGGAAATGTCCCAGACAGTGAGGACGGAAATATCATGGCATGTCTGCGTGCCGGTGGGGTCGTCGTCGAGGACGACGAGACGGTTGAGCTTGGAGTTGGAGAGGATGTGGGAGATCTGGTCCTGGGCGTCGGTGGGGTATTCAGGAGGCAATTGAGAGAGTGTGGGTTGGCGGGGGAGAGTCGGATAATCTTGAGAAGCCATGATGTTTGTGTGTAGATTCGTGTCTTTTGATGTTCAAGACAGGCAAGGGAGAAGAGGTTCAGTAGAGGACAGAGCCGACGATGCGGGGAGCTTCGGAGAGAAAGCCGAGCCCTAAAGATCAGCCCTCGCGGGGAACAGCGAATATATAGAATCAGTGTAAATCGAGCAAATTCCATTATCCAATGCAAAACTCATGCTATCCACATGTCTACCAGCAAACACAATCCATGAAAGAAACACCTTAAGCGCCGTGACATGTGTGGGGAAATATAATGCAACCCGGTCATTATGGTTCAAAGTCAAGTGTGTAGATGCTGGGGTTCAGACAAATCCAAACAAAAAATCAGACGAAGAAAAGGAAAGAAAAAGAGAATGGCCACAGTAGATCCCAAGCTGTCGTTACGCATATCCTCCCTTTTGAAAAACCCTCGGTGAATAACAAAAAGCAAAAGCTGGTTCCTTGCACTCCTCAAGCCTCATACCACGCATTGGTCAAGAGAATGAAAAAAAAAAGGGAAAACACAAAGTAAACGGGAAAGACAAACCACTTATATCCACCCACCCCTGATCAAGTCCGTTAGGGATGGGAAAAAAGCAGACAAAAGAGAGAACTGATTAGACGTCGTCCACGGAAACAAACGGAAAGTATCGACGGACGTGTGTATGTATACCTGGTGCACAATCCAAAAAAGAAATCAACCCACCACGCTGCGGAAGCTCAGGGCTTCGAGAAACGCGCCAAGATCCTCCTTCTGCACTTCGACCACGCAGTGCTCGAAGCTGTCTATCCGGACTCGAGTGTTGGTCTCCTGCACAACCTCCTGGAAGGCGATTCCGAATCGATTCCGAAGGAGATACGTATTACTGCGTGCCTCTTGCTCGTCTTCTGACTCGGACTCGGATTCAGACGATTCCTCTTCTTCGGTTTCTTCTTCTTCGTCCTCATCCTCCTCTCGTGCGGCTTTCTCGGCTGCACGTTTCGCTCGTCGCTCTTCCTTTTCCTTTCTCTTATCCTCTTTCGCTTCCTTCTTCTTCTTGCGCTCTTCGCGACGCTTGTTTAAGGCAGCGTAGTCGATCACGCCGCCACCGCCACCGGTGCCCACCACGATGTAAAGTCCACGGTCTTCGTCCAGTCCAGCCAGCACGAGAGGGGTGCCGGTAGCCCGCTTGCGCCCGACTTTGACGGAATCACCTCGTTCGCGCTCCTGGACCTTGATAGCCTCGGCAATCCATAGTGCCAGCTTGGTCAATGCTCCCGGGTTGGTGAACAGCTTCACATCGGGGCCGTCTTTGACGACAGCGATGCGGAAAGCCCGCAGATGTCGAATCTGATACTTCGAGAGGAGCGACGTGCCGGTGCGCAGGATGGCCCGATGAAGATGCTGAGCCAGCGGAAGCGATTCTAGAAGAAGCGTCGGGGACTCAGACGTGAGGGAAAGAGCATCATATGCGCTCCAAAATCGGGGCAAGAGACTTGCTAGGTCTGACCCGGTCGTTCCGTCGGCATTGTTGGACTCAGCTGCGCTTCGGGATCGCATGCGTTTCGAGTCCCACGAGCCGGGGGCCTCCTCAGGCCCAACCTCTAGTATAGCACTCACGATAACGCCAACGTCTGTGGCGGAGAGACAGGCCTTCCAGCCCCAGCACCGCACAAAACCCCATCCCTCCCGGGAAGCGGCATGTCCAGATGCCTCGGCAGGGACCAGTCCGTTCAATCCGTACATAGGCGCATATTTAAGCAGTCGTTGTCGCAACACCCTTTTCAATTCCATATCCATATGCGTGTAGTTCTGGTGGCACTGGCTCAGACTGATTCCCATCTTTGCCAGCAGCTTGTGGAGTCGTTTCCGGCCGTTCTCGGTCCACACATGAAGTCGTGAGGCTAGGTACGGACTGTGGAGCATACTCTCATAAAGAGACCAGTGTCTAACGAGGATGAACCGGGGCTCCGGGGATAGTCGAATAGCTTTGTCTGTCGGTGACCTGGCGGTGGTGGGGATGACGCCATTGATTTCACCCCGTATATCGCGATCTCGTTCGTAAGGATCAGGAGGATTCAATCGGTGAACTTCATCTCGGAGTATTTGGCGAATCTGTTCACCCCTTTCTCCGCCCCAGCCAGCCAAACCCCCTGATTCCGACGCGTTCGAGATGCCAACACCGGACATTGTACGGCCACTCAACTCCAAGCTAGAAGCGCCAATGATGGCTAGCCAAAGTAGGTCGTTGTCTTCCCGGCCCAGTTCGGATGCAAGGGAGTATACCAAAGAGGATATAGGCTCCGCGTATGACGTACCCGAGGAATAATATTCCCGCAGCACGCCCTCGTGCTTTCGTTTCATCTGGAGCAGCCGCCGTTTCAATGATCGTGCCGAAGGCTGCTTCGGCTGCTTGGGAGAGGGAGATTGTGAAGTTGGGGTGACGGATCGTGACGAATTGGAGGAGTCGTGGCCAATCCTTCGTTTATGGGGAGAGAAAACCATGGAGGATCCCTAGAATAGCAGTATTAGTATGACACTTCATAGAGGTCAGATGGAACCCACCGAATTGCTTCTCCTCCGCTGTCGAGGCGGCCCATCCTCATCTTCAGATTCGTCGTCATCGTCCTCCCTCTGCCACGACTTGCGCTTTTTCGAATCCGAGCTAGACAGGTGTTCGGTCTCCTCTTCACTCGCAGACTCGTCAAGATCCTCTTCCTCATCGTCCACATCTGGCATTTCCAGCAGCGCGCAATATGCTTCTCGTTCCTTCGTCAATTCATCTTCAATATCTCCATCATCGTAAACGACAATGCCGCCCTTCCCCGCGCGAAACGAAGGGGTAATGCGGCCTTTGTCCACGCCGCGCGTATTTCGCCGCAACGAAGTCGTGTCGTTCCCATCCTGTCCTCCACTGGCCTCGCCGCCGAATACATTGGCCAGGTTCCACGGCCGTCGCGCGTCAAACACCCACACCTCTACCCCTCCCATATCTTCAACCTCCTCCTCGGGGTTCCCGAGACACAAGATCTCACTGAGGTCCACTAGGCCCCCAGCACCGAGGCAGATCACCACACCACCGCTTCCGCCGTGGGTGGTCTGCATGGGCTTGACCAGCTCCTCTCCCGCGCGGGCAAGATCTCCATATCCGGCTACGGGCTGGATCTTATGCGGGATGTAGTCGCGTTTGAGAAGGGCCGTGAGGATGCGACAAGCGCAGAGGGCGTCCGGTTCGAGGGCCACGAGAATCAGAACGGGTGGCGAGAGTGGATGATGCGATTGGAGCAGTTGGTGGTAGAGATGCGATATTAGCTGGCGCGGTAGATACATGGCCGGCCAAACCAGGGATGAAGGCAGGAAGGACGAACAAAACGGAGAGAGGGACCAGGGGGATAACCAGATTTTCGAAAGGTAACAATGAAATCAGACAAGGCAAGCCATCCGTAAGGCCCTTCTCCGCAGCGTAAAAAACAAAGCAAGCCCGCAATGCTCAAGTCGGTGATGGTGGAGAGAGAGCAAAAGCAGCCAATTCCGTCGCGCTTCCCCGACGCGTCCAGGCACGTGCGGAGTCCCTTGCCAAGCCTCGAATCATCCACTCGCGATTACTCGCCTGTTGCTTTGGCTTGCAACACTCTTCGTGATCGGTTCGATTGGGATCTTTTACGATTTGCAGACACCGGATAGGAATAATTTTGAGGTCTCTGCGCGGCGACATGTTCTGCAGAATCTTTTGTAACAGGTCCTTTCGATGTGGAGCCTCTCACAGCCTGTCGCGAACCAGACTTCAGTTCGGACACTCTAGGATCGAGTATAACACTTAACTACAAATCTACACTCATGCCCAAAAAAAATTTAAAGAGGAGATCAACGATTATGATATCACAAACGCTACCAAATTACTGAAAATAGAGGCCTATCGCAGCAGTCATTGGTTCATGGAAACCCCCATTAATACCGAATATTTCTTAGGTATGTTGCCGCCAAAATATGTTAATGTTGCAGGGATGTAGGGTAACATCCTATAGTTGTTCTTGCTAATCTCCCATACAAAAAACCAGACTAGTAGCTCTTAGCCTACGCCCTTTCAACAACACAGTCAAAATGGCCCAGTCCTGCTCTTCGGAACCCGGAAAATGGACTAACTATAAAGATCCGGATGTCGCCATGACTCACCTGTGTATATTGCACATACCGTGAAAATAACAATAGAACCCTTTCCTTATTCCTGAATTCTCTCATAACACGAAAAAATTGACCGAAATCTCTCATGATGGCCTCCTTTCCAATCCCAGCGACACACCCCTACACAATCAAAATCTACACATCTTCCCAACTCAGCCAGCAACCGGCCCTAGTGGACGAGCTCAGCGAACTCATCAATGAAAGCTTCCTGGTCCAGGGTAACCACCCACTGGGCCGGGTTGGTCTTCGCCTGGAGCGGCCAGGTCAACTGATCGAGGAACTAGGCCCGTCAAGTTTAACGGCCGTGTGCTTTCACCACGCCGCCAATGCAGATGAAACTACCACCGATGCAACGGGGACACCGGGACAGGTAATTGGCACAGCCAGTATCAAGGCCTGGACGGGTGATAAAATCTGGAACCCTGTTCGACACACTATCGAGTCGGATCTAGATCCGAGCACAGACGACGAGCTAGTAGCCGCTGACGGGGACTTTGAAGCCTCGATTGTTGCTGTGAAGCCAAGCGACGAGTTCCGAGGGAGAGGCATTGCGGATAAATTAGTGGATGCGGCTATTCACAAGTAAGGAGGAACCTGGAGATTCAGATCTGGCCTGAATTTGAATTGCGCACCAGCCTAACCTTATATTGTGGGTCTATTGTCTATCAATTGACTGTTTAGTCTATTAGTACTTTGTGAAATTTGCCAAAGGAGGAGTTGTAGAGAGATGTAAAGACAGAGCCAAATGGTATCAAACGCCAACGCCAGACTCTAATCCGATACTGAAAACATCCTGTACTGCATTAGACCAGGCCGCAGTTACTGTACACCGATGGCAGAAAGGAACAACTACGGGTGCGAATCATGTAAATGCCAACATAGGGAGAAACGAAAATTATATATAATGCATGATGGGGCAATGATCAGATTGATCCACCCAAGAACGACCCTGCCAGCCAGACAGCAGCGCAAGCACCCAAAACTGAAGCACCAATGAATCGCTTCTCCCAGATCGTTTCTTCGGTCATTTTCGCGGGCGTAACATTCTTCTTCTGGATTTGCACAGAGTCGGACGACGGTACGTCGGCGCTGCTCTCATTGCGCTGAGCGAGATATTCCCGATCCCGCGACCGCCATTTCTCGACGAGTCGCGCAATTTCGATAAGATCCTCCTTCAACGATCCCGGGTCGTTCGAATTGGTATTCTCCACTTCGACATTCTGTACGTTGCCGAAGAAATCCACCACGGTCCGTAGACGACCTTCCTGCTCACCACCGGGGAAAAGATCCCACCGCACACCAGGCTGCGAATGGATCTTGGATTCGTCATACGAGTCGAACAGGTCACCCAGCGTGAGTTTGGAGTTGGCGCTGGTCACCTGGGTCTCAAGGAACTCGAGAACGTAGTACGTCCAGCGGTCGATGACAGCAACACCCACATCGTTGTCTGCGTGGTGCGAATACGACGACTGATCCAGCTCGCTCGACCCGGTGGCCACGATGTTGGGCGAGTAGAAATGCGTGTACATGGTGTTGGCCTGGCAGGTATCGATCATGAACAGCAGTTCGTGGTAGCGTTTCTTCTCCCACATCTGCCCGAACGCGTCCGCCAGATCCCACGCCCCAATTTCCTGCGAGTCCTGGAACTTCAAGAACTGGTCGCCGCCATGCCCGGTCATGTAGACCAGCACGTTACTGCCGGCGTCGGACCCCAGGCGTTTGCTGCGCGGCACGTCCTCGTCCAGCCGGTCGGTCAGCAGGCGGATAAAGTTTTCCACCGTCACTTCGTAGCCACGATAGTCCACCTCGATATTTTCTCCATATAGATCCACCGCGCGGTCGGCGTTGCTGTAGACTGTTCCGGGGAAGGCGTTTCGCGGATTGCAGGCCATGTCGTCGGGCAGCATGAGGATGATCTGGGAGTCGGGGATCCCGAGGCGCTTCACGGTACGGTACAAAGAGAGGACATTGGCGAGGTGGCGGTAGTTAAACCAGAATCGCGAGGTCGAGACGAGGACGGCCCAGTTCGAGGTGTGTTCGGAGGAGGCGAGGATCGCAAAGAGGGCGACAACAAACAGGACTCGAATGAGTCCACGACACGGAGACATGGCGAGAGAGTTTTCGGTCAGATCATAATAGAGGTGAATATTGGAGCTGCATGTAAATCGACATGCAGGTAAATGGACAGCAAAAAGAGGATGATAACACAAGAGCAAGAAGCCGAAAGAGGATAGATGGGGTCGGTCTCTAGGGGAGAATGACAGCGGGGATTACCAATCCGAACGGAGTGTCCTCGATTTTGCCGGCGAGCAAAAGCGGCGCCATTTCGGTCCAAATGCGGAAGTGTGAGGCGGTACGGCCGAATCTCCGAGGCCCGAGCTTGGAACGGATGTTCTAGCAAAATTGGGCTTAGACATATAGTGCACGGCCCTCAGGATGCAGGGGGAAGGTCGAAGGACGATGTGATGTCATCATCTCATATAGAATCTGCGGGTTTACTTCGGATCTAGAACGAAGAAAGATGGATCGGAATTACACCGTACACCGTACACTGTACAGTAGTCTCCGGGAGTACGGAAATAACTCCCGTGTCAGCTAGTGATTACTGAGTTGATTGCCATTTGGTCTGCCTCCAGTTGCTGACCGAAATCCTAAAGTTGATTAGTTAAAATCGTTATTACAAGAAATGTATCCCGTATCAGTTCTATCGGCACGCCACAAAGTACCATGGATTATATTCATTATTCGTCAAACATTGATCTATGGCAAAGTGTATCCTCCATCAACCACCAAATCCGCACCCGTAGTATAGCTCGACGCATCCGATGCCAGGTACAAATACGCTCCCTTCAGCTCACCCACCTCACCCTCTCTGCCCATCGGGATCTTATCCTTCCAGACATTCTTGGTGTCTTGCGGCACGAAATTGGAGATTTCCGTAACGATGTATCCCGGTGACACCGAGTTCGCTCTGGCATATCGGACCCACTCTACAGCCAGTGACTTGCACAGATGAATCACCCCGCTCTTAGCAGCATTGTAGGCGCTCTGCAGCTGGGGGAAATTGACAATATGCCCACTCATCGAGGCCGTGGCCACGAAGCTGCCGTAGGTGAAGTTCGTGAGCGGGTTGCCATTGAGGTCGGTGCCCTCCTCCTTTTGCCGGCGCCAGTGGGCAGCAGCGTATTTAGCGCAGTAGAAGGTGCTGTTCAGGTTGATGTCGACGACCTGGCCGTAGTGGTCGAGAGGGCCATCAACCATGGGGCCCTTCGTCCAGGGGACACCGGCATTGGCGATGAGGATGTCGAGGCGGCCGTTGAGGTCCTTTGCACAGGTGTTGACCGCGGATTCAACGGCTGCGGGGTCGGTGGTGTTGACTTTGTAGGCCTTGGCTATATTTATCAGGGTTAGAAATGCACTGTTGCGTAGATTCCAAAAACGCAAGAATTTAAAAAACGTACCCTGCACACCGTATTTAGCAGCAATCTCAGCTGCACGCTCGTGGCATTTGTCATTGGTGTTGTACCACAACGCCACGTTGGCTCCGGCTTCCGCGAGGCCCTGAGCCACGGCAAGGCCAATTCCGGCACCGGCACCGGTGATGATGGCGGTTTTGCCTTTCAGGGAGAAAAGGCCTAGTAGGCTAGAGGGATCGGGAGCCGTAGTGTTGTTATGGACGAAGTGACCGTTTTGGATGGGACTGGTGGCCATGGTGGGTAGAGTTGCCGAGAATTAACCGGGAGAAGGGTATGAGATTAGGGTAGAGTGATATGAAGAAAGATGGATATCATGCTATAGACGAGGGAGCCTGGCCAATTTATACTGATCCACGGAGTCAGGGCTCGTGAGGACCGACGGGCTCGGAGCATGGAGATAGAGGCGGGGGATCTTCGCAATGCGACTCCCTAGATGATGTTTTTCGGGCGAGAAAGTCTCGGTGAGAGACGCTGAAGTGGATAATCATCGTACTCGGCTTTCCTAGAGACCCAAGCCCAACCCCAAGCCCACGCCCACGATGGCCGTGACGCCAGCATACAACCACGCGCATAATTCACCAGTCACGACGCAGTACCAGGCCACAAATGAAGTTGAACTCGTGGAAAATGCCGCAATGAAACGGTGGGCGCATTGCCAACAGCGAGATCCACTCGAATGTGGAACAGGAATGCTGTCCTCCGCGCCTTCTCCGTATTGTAGTCATTGCTTCGGCGGGGACTGTAGGACATTTGTTCCGCGCTAAACAACTGCCTAACTAGTAGTAGTCCGATGAGTGGGAGGAAGGGGCCGCTGGAGGACTCGGCTCGGCGGCTTTCATCTTCCAATGGTTTTTGTGGTAATTGAGCCCGATTTCGTGAGGCTCAACCGAGGCAAGGACTGATCGGGATTCCTCTTGTCCGATATGATTGTGATCAGTCGATCGAGTGATCTCTGAATCGAAGGTGTAAGGTGCAAGAGCGTCGGACGGTCTTAGACCGGAGGTCCCCACCGCGTTTACCCGCACTCGGGCTAAGTGGGGGTCACACCGACTGCCATCTTTTGAATTCTACTCCTTAAGAGAGATCAATTCAAGTCACGCGAATAAATTCGATGGAGTGGTCAATCAGGGCCAGTTTGACTGTCATTGTACATATGACCACAAGGCACGTCCACGTGACGTATAAGCTCTTGCCGGATTTTTTTTTTTTCCCACGGTTGGAGGGTAAAGAAATAAGTTATACATATCAACACATCTTTTCTGAATCCGAATCTGTCACCAGGACACTAGTAGCTAAGATACCGGATTCTGGGAAACGGACTGAGTGAAAAATTAACTCATTAGGGCCACGAAACTCTCATTAACGGAAAAATCCATCTCACATACTTTTATACTGCGTACAGAGTCGAAGGAGATCAAACATCTGCCTCAGGCATCCTATGTATAGCTGATAAGTCAGCAACCGATAGCCTCGGCATCGGATTTCCCCGCAAAATACAAGTCGGCCCCAACAGCTCCTTTCATCTCGATTCTGTATCACTCATCATCTTGATCCAGCTCAGACCTCTCAATCATTATGACTTCAAATGTGACATATCCAGAAATTGCTCAGCGCAAGCAATCGCATCTTGAAGCTCAAATCCCTGCGGAATGGAAGCTCCCCGCATCGATCATTCCCGAAGGGATGCTCTCCATCGCGGACTCCATTACCAATGTGAAAGAATATCAATCCGTCAACGTGCTGAATATCCCCAGAGCGTGTGGTCTTCTTACACATCAGGAGCTAGCTATTACCGAGAACTACGATATTCGGGCTCTTCTGACAATAATAGCCCAAGGAAAGCTCTCTAGCGAGGAGGTTATTACGGCATTTAGTAAGGTATATATTTCATCTCAAGTCCACCGACCCAATGTCTCCAATGGCAACTAAAGAGGAAGCTTGCTAGAGAGCGGCCATTTCCCATCAACTTACGCGCTGCTTGACTGAGCCGCTCTTCGACCGCGCGCTCGCCCAAGCCAAACAACTCGACCAGCACCTCCAACGAACCGGCAAACCGATCGGGCCACTGCACGGCCTTCCTGTCTCTATTAAGGACTCCTTCCACATTAAAGGCGTCGACTCGTCGCTTGGCATTGCCGCTCTGGCGTTCCAGCCTGCCACGGAAAACTCCCCCTTAGTTGACCTCCTCGAGTCCCTGGGTGCTGTGATCATCGCCAAGACCAACATCCCGCAAACCCTGGGCACCCTGGACAGCTGCAACCATCTCTTCGGGCGCACATTGAACCCACTGAACCGAAAGCTCACAGCGGGAGGGAGCTCTGGTGGCGAAGGAGTGCTGGTGGCCATGCGCGGGTCGATGGTCGGCTTCGGCACTGATATTGGAGGTAGTATCCGTGTTCCGGCCATGTGCAATGGGATCTATGGATTCAAGCCTAGTGTCGGGAGAATACCATACCAAGGCCAAGGCGCGGGTCAGATGCCTGGAAAAATGCGCGTATCACTGCAGGCCGTGGCCGGACCGTTGGCACGGTCAGTGGCCGATCTGGGAGCGGTTATGCAGGAGATTGTTCCTCGCGCGGAGCTCTTTGGGGAGGACTGTATCCCTGGACAGTGGAAGGGCAAGTTCCCTATTCAGATGCCAGATTTGAGGCCACAGAATGTGACGATCGGTGTTCTGCGATCGGACGGGCTGGTTGAGCCTTTGCCTCCTATCGCCAACGTTCTGGATGAGGTGGCTCGGGCGCTGGATCGCACCCCTGGCGTCGAGGTGGTCGAGATTCCAGTGCCACCAGCTCTAGTGAAATGCCAGGCCGTGGCAGGGAGATTGATGGGTGTTGATGGGGCTAACGAGATGATGGACCTGCTGGAAAAGACCGGAGAGCCGCTGATTCCCTGGCTCCAGGGACGCACCAAGCGCGGCAAAGAACTAACCTTGACCCAACTAGGTCAGCTACAGGAGCAGCGATCGATCATTGAGCGGGAACTACTGAAGATGTGGACGCTTAACGGTCGCCGCATTGATGCAATCATTCACCCCGTGGCGCCTCATCCGGTCCCCGAGCTCGACCGGTACAACGCCGTCGGGTACACGTCTAGCTTTGTGCTCCTAGACTACCCGGCTGGAGTCATTCCCGTGCGACCATTCAACGAGGGTGACCTCAATAAGGGGAAGGAGATGAAGACCCCCGTGATTGGGAGCTGGGATAAAGTGAATCGCAAGCTATGTATGTTCAGATGTTATACACTTCTTGTGACACCGCTGACTAGAACAGGGGACGAGAAAACCGTTGATCGTCGAGTGTATCTGGACTCGGAGCTGAGCGTCCAGGTCATTACATCAAAACAGCGTGACTACGAGCTCTTCCGAGCCATGGAGATCATCGATCGTGTGGTGCAATCAGAAAGGAATGCTAAGCCGGTCTCGAAGCTGTAAATTACTTTACCATATCAAATCAATCTACGTGGTTTGCATGATAGGGATTTGGTTGTAAGCTTAACTACCTATGTACCTGCGGTTTCTCCCTTCCAAGGAAAATTGATTACTTTACAATCTCCCCTTCAAATGGCTGCCTCCATCAGTCGCCACCACGGCACCATTCAAGTGCGCACCAGCCCGACTGGCCATAAACACCACCAATCCGGCAATATCCTCGGGTCTCCCCAGTCTCTTATTCGGCGACTGGTCCTCCAGCGCACTCAAGCCGCCCTGCTTCTCAATCAGACCATTCGCCATCTTCGACGGGTAGAATCCCGGCGCAATCGCATTGACCGAAATATATCGGGGTCCCAGCTCCAGCGCCAGGTTCTTCGCCAGATGCAGCACTGCCGATTTCGACGCCGAATAACTGAACGTGGCGTTCTCGCCCAGGGTACCGGGGATCAAACCAGCCACGGACCCCGTGATGAGCACGCGCGAGGAATCCTCCTTGGTCGCCTTAACCGACAAAAGCGGCGCGAACCTACACCCACCCAACCCAAGTTAGCAAGCCATCCTCAACTCAATCCAGCCATACGCAGGGAAGAGAGAACATACTTCTGAATGGTATAAAACACTGACTTAACATTCAAATCCATCACCTTCGAAAACATGGCTTCAGGATGAGTCTCGAACTTCTCGCCCCACGTGGCGCCCGCATTCGCAAAGAGAATATCAACATGGTCTGTTGTCTTCTTGACTTCCTCGACGAGTCGATCGAGTTCCGACATGCGGCTGTTATCGGCCGGGACGGCGATGGCGACCGCGCCGGGGCGTTTGTTGGAAAGAGCGTTCAGCGCGCGGACGGCTTCGTCACAGGCGGTCGCTTTGCGGGACGTGATGTAGACTTTCGAGCAGCCTGCTTGGAGGAGTCTGTTTGATTTATCATATTTTGTTAGCGAGAAGGATGTTGATGAGGAAAGGAGGGAATCGGATGCTTTGGATGGGACTGCGCGTTGTAGAAAACACACTGAACATTCCTTGGATTCAAGATCCATGAGAATGACTGAATGAAAAAAGAGCAACTTACCCACTGGCAGCATGCAGGCCCAAACCGCGCGAACCACCCGTCACGACGGCAACTTTGCCATCTAGCGAGAAGAGCGTGTCGAAGTTGGAGAGCTGGACTTGTTCTTCGGCGGACATGGCGTCTGTCAGTTTATTTTTTTTCTCTTTATATTTTAATGTGTGAATGAATGGCTGATGTTCAGTAGAGAGAGAACGGTAGAAGGAGTGGTTTGTTAAAAAGAAAAGACAAGCTACGTAGGCTAAAGCTGAGAGGGGAAGGTGCCGAGGTCCGACTAAGGGGGTAAACCGCGCTAACCCCGCATTTTTTGATTAGATTATTCTTTGTCTGCGTGGGTTGGGTTTAGGCTTTATGCACTTATTTTCCACCATCTTTTTGATGGTGAACAAAGTTATGAAAGACTGGCTAGGTCTTTTAGAATGCGATACTATCACCCCACCACAAAGTGACGAGCTCGGAGGATTATGATGTCATCAGGCTTATAACCGAACCTTTTAACTACGCGGTCACTATTTGAAACATCAAACATTTGAAAGATGTTTCACTTTTGCACTTCCAATTTACAAATAATTAAACAGATGAGACATTGCTGTGTTACTGTATCTCTATGCGATACCACATATCTTCTTGTGAGAAGGTTAGCTATAATGTTGTGCTTTACGGGTTTATAGTAGAAGAAATATAGAAGTCTAGGAAGGATTTTGGAGCTTGGTGTCATGGTATAGATGTGTACAGGGCGTATGAGGATAAGAGTGAACGTAACTTTAGCTGATACTCTAATATTGCTGATTGAAAAATACATTCAAGTGTTTCTAAAAAGGAAAAGTTGGTAAGGTGAGGTTGGGGTGGAATAAGCCCTGTGGAAACATCTAGCTGTACCAGCCGTTGTTCGTCCATTTGACCTAAAGGAAAGAACATTAGCAAAAATCACAGAAAAAGCATCAGATTGATGGGTACATACGTAAGAAGGATTGATCTTCTTCAGATCACCGAGACCCAGGTTACCGGCGTCGATGGCAATCTCCTTCTTGAGGAGCTGGATGGCGCGCTGGACTCCGTCCTCACCGTAGGCGTTGGCGTACATGAAAGGACGACCCACACCGATGGCTTTAATACCCAGAGCAAGCAGCTTAAGAGCATCCACGCCATAGCGAACACCGCCGTCAGCGAAGATATCAATATGGTTGAAGAGGTCGGGGTCTTCCTGGTGGATCTCGAGCGCAACCTCGAGAGGCGAAGGGGAGCCGTCGATCTGGCGACCACCATGGTTGGAGAGGATAACGGCAGGAGCGCCGTGCTTCACAGCGAGACGCACGTCATCGACGGTCTGCAGACCCTTCAAGACGATGGGGAGGGTGGTGAATTTCTGGATCTTCTTGTAGTAGTCCCAGGTAATGTAGGTGTAATCGGTGTTTTGGGAGCCAACGCCGTAGCGGTTAGCACGGAGGCGGTTTCCAGTGGAGGCCGAATCCACGGTGAAAACGATGGCCTTGGAACCGAGCTTCTTAGCGGTGTCGAACAACTCCTTGGTCTGGGTGTCGTTGGAGTTGAGGTAGAGTTGCTGGAAGATGGTCTGCGAGCCGTTGGAGGGCTTGGCAGCCGCGATCTCTTCGAAGTTAAGAGTGGCATAGTGCGAGGGGATGTAGAGGATGTTCTCCTTGTAGGCAGCCTTCACCAGGTTGGCCTCGGCCTCGGGGTGGGCAAGCCCGGCCGACGCACAAGGGCTGATGTAGAAGGGAGCGGAAAAGTTGTGGCCCAGGATGGAGGTGGGGAGGGTAGATTCGACGTTGGTGACATCAACAAGGAACCTCGGTCTGAAGCGGAACCGGCCGTACACCTCCAGGTTGTTGCGGTAGGACCACTCGCCAGAGGCACCGTTGCGGTAGTAAGTGTAGGAAGAGTCGTTCATGTGCCGTCTGGCGGCCCACTCAAAGTCAGGAAGACCCCAAATCTGCTCCAGGTCGGGCAGTTCACCCTCCGGGGTGTTGCCAAGGGCAATCTCGATACTATAGCATGGTTAGATGTATGGACATCATGAACAGAGAGCATGGCCGGCCTACCCAGTATCGGGCTCGTTGAGGAAAGGCCGAGTGGCAAAAGCCGCCTGAATCAGCGGCAGCAAAAAGAGCGAGGAACGCATGGTCAAAGGAGTGACTGGGTTGGATATATCGTAAGGAACGTTATGTGGTGATCTCTACCTCATAGAAGAACGATGACCGGGGAAAGACATAGTAGTTAAATGCACTCTCGCTCCCAGTGACCTCCAGATCGCCCCCCCATTGTTCAATTTCGGGGTTCGTTCTCATCTACCGGCGTGAAACATCACCAATGGGCTTCTCCTGGTGAAATATTGGCATCCTGCTGGTTTCGCTTGGCAGGTAGGTCTAAGAAATCTGCTCATGTCGCAAGTAGTCGCGAGGGCTGCTTGATAATGATGACAAAGAGTCATTGTTAAGGCGGAAGGGTTCCGGAACGAGGTCACTAAGGAAGGAAAGGAAGGGAAGTATAGAAACTAGGGGTCTCTAGTCATTGCCAAAGAGCGTTAGAGCATGGCTGAGTGGCTGTAAATGGCCTCAACGTTATCACTAAGTGGGGACGGGTTAATATATCCCAGATGCCACTGTCGACCTTATTAGTGACGGAGAAGACTTCAGTCAGCTTCAGATGGCAATCGGGCTTATCTCCGGTCTGCATGCCAAGCAGGAGTTTAATATCACGCAGGCTTGGCACAATCTGGGGCGCCACCTGGTGCTGGTAAGGTAAATCCACAACGTCGCAAACCCTAAAAGAACGCAATTGGTGCCCACCGGACTCCGGCCTCATTCCGGATGAAACAGATGCCGTCGAAGAACGGAAAAAACCGAGTACGAGAGATTCCAGACCTGACAGACCCTTGATTAATGGGTCGCATCATTTCCCGCCCCTCGTCGGGTCTCATTATTAGACCCGTTAGGAGAATGGAAAATTTCGTTGATCGTGGCGTCACAATCTTATCTTGATCCGCCGGTCTCGAAGTGACAGCGCACTACGGGATTTACATGTTGTTTACTCCGTACAGGCAGCTCTCTGAACCAGCAGAGCATGCGATGTTCAAAGTGATTTCTGCCTCCGAAAATTTCCGGCTCTGGCCCTAAATGCTGAGAATATTCGTGATCGCAATCCGGTGATTCCGACACTAAATCTCTGTTGGGCTCATTCCATGGTGACCCCCAAATCCTGGACGACCGATTGAAACTGCCAAGAAACATCCCGTCTTTCGGAACGGTTGAATTGGCATTATCTCGGAGAAACCTGGCATCAGATACCTCGCGGTGTGGATCCCTTCCTGGAGAGAGTCCCTGAAGAACGCGACTTTCGTTTCTCCTGCACTGGATGGGCTGTTCGAATTCCTTCTTCTTTTTCCTTTCCAACACTCAGCAGCCCCTTGGCAGACGCCGAAGGTTAAACAGACTTACTCTGCACATCGCATTGCCATGCAAACTCGACACTTTCCTCATAGTAGGGTGGCAATAGTACTAATATTTGAACGAAGGCTAGTCTATGTTAAAATCATCACGATAATTCTGGCCAAACATTATTGCGCGATCTCACATAGCTCCCTGCACTTCGACAACCCGGGATATATCACATCACTCTTGCTTGACCAGCAGTATCACAATTTGCGTCATGACAAATTATGGGAACATGACAAAAGTTGTCGGTTGAGTTTACATTGCAGTTTCTGTCATATGTGCTTTACGTCATCTGCCGTGCGCCACGATGACAGAGCTAAAAGTTACAACAAACATAACAGCAGTTCAATTTGAAATGGACTATAAGACCAATTGGAAATAAACGGTTTACCTTTGTGACTATCACGTTCAGCCAGCTGAGGGGTTGGTTTTATTGGGGTTGCCTCACGTGATACATACACCGACACCACTGAGGGGTTCTTCCCTCCTACAACTGCCTCACGAGAGCCAGTTGCTTGCCTCTGTAGCTAGATCGTCATTCCTCACACAGTCGAGATTCGATCTTGTCTTTCACATCCTTTTTCTTTACGGCAAGAGTACCGATAGACCTTCGCCGTATCGCCCTCCACCATGACGTTCAGCCAGTCCAGCAGTGTTACGCCTGCCCCTCTCGACTCCGCTTGGCCCCCGGCCCACATTTGGGAAACCATGAGCGTAGCAGACCGTGTCAGTTAGCTAAGACAAATACAGAGAGACAGGGCCAGACGCCTTGAAATGGACGCAGCGGAGACTGATCTCCGCCGCAGAAGGCCTCGTGTGGACCCGCAAGATGACGATAATCTCGAGGAAAATCAAGCAGTACTCCCACTTGCGCTCAACTTCCATCAATATTTACTGGATAAAGGAGAACTATCGACGGTCAGCCACCTAGTCACACCCCCATTTCGCGGAAAATACCTCCGCCATAATTTCACTCTGCCTGCTAAGTCACCAATGACACCTTCAGCCCGCCCTCGCCAAACTAGGTCCACCAGGTCCTCGAATAATGAGACAGAGGTTTGCGATAAGTTCAATACAACAGGGTGTTTCTGGGAGGGCTGTAAGAGACGTCATGAGTGTACGGCATGCGGCCTAGGCGAGCATGGCGCCTCGTCCTGTCGCAAGAAGAAATAGCAAGAAAGTACATCCTTAGAGAGATACACCATTGAGACCGACAGATTTGCTTCCGATCTCTTATCCCCAAGCCTTATACCGCAAGGGCAACTATCCCGACCAAACACTACTGTTCAATATCCCGTTTTTAACCTCGAACACCCAAGGTTGCAGCCCTCCGTCACTACTACAGGCACAAAGTTGGTGCAACCTTCTAAGCCACTATCCAGGTGGTCTCGGGCACACTCTCGCTGGCATCCTGACTTACGGTGCCCAGATCGGTTATAGGGGCAAGAAGTATACTCGCTACTCTACCAACCACTACATACACGAACCTGGTGTGATCACAGCCAAAATAACAGAGGATCTCAACCTCGGTCGTATTAGACTAGTCTCTGAGCCGCCCTTTGTGTTACCGCTGGACTAGTCCCCAAGCACGATAGGGGATGGCGCCGCATCCATAACCTATCTTGGCCCCCTGGAGAGGGCCTCAACCAGGGTATACCGGATTCCTGGTCAGCAATTGAATACATCACAATCGATGATATCTATGACCAGATTATACAGACTGGTCCAGGTTGCACAATTACCAAGAGAGATATTAAGGACGCCTTCCGAATAGTCCCTACTGCCGAGGATAACCAGCACCTTCTTGCTTTCCAGTGGTACAATTCCACTTATGTCGAATGTTGCCTTCCTTTCGGCCTCGCAACAGCCCCATTCCTTTTCAACCTCTTCGCGGAGACTCTCCATTGGATACTCCAATGCCTCCTACCGATATTCTACATTAATCATTACCTAGACGATTTTATCGCAATCACTCAGTCTCCCTCAATGTCCGACCCTGTTAATTTCTCTGACGAGGTCTACAACAGAGTTACTGACTATCTACATATCCCTCGTAACACTAAGAAGGACGAACAGGGAACCTGTGTGACAGTTCTAGATATCCAATTAGACTCTACCACAATGGAAGCTCGTCTGCCGCCAGAGAAGTTGTGCTGCGCTACACTGAATGCCGCAGCCTCTCTAAACGTACCGAGTCTTTCTCTTAAGCAAGTAAAGAGTCTTACAGGTTTACTCGCTTTCTGTTCAAGAGTTGTCCGGCTAGGAAGAACAAAGCTACAGTCCCTATATACCTTCTAAACCGTTTTCCCACGTGGGAGAAGTGCGCGCCGCCGTATCCCTTACGAGGTACGTAACGATTTGGAATGGTAGAAGGACTTCTTGTCTCTTTTTAATGGTATACTTCTAATTGACCCTTGCTGCCGCGCTATCACGCATCTCTACACAGATGCTTTTAGTATAGGCCAGGGCCTCTTTTTCTTCTTATCTTAGTCTATATCAGACTGCTGGCTGGCCCATTGCCACTAACTTCATTCACGCAATGCTGCCACACTGGCCCTTGCTCAAGACGCACATGCGTACATTAATACTACCGAAGTAGACGTCATTCTACAAGACCTTCTACTCTTCAGCCACTACTGGCTTTATCATACTCTTGTTATCCACACGGATAGTTTTACAGCCTACAAGGACTAAGTAAAGGCTTCCTTCATAGTCTGCCTAACGCACCTTTGAAGAGCCTACTAATCCTAGCAGCGGCGAGAGACATCCAAATCGTGCCACACTGGCTCCCTTCTGAAGAAAATATATTAGCAGATGCGCTCTCACGTAACAATCTCGAAAATATTGCTTACATTTGCTCTCACTGGCAGGACCTCTCGGTATTGAACCGTCCGCGCGATTCTTTTCACGAATTCCTTAGCTCAACGCGGGCCACCTAAAACTACTCTAGAACGGACTCAGTACCAACACACGTTCCGATTATCTCTCAGTTTAGCGCAATTACGAAAAACATTGCGCACTACAAAACCTACCCGCATGGCCAGCCTCCAGACAATTGTTGACCTCGTAGCTAACCTTACGACTTCTTGGGAATTCCAGCCAAAAGGCTGTTAAGCCCGATACTGCACTTGCCGACCTAGCCGCTCTCCGAGCTTACCATATCGATAACTTCCTTGAGGATAAACTCTTCGACAACAAGCATTTTCGACATCTCATAGATGGCACGAGAAGGCTCAACCCTATCACGAAAGTACGTGTTAAGAAACCGATTTCGCGTGATACCATTACGAAACTATCCGCGGGCCTAGCCACACTACCCTTACAGCCCTTCGAGATAACTGCAAACAATTTAGACGATTTAAACTTCGCAATCACCTGCCGGGTAGCATTTTCTGGGTTCCTCCGTTTCAGAGAATTTACCTATAAAACAGAAGACCTCAGCATACGCTTTATCTTCTTAGCTACAAAGCTAACGCACTCTGACGTCCGATTCTCGTCTACATTCGACTACGCACAAATCACATTTAAGCGCAGCAAGACGGACCGCCGCCATGAAGGAGTACAAATTATACTTGCAAAGACAGGAAACGGAGCCTGTCCGGTTAGTGCGTTTTAGGCGCTACTGTTTCTGGACCCAAAGGAGCCTGACGCCCCGTTATTCTCTTTCTATCGAAGGCTATTCAGCCGCAATAACTTCCTCTCGACATTATCTACTAAGCTAAAAGCACTTGGCATACAGACAGACGGCTACTCGGGCTATAGCTTTCGGAAGGGAGCGGCTCAACATGCACACGACAGTAGGATACTAGATAACCAGATCCAGATACTAGGGAGGTAGACTTCGGAGGCATTCAGGGTGTATTTTACTACGAACGTTTCCGTTCTGTACAAGCTTAACTACCAGTTCCAGACAGGCTCGGTGGCCCCGCTGTCTCTGCTGGTTGTACCACCGTCCCCTCCACCATCCTAGTTTGGCCCGGGTCATTTGGGCCCTATCTGACGCTACGGTCTAAGACCGCAGCGACAGGTGACCCGTTACGGCCAAACTATACTCTTCTTCTCCCTCTTGACTGCGGGAGGTCGCCAATAAACCGACATATTTGTTGCCATCACTATTCTATGTTCAATTCGTCACATTTCCAGCATTTGACATGCCACATACCCTAGTTATGTCCAGGTCTACCCTGCACAATTTCCCCTATTTCGCCGACCACTTTGCCCACACTCGGAGCCATCAACTCCCTCTACAGCAACGTTCTGTCTACCACTAAACTTCTCGTTACTCCATTCGAAATCCGCATGGCTGGGTGTCGGCACCGGATGCGGTCGGGTGCGCAGCGGGCGATCTAGAGATCTTCTTTGACCAGAAATCCAAGATATTCCAGCCATAGAGCGGAAGAACATGCATTGTAATATGCGATTCATTCTTAAAAGGTGGGGAATGTCGGCGAGGGCGGATGGAATAAAATAAGAGGACGACGAGGACGTGATGGAGATAGAAAGCTTGGAGGTTCCTAGCGTACTATATCGAAGACATGTGTTCAAGAACGAACATTGCAATATGCCTGAAGCTTTGGAAATTGTCTTAGGAGGAAGCACAGGGGATCCGGGTGAGAGTTGAAGGGATGAGTTGATAGTACTGGCCAGGAGAAGGTTCTATAGACGAGTCGCCAAGCACTAGATTTCCTGGGCGGTAGAAAGGACGCTACTTGATGAATGTGTAACCTCTCGTGCTTCTTTATAACTAATTATCTAGCCTCTGATTGTATTGTCTAGTTACATGCCAATACAAAAGTACAAGCCCCATCAAGCCCCAGGACTATCGACCACCGGCGCCTCCATTACATACGAAGAAGATACTTTGTCAGCTTCTAATGAATCCTCCAACAGCTGCGGAATATGGTCGTTCAGCCAAAACCTTGTGAGGACAGAAGGTTCAATTTTCGACGACCCAGCGATAAAACCAAGGCATTTATCGGGACCAGCGCTGCACCCGCATCGAAATGGCTGTACCATCTCCCATTCGGTGCTCGGATAGAAGAAGCTCAGTTCATCGCCCACAGCTAGAGGTCGATCCTCTGAAACCCGAACCTCAAATCGGGTCATATCGAAAACCAGGCTCGGATTGCACGAATGGTTGCAATACACGAGGTCGGAGTTGAGCTCGATGCGTGAGTCCTTCCCGTTGGCGACTGATGTGTAGGTGGTATGGTCGACAAAGGTTGCGGTGCTGATTTTGGCAAAGAATGCTCCCGCTGGAAGAGAGATGAGGGAGTAGGCAGATGACTTGTAAGGATGATCGCCTTTAACGACCTGAAGGCGATCAGAATGACTTGGCTGCTTCCAGAATGGAATGAATTCAGACATGGCTGGATTTGATTAGAGGTAGTGCCTGGAAAGTTAGACGTTGAGAGTTGATAGCAGATGGGTGAGGTACAGGGTACGAGGTTTATCTCGATTTAATACTTTTTAGTACTTTGAAGCTGGCAAGAAGAGGGGCGCATGATTCAATTACGTAGTCGAGTGCATGTATGTAGGTGAGCAAACATGCGTGATGCATTTCCGAGATTCTGAAGTGCATGGAATTCAGCTATCCAGCTGAGCCTAAAGCCTTTTTTTTTATTTAAGAACTGCATGACGCAAAATGAATAATTGTCCATACTGGAAGAAAATCTTTCCTAAACAAATGGCTCAAGACTTGTTTCTTTTGTGCACTGAAACCAAATAGAAGGGAGCTGAGTTTGCGTATATTGCGTAGTGATGTGGTTATTCCCGCACTCGTACATACATAGCGATGCTTGTATCTTGTAGAATTAGACCCTTTCGATTGGAGAGATCAGCCAATCAATTTCAGTTTGCTGTGGAATCTTGGTAGATTGTTTGCAAAGTAGGATCTAGATCTCTACAAGCCGGCCGATGTAACAGTCATACATGTGCCTAAGATGCCAGCAGTGTCAAACTATTGTCACCACAATTTCGAGAAGACACGTCATTGGACGGAGAGCTCTACAGCTCATGCAGACTAAAAGCAGATCATGCAGTGTGGTCAGCAAACGCCTAAAACAAGGCAGGCGGGTTGAAACAATTTAAGCGTTCAGAAAAAGAAAATCGTTGCGATAGTCATCGGACTTTGCATGACATAATGCTGACATCGTGCACTTCGTAGAGTAGAAGAGCGAGCGAGAAGAGAGATGCCTAGGTGCTTTACAATAACATCGCAAGTTTGAACGTTGTTTTTCAATTGCTTCCGAAATCATCTGGTTTGAATTGGGTACAATCTTAGCGATATGGGGGAGGCACGGGAATCTAATTGGACACCAGCCGTCAACGAGGCCTGTTCGTTTCCCATATTCAACACTGCTTTTGACGGAGAGGATACACATAGGTCAACCCTGATTGAGCTCACATCGTACCATGAAATCGTCGAGTTCGTCGAAAGAAATGGCATCGAGTTGCCTCAGCTTCTGCAGGTGGCATGGGCATTTCTGCTTAGGTCTTACATAGGGACAGACCGACCCATCTTTGGATATTTCACTGGGCAGCATCCGTCCCCGGAAAGCCACGGAGTACTCTGCGCACTGGATCTGGAAGAAGACAAGGAAATTGTACACCTCGCTCGAAGCATTGTTTGCTGGAATGACGTTCTGCCACGTAAGGAAGTCAAGCGACTGGACACTGCAGTAATCTGGAACTACCTCGATGTCGCTCACTCGGTATGTCAACTCGATCAAACAACAGAGTCATACGCTCACAGCGTGAACAGTCTAGTGTCTGTATTGAGGCTCAGTCTCAAGGCGACGCATGCAGCATTTCTCTGCATTATTGGACTTCATTCCTATCAGAAGAGCAAGCACTTCATGTAGCGAGCATGTTTAGTCAAACTATAGTGGAATTGGTGAAGCAGCCTAGGTTGAGCTCTATCAATCTGTGCACAGCGAAGACCATCAGGCAACTGGATAAATGGAACTCCGGGCCACCGATGAACATAGAAAGCTGTGTCCATGACCTTGTTCTCGAGAAGTGCAAAGAACAGCCCGAAGCACCCGCAGTGTCTGCCTGGGACGGGGAGCTCACGTATCATGACCTTGATAACCTCTCTCATCGGCTAGCTGTTCATCTAGCACACCATGGTGTGGGCCCGGAGAAGTTTGTCGGTCTCTACTTTGAAAAGTCCAAGTGGACCGCAGTGGCTATGTTGGGCGTTATGAGAGCAGGGGGGGCTTTTGCGTTTCTTGACATATCCCTTCCGCGAACTCGCATACAGGGAATGTGCAAAGGGCTGAATGTTGTTCTGATTTTGTCGTCAAGGCACCTGACCGCCGATGTCACGGGACTGGCTCCTCAGGTTGTTCCCGTCGATAATGAACAACTTGACTTGACTCCATCATTGCCGGATTCTTCACAACAATTCAGTTTGCTTGCTAATCCACGAAATGCCCTCTTTGCCCAGTTTACGTCGGGCTCCACCGGCATTCCGAAAGGAGTTGTAATCAATCATTTATCTTATTGCTCAGGACAGACTGCGTTTGCGCATTACGTTGGATTGAATGCCACCAGTCGAGTTCTGCAATTTGCATCGCATGCTTTTGATGCCAGTGTCCAAGAAATTTTAACAACGCTGATTGTTGGTGGATGTATATGTGTGGCATCTGAAAAAGTGCGCAAATGGAATCTCCCGCTGGCAGTCTCCCAATTAAGAGTCAACTTTCTCATATTGACTCCCACTGTGGCTCGACTTTTACAGCCTTCCGACATAGCATCTGTGAAGACGCTCGTGCTAGCTGGAGAGCCTGTGCTTTCGTCCGATATAGCAACATGGCAGTGCCGTGTTCGCCTGGCTAATATGTACGGCCCGGCCGAATGTTGCGTGTCTACCACAGGTTATATAATCACACGTGGCGAGCGAGAATCTGGGATAGTGGGATCAGGAATTGGGGCAAGGTGCTGGATCACTGACGCTCAAGACTACCAGAAGCTTGTCCCCATCGGCGCAGTTGGTGAGCTCCTCATAGAAGGACCGATTCTGGGAAGAGGATACATAGGTGACCCGGACAGGACAAATGCTACCTTTGTCCCTAGCCCCCCCTGGCGATCGGCCTTTCCAGATAATGTGTACGGGAGGATGTATCGCACGGGAGACCTAGCTCAGTATGTGTCACATGGAACATTGAGGATAATTGGTCGCAGGGATGAGCAAGTTAAGCTTCACGGCCAGCGATTAGAGCTGAGCGAGGTTGAGCACCATATGCGTGATGCTTTTGTCGTCAAACAGACGGTAGCTGGCTTGGTGATTCCCGCAGAAAGTGGAGGCATCCCTATCTTAACCGGCTTTATCTTGAGCCCCGAGGATAGTAATGCACCCACTCATGAGGGTATCTTTGCTTCTCCGTGTCAAAAGTTCCGAATATTAGCCCAGGCAGCCATGTCCAAACTGTCCGACCGGCTACCAAGATACATGGTCCCTTCCGTCATGATTCCAACAAAAACAATCCCTACCACCAGAACTGGAAAGACTGATCGAACGCAATTGCGTATCGAGGCTTCGAAATATACTAGAGCCCAACTTGAAGAATTCAGTGGGGTTATGGTAAAGAAACGGACTCCGGTCTCCCAAATGGAAAATTTGCTCCATCGATTAATCCAAGAAGTCTTGGGCGTGAAAGATTTCGGAATGGATGATAACTTTTTCTCCCTTGGTGGGGACTCAGTCCTAGCCATGCGATTGACAAAGATTGCCAGGGACGACACCGGAGTCGACCTTTCAGGAGAAATGATCTTCAGAGCACCCGTCCTGTCAGATCTGGCGAAGCTCATGAGAGGCAGCAAGAATACGGCAAATGTGGCGCCTTTCTCTTTATTGACGAGCCCTGAGTCAAAAGAACACATTCTACAAACAGCATTGAGGATCTGCAATTTATCAGCGGTCCAGGAAATTGAGGATATTTACCCTTGCACCCCACTCCAGGAGGGAATAATGGCCCTTTCCATCACCAGCCCCGTGGCTAAATATGTGAATCGGTCCGTTTTTCAGATCCCACGTGCTATTGATATAGAGAAATTGAAGTATGCATGGACCATGGTCCTCAGCAGAAATCAGGTCTTACGCACACGGATCATTCAGACTGGATCTGATGTGGCATTCCAGGTTGTTGTCCGACATAGCAATTTGTGGCACGACGCAGATAACCTCAAGTCTTACATTGAGCAGGATGAGAGAAAAGGGATACAACTTGGGAGCCCCTTGATCCGCCTCGCACTGATCCTGGATAATGACCGCAGGTACTTGGTTCTGACCATTCATCATACGTTATACGATGGCTGGTCACTCCCTCGAACCTTTCAGCAAGTGGAGAGGGCTTATTACGGGATAATACCTCGCTCGCAGCCATTTAGAATGTTTGTGGATTACTTCCTGAAGATTAACATAGATGAAATCAAGGAATTCTGGCAAAATGAACTGGAGGGCTTTTCAGGACCGTTGTTCCCTCAACCCCCGTCGGGAGATCATACTTACAAGCCAGCTACGCTACATAAAATGAGCCGTTTCATATCCGTACCGCAGGCGACAAAGACACTGAAATATCCGCTTGCAACTATGATAGAACTCTCCTGGGCTCTCACCCTGTCGCAATACTCTGGCACTGACGACATAGTGTTTGGTAGCACACTTGCGGGCCGCAATGTCGCCGTGGGCGGTATCGATGAGATTCTTGGACCAACAATCACCACCATTCCCCGGCGGATAAAACTGGATCGTTCAATGCAGCTTGGAGATGTTCTGCGTTTTATCCAGGAGCGAAATGCCGAGTATTTGAATTTCGGCTACTTGGGTCTCCAAAGAATCGCTGCGCTTGGAGCTGGAGCTGCTACTGCCTGTAGGCTCCAAAGCCTACTAATTATCCAGCCTTTCTATGACGAGGACGCATTGACCATATTCAACAACTGTATGGAAGAACTTTCGACGGAAATCGTGGACAATTACATTCTCGCGCTAGAGGTGAAGCTTGGAAAAGAAGATGCAGTTCGACTGGAAGTGGAATACGATGCGGAGATTATCGCAGATTCGTTCATGAGCAGGATTCTCGAACAGTTCTGTCACAATCTAAATGGCGTTGCGCGAAGCGGGAATAAACTACTCTCGGAGATGGAATCCGTTAATCACACTGATCTCCAGACGCTCCTGACCTGGAACAACCATTTACCAGAAGCAATCAACTGCTGCGTTCATGATATTATCAACAGGAAGTGTTGGTCACAGCCTCAATCTCCAGCTGTCATTGCATGGGATGGAAAGTTATCTTACGAGGAGCTGGAAAGATATTCCACCATGCTCGCTGCGCACCTCCAGGGGTTGAGCGTTCATCCTGACACCTATGTGATGGTATATGTCGGGAAGTCTCTGTGGACTGTAGTTGCGATACTGGCAGTGATGAAAGCAGGAGGTGCTTTTGTGCTTGTTGACCCAGCACAGCCCTTGATGCGACTGCGGGGAATTTGCGAAGATACTCAAGCCAGAATTGTGATTACATATGGGCAGTACATGTCAAAAGCAACTGAGCTGAATCTCCAGATTGTTGAAATTGACAAAGAGTATAACTGGAAATCTGCTGACATGAAGTTGCAGTTGAAGGGACCGGCAGCTTCCCCTGATGATGTTGTTTACGCGGTCTTCACCTCAGGTTCAACCGGTAAACCCAAAGGGGTGGCAATTCAGCATCATGCTTTCATCACTAGTGCTATGGTGCATGGTGGCAAGCAACACATAACCAATCACTCCCGAGTGCTGCAACTGGCATCCTTCACATTTGATGCTTCGATTGCAGAGATTCTGTATCCTCTTGTTCACGGGGGATGTGTTTGTATTCCTTCGGAGTCAGACAGTCGCAATAACCTTGACCAAACAATCAATGACTTCGAAATCACTTGGGCGACATTGACGCCATCTTTAGCACGAGTACTAGATCCACAGAAAGTGAAGACTCTTCGCACACTGGCTCTAGGGGGTGAAGCTATGACAAAGTTGGATGTGACTATGTGGGCGGACCGAGTTCAATTGGTCAATTGCTATGGACCTGCCGAATGCTCTGTTGATGCAACCATTCAGCCGTCTGTCAATCGTGACTCTGATCCTTCAAATATCGGCCGAGGGGCTGCTGCTGTATCCTGGATTATGGACCCAAACAACCCTGAGAGACTCAGGCCAATTGGTGCGCCTGGGGAACTGCTTGTTGAAGGCCCCATTCTTGCGAAAGGCTATCTAGGAGACCCAGACAAGACCTCATCCGCATTTATCCAATATCCAGAATGGTTGCGTCGTTTTAGACACGACAGAGAGGGCCGACTTTACAGAACAGGTGACCTGGTGCAATATAGCGCACAAGCCGATGGCACCTTGCGATATCTTGGACGCATAGATAACCAGGTCAAGCTACGCGGACAGCGAATTGAACTGGGAGAAGTGGAGCAGCATCTGTCGGAGTGCTTTCCCGAAGCAAAGCAGATCGTCGTTGATCTAGTCACGCTGGCAGATCCAGGTGCACATCCTGTTCTGGCTGCCTTTATTCTGCTGAATGATGTTGTATACAGTGAAGATAGCATCATCGTAAGGGCGAGCGCCTCATTCCGGTTGCAGACTGAATCTGCCGAGAGTGCCCTGAAATCACACCTTCCAATCTTTATGATTCCAGCGCTATTTTTGCCCGTGAGCAAGATCCCACTCAGCCCAGCTGGAAAGACAGATCGGCCACAGCTTCGCAAAAGTCTATCCGCCTTATCTAGGAAAGACCTCTGGGCATATTGCTTCTCGGTGCCAGCAAAACGCCATGCTTCCTCCACGGAGGAGTCAGTATTGCAGAAAGCCGTTTCTACTGTCTTAAAAATACCCTTAGACGACATCGGAATGGATGACAACTTCTTCCATCTCGGAGGAGACTCTATTTCGGCGATGAGATTAGTGGGCCTTCTTCGAAAATCCGCAATTACCATCACAGTTGTCGAATTATTCAGCCATCCCCGCCTTGATGATCTCGCTTTGATAGTTCGCCGTGAGGCTAACAGCTCGGCTCCAGTGCCCATTGCTCCCTTTTCCCTTCTTGGAGGCTATACGCGTACAGACCTCATTAACACTGCAGCTCGCGAATGTGGTGTCGACCGAGATGCCATAGAGGACATATACCCATGTACTCCAATGCAGGAGGCGCTTATGGCGTTGAGCATAAAGGACCAAGATGTTTACGTGCTCAAAATGGCTTTTGATCTTCCAAGAAACATTGACCCTGATCGCCTCTATCTCGCTTGGAGAGTTGTTTTCAATGCGAACCCCATTCTTCGTACTCGCATTATTGCGGGTTGTCTCGGTTCAAATGACTCCTTCCAAGTCATACTCCGTGAGAAGCTCCAGTTTTCTGCAGACCTTGCCCCGCTGTGGATTGCGCATGGTCAACCACTCTGCAAGTTCAGCATCTCTCACAATGATGACTGTGTTCAACTGCACCTATGGCTTCACCATTCACTGTACGATGGGTCCTCGCTTTCAAACCTTTTGAAGCAGGCAAGCGAGGCATACAACGGGGCAGAATTGAGTATTCGTCCATTCAATGCGTTCGCAAAGTATGTGCGAGACATTGATACTGCTGCCAGTAAAAGGTTTTGGGCAGGCGAGTTCCAAGATTTGAATGCCACCATGTTTCCACCGATGCAGAAGAGACCAAACATTCCGTTCTCAAGAAAGAGTGTTTCACACAATATTCCTCTCCAACACGCCCTCGAATCAGACTTCACCTTGTCAACATTCATTCATCTTGCGTGCAGCATTGTGCTTGGTCACTATACAGCGAGTGACGACATAGTCTACGGACTTACCTTGTCGGGGCGAAATGCCCCTGTAACAGGAGTTGAAGACCTCACCGGTCCGACAATTGCAACAGTGCCGTTTCGAATTGAGTTGCCAGCTGCATGTACCACGAAAGAATGCCTTTCCCAGATACAGAATCGCCTCACTCGGATGATACCACATGAGCAGACCGGTCTGCAGAAGATACGGCAGATTAATCAGGAGACTACAGCAGCCTGCAATTTTCAATGTCACATTATCATCCAACCAGCTGACGAGAGTCCATCTAAGGATAAGATTTTCAAGGAGCCCCCACTTGAAGAGGACATTTATTCAAACTTCGCTAGCTCTCCCCTTGTGCTGATATTTACACATTCCGCTGATAAAAACAAGTTGAAACTTACTAGTAATTTCGACCTGTCGCACTTGAGCTCCATCGAAGCAGAAGCATTTTCTCATCAGCTGGACCATGTCTTCCAGCAAATTTTCAGAGATCAGAACATCCCCATCAAGGAAATAGACGTCATCAGCCCCGAAGACCTGGCTAGATTGTCGAGCTATAACATGAAAGCACCACAGCGAGTAGATCGACTGATTCATGACTTGGTTTTTGAAAGTTGCCGTATGCAACCAACAAAGATTGCTATCGCCTCATGGGATGGCTTATTTTCATATGAGGAACTGTACGCATCAAGCTCACGGCTGGCTCAACATTTTACTTCTATTGGGATTAGGGCCCACCCAGTAACAGTGATATGCATGGAGAAATCCCGTTGGACAGTGCTAGCCATTCTTGCAGTTCTTCAAACGGGATCAGCTTGTGCACTGATTGATCCTTCACATCCTCGTTCACGAATTCAATCGATAGTTGACCAGTCCAGCGCAAGGTATGCAGTGGTTTCGCCTACAACAAAACATTTGATGGATTCTATTTGCGAGAACGTTGTTACAATATCGCAGTCCTTGTTGGATACTCCGGAACCCGGGAAATCGCCAATTGTGCAAAAGGTAGATCCAATGGATCCTGCTTTCATCATCTTTACCTCAGGCAGCACAGGGACTCCAAAGGGTATCGTTCTGGAGCATCAAAGCATAGCAACCGGTCTGAGGAATCTCCGCGCATGCCTGAATCTTGATAGACCGTCGAGGGTACTTCAATTCTCGTCATATGCCTTTGATGCCAGCTTAATGGAAATACTCGGCAGTCTAACCTCTGGAAGCACTCTTTTTATACCTTCCGATCTCGATCGAACTTCTGGACTGGCTGGATTTATCAATCAACATCAAGTTGACTGGGCATTCATGACTCCATCTGCGTCTAATCTCTTGCTTCCATCAGAAGTGCCTTCTCTCAAAACGTTTGCCTTGGGAGGGGAGCCTCTCACATCAACCCTCGTTGACTGGTGGTCAAGAAACACATCACTGATTAACGTCTATGGTCCGGCTGAGTGCACATTTGCTGCTGCTGTCGGAAAAATCCCAGAGACTGGTTGGCTTCCGGGTACTATAGGCCCGATGGTCAACGGGGCTGGTTGGATCACTACTCCTTCCGATCCAGGCAGACTAGCAGCATGGGGGGCCATCGGAGAGTTGTTGATCGAGGGCCCCATTTTGAGCAGAGAATACATCGCCGATCCAGAGAAGACAGCTGCTAGCTTTGTTCACAACCCACCATGGATCTCTCGCTTCCGTGGCCCCGGCGAAACACGCTTGTATCGCACTGGCGATTTAGTCCAATACACCGATGATGGCCTAATCAAATACGTAGGGCGCAAGGACAGGCAGGTCAAACTCAACGGTCAACGGATTGAGCTTGAAGAGATCGAAAGCCATTTAAGAACCTGCTTTCCGCCACATGCTGCTGTTATAGTCGAGTTGTTCGTTCCTCTACTAGCTAATACTCGGTCGCAACAACTTTGTGCGTTCATCTGCATGACCGGAAGTCGATCAAATGTCTCAAGCATATCGGATGAATGCTCTATACTAGCTTCCCCGGATGAAGCTTTCCACGACCTGAGTCAAAAGGCTAAGCAGCAGTTGTCACTTTCTCTTCCACAATACATGGTCCCCGGAACATATATTCCGTTGAGTTCTGTCCCATTCACTGGCACTGGAAAAACGAACCGGCGTTTGTTGTGTGAACTGGCCGCTTCTCTAGACAGTAATCAGCTCGACAGCTTATCATCTCAAGCACTGCCAATAAAACCGCCAGGCACTGAAATGGAGACTACACTAATCGAGCTTTGGGCCGAGTTGCTAGATATGGCTGTGGACAAGATTGGTGCTAGTGACAGCTTCCTCCACATCGGCGGTGATTCGGTTTTGGCCATGCGATTGACGGCTATTGCACGTCGGCGAGGGTTACTTTTGACAGTTCCAACAATATTTTCTTACCCAGTTCTGTCAGACATGGCTTGTCAGATGACAAAGGCCGATCCTGATCTGAAGGTAAACTTTCAGAAGCCATTTTCACTGCTCAAAGAGAGCGTGGAAGATATTATCGAGGCCGTTAAGCAACAGTGCTCAGTTAAAAGAGAGTTCATAGAGGATGTCTACCCATGCACACCGCTGCAGGAGGGACTCATATCGCTCTCTATAAGAACGCCTGGTGCATATCTCGCTCACTTCAGTTATAGACTTGCCGAAAACGTTGACATTGCTCGATTCCAAAAAGCATGGCAAGACGTTGCCAACGCAAATCCAATTCTGCGAACACGAATCATACAGGCTGGCTCGTTGTTGCAAGTTGTTGTCCGCGAAAAACTGTCTTGGATTTCAATTGATAACGTCGACAGCTATGTTGCGGGTCTGTCAAACAAAGAAATGCATTTAGGCGAGCCAATTCTTCAGTTAGCGACCAATCGGTCCCATCCCGACGGTACTAGGGCATTCGTTCTAGCAATTCATCATGTTCTGTATGATGGATGGTCATTGCCGATGATAATGGACCAGGTTAAACAAGCGTACGAAGATCATTCAGTGCCCACCAGTCAATTCAACAAGTTTATTGGCTATGTCGCACGATCTGATGTGGAGCGAAACAGGGAGTACTGGCGTACACAATTTCAGGGTTCCGACAGCGCAACTTTCCCCCCACTACCATCGTTCGATTATAAGCCTTCCACAGATATGGCAATTAACAAGTCGGTCAGACTGAGGTCCCTTCCTGGATTGACAAATGCCACAATTCTCCAGTTGACATGGGCTCTGTTGATCTCACAGTACTCTGCTCCGACTGATGTCGTTTTCGGATTGACTCTCTCGGGAAGAAACGCCAACCTGGAAGGAATTGAATCTGTGACAGGTCCAACCATAACAACTGTGCCGTTACGATTCCAGTTTAAACCCGAGGAGTCAGCTCTGCAAGGTTTGCTTCGAATGCAGGAACAGATAGTCGCGATGACATCTTTTGAACAATTCGGGCTGCAGAACATTCGTCGCTTAGGAGGTGATGCCGAGGCAGCCTGCCAATTCCAAAATCTGCTTGTAATTCAACCCTCCATGACCAAACGCAATGATGAATTCTGGGTTCCGGTTCAGGAAGCAACGGATGCAGGGTATTTCAGTACATATGCGCTAGAGGTCACTTGTGAGCTTTCTGATACCGAGACAAATATTACCTTTGACTTTGATCAACGGGTGCTGGGGTTACAGCAGGCGGAACGGATGTTGTCTCAGTTTGTTCACCTCGTACAGATGATTCAGAAAGACCCCGGGGCAAGCATCTCCGATGCCAAGTCATTGAATCCTCACGCGCAGACTGAAATTATGCACTGGAACGGGGTGCTACCGGAAGCGATGGAGCGATGCGTACACGAAGGTATTAAGCAACAGTGTCTAAAATCACCAGACGTGTTGGCTGTATGCGCATGGGATGGCAACTTTACCTACAAGGAATTGGATTGTTTGTCACTGAAACTTGCAGTGCATCTCCAAGCCCAAGGAATTGGACCAGAAGTCTTTGTCCCTATCCTGGCCGAGAAAACGCGCTGGGTATCTGTTGCAATTCTTGGAGTGGTCAGAGCTGGTGGAGCAGTTGTTCTTCTTGACCCATCGGTTCCATTCCAGCGCCTGGAGATTATATTCCAGGACGTTGGTGCTCACATCGTCGTGTCTTCGATCGAATGCGCAGATGTCGCCCGTCAATTAGCCCCGACAGTTGTGACAGTTAGCCAGGATCTTTATTCGCATGGGGACAGCGTCGCATCTGGCCTCGTGCAGAAAGTCACGCATTCCAACGCATTGTATGCCATCTTTACATCGGGGTCAACAGGAAAGCCAAAAGGGATTGTGATTGAACATTCTGCGTTCCATACGAGTGGACTTGCGCAGCAAAAGGCAATGTATCTCGATTCAAGCACCAGAACACTTCAGTTCGCTTCCCATATGTTCGATGTCAGTATTGCCGACTATTTATGGACCTTTCTCGCAGGAGGGTGTGTCTGCGTTGCCTCGCAAAGTAGTCTGAGAAATGACTTACCTGGCGTGATGAGAGAGCTTGAAATCAATCGCGTGGACCTGACTCCCTCTGTTGCACGCGTGCTTTGTCCTGAGGAGATACCCACCCTCAAAACGATCTTATTGGGCGGAGAGCCGTTATCGCAACATGATGTACAAACATGGGCTAGCAAAATTCAGCTTGTCAATGGCTATGGGCCCTCCGAATGCTCCGTTTGCTGTGTGCTTGCCGACGTTAATCCGGATTCAGATCCATCACGTATTGGAAAGACGTTTGGGGTTCTGTCCTGGATCGTGGACAAGGATGACCATAATAAACTTGTTCCAATTGGAGCAGTTGGCGAGCTCGTGCTTGAAGGCCATGCTTTAGCGCGGGGATATTTGAATGAGCCCGAAAAAACAGCCGCCGCTTTTATCGAGACGTCACCCCTATGGCATCAGGGAGTGAGGTCGAATTCTCGGCTTTACAAGTCTGGAGATCTAGTGCAGTACAACGCTGATGGGTCTCTCCGATACATTGGTCGGAAGGATACACAAGTGAAGATCCGCGGACAGAGAGTAGAGCTAGGGGAGATTGAACATCAAATCATGCAAACAAGCCCAACCGTGCAAGATGTGGTGGTGGAATTGATCAAGCCAGCACAGAGAGCTGGGACGGTCTTGGCAGCTTTCGTCTTTGACAAGACAAGAGCAGCAAGTGAACATGAGGGAGATGGTGATTCAGCATTATTTCTTTCATCTGATCCCGCTCATCGGGAGCGTTATCAGGAGGCAATGCTGATGCTACAGAAACGGCTTCCATCCTATATGGTACCAGCCATTTTTATTCCGCTGCTTTACATGCCCATATCACCCAGTGGGAAGGCCGATCGACGACTTCTTCGTGGACAGGCAGCAGCACTTTCTAAAGGTGAAATTGAGGCTTATACTGCCGGAAATGTTGCAAAACGTTCTCCACGAGCTCCTGCGGAACGATCCATTCAAGCGGTCGTGGCCGAGGTTCTTCATATTGATTCCTCAGAGATCGGGCTCGATGACGATTTCTTCAGACTGGGGGGTGATTCAATCATTGCGATTCGGTTTGTTGAAAGAGCACGTATGTCTGGATTCAGTTTCAGGGTGACCGATGTCTTCAAATCACCTAAACTATCCGACCTAGTATTACTCATCGAGGACAGCAGGGTTGAGCATGAGTGTTCAAAAGACGCTCTCAACGAGTATCTTGGCTTTTCACGGAAAGAAGATTTCATTCATATGTTGGCTTCCGAGGCTAATTTCACCTTCCATCCGGATGAGATTGTGGACGTCCTTCCCGTCAGTCAGTCGGCTGAGCGCTTTTTGATGCAGCTTCCTGAATATTGGGTTCTGAATCTGGAAGGTCTTGTTGAGCGAAATCAGCTTCAATCCGCCTGCACAGCGCTAGTAGAGCGACACGCAATTCTGCGTACTGTATTTATATCACGAGGACATGCTCTCCTTCAAGTTGTCTTGTCTGGGATCAATACGCACATCCATGACTATGGAACGACCCCGAGCCTTCCGGAATTTGTGGAGAAGCATCGCCGGGAGGACAACATTTCGGCACCAACACTGAACAACCCTGTCACTCAATTCGCAATTGCGGAAGATTCTAACGGCAAAAAGGTTCTGATAGTAAGGCTAAGCCATGCTCAATTTGATGGGTATTGTCTGCACATACTCTGGAAGGATTTGAAACAACTACATGAAGGTGTCAGCTTATCTCCTCCAACGGAGTACTCTGCACACATGAAGCAGTGGATGATCAGCCAGACCGAGGACGCTTTTACCTTCTGGAGAAAGACGCTAGAAGGGTCTACCGTCTCTAGAATCGACAACACCATGTTCCACGGAACGAGTAATCCACAGCAAGACGAGACACAATTCATCACAGCCACTCAGCGCATCTACCCTGAGCAACCTCCTCATGAAATGACTACAGCGACAGTAGTCAAGGCCGCATGGTCATTTTTGCTTGCACGGTTGCTAAACACCCAAGATGTGGTGTTCACGCAGATATCCAACGGCCGTAGCAACGCAACTCCATCGACTCAGGATGTCGTCGGTCCATGTCTGAATTTCATCCCTGTCCGAGCGAAGCTTAAATCCTCATGGACAGCTCTTGACTTAATGCAATTTCTCCAACACCAACACCGAGAAAGTCTTGACTACGAATTGTTGGATTTCCGTCAGATTGTAGAACGCTCTACATGCTGGCCAAGCGGAACAACTCATCAGAGCAACCTGGTGCATCAGAACATCGAGCCGGATCTTCCGTTTCCTTTTGGCGATGCACAAGCGCAGGTGACTTGCTCCTATGAGTGGCCTCGTCCACCGGACGACATACTGATCGAGTCACGGCCTGTGGAGGACGGCGGTTTACAGATTGCTCTGGATACATTGAGTGGAATTTTAAATCAGCAGAATGCAGATTGGGTTGTGGAGAGGCTTTGTCGGATTATCTGTCTTTTTTCGGCATCGCCTGATGAATCTCTTGAAAGGTTGGAGTCTATGTTGCTGGCAAATTGATGTATTGCAATTTTCTCTAGATACTTGGATGATTCTGCTTCAAGCCGTTCATTTCAACTGAAGCACACGAAAGCTACATCAAATTGGCGTTGGCGTTGGGGGTCGTTACCAATTGTCGATTTTGACCGTGCTGGGGGCCGTGATAGTATAATCAGCTACCTGCAATCAAACCGTGTAAACTGTTTTGGTTTACTTTGAGACCACACTTGTTTAAGCCCAAACGCCATGGTGGGTAAGAGGGACATCTCTTTAGCACAGTAGTTCTACGGCTTATCCTTGATCTTCATCCTGAATGCTATATCTGATTCCCAAGTGCTTTGAATGATTTATAATTAATATAGAGCTCAACTGAACTACAGGTTATCCTTTATTGGGAATATTCAAGATATAAATTCAAATTATAGTTATCTAGTCGATAACTTAAATTAAGGAAGCCAGCGTGATAAAACTGTCAATATACCTAGGCCAAGCCTACGCTGTGTCTACTACTACTACTACTACTACTACTACTACTACTACTACTACTACTACTTTGGCGCTGCTACCGTTGATGGTGAAGGTTAGAGCTCTTTAATTGCAGTGAATGCGACCAAACTACTTATGTATGTACAACTTCCTTCCTCCCTCTCACTTCCTCACCTTGTCACCTTTTAGCCTGTCGTTTCAATTGATACACTTCATCAGGTTGATAGAACTTTGCTTGATTGACCACCGCCCTACGTCACCCCCATAACGCCGGTTTATCATCTCCCTCATGGAGATCCCGGTGAGCCAAACCCCAGATTACACTTTTACATTTATGGTAACTGGTTGATCGGTTGTCTAGGACGATCAAGTTCGGACGGTTGGAAGAGCGACCCTGCACATGGAATACAGAACGAGAGTTTGCCCTTGGGGCCTCTCGAGGAGGCTTTGCTTCTCAAAGCGGTCTAGGGTCCTGGCTGGCAGTCCTAGACCGAGCGCGGTATGGCATAATAAGATCTCCCTTATTAACTCTAAGAAACTGGTCACAGGCATAGTCGACTTCAATACGAGCAAATGGGAGGGGGTACGGAACACCATTTGGTCGTTGTGGGGAGACATACCCCTTTAAGAAACTCCTGATGTCTTGTCAATCCCAAGAAGCCGCACAACAGGTGTACTCAGGTCTTATTATCTTCTATGTAAACATATGGTCAATTGATTGTGGATTCTCGCAATGTCAGACGCGCAACATCTTCAAAGCATTGACACCAAGAGATTTATTGCCATAGTTTCTCATGCCGGACATGTAGACCTGCTGCACAAAACTATATCTCGCACCAAGGCGGCAGGGCTAGTGACAACTAAGGCAGAGACTCAACTGCAGGAAACTCAGCTAGCTTTTATGAAGATCATACGGGAGGTTCGCGCGAGAGAGCGCGTTATGCTGACGCGTCATAAGATAACCAAAGCGAAAGGATAACGCATGACACTCCTAGAGATAAGAAAGCTCACAGAGGCCCACGAAAATCACGAGACTATGGGAGCCGACATCGGTATGGGTTGGTTTTGTGCAACAGCTACGTACCAGGCACAACTGGATACGATGATCGGCTCTTGGGCAATATTTGGAGGACTGTTTGGAGCCCTTGCTCCAATTGTGAGGTACTGATCGATATCCATTCATAAGGGCAACATGGCCATTCCGGCCGATGGACCGGAAGCGAGGGGGCCCTGCCCTGATTCTTGATATCGGAAGACCTTGGATATGTCTTGAAACGGTCCCACCTGCGCCTATCGACCTGGCCTGGTGTCTTGAGGGTGAAGGGAAGAAAGAACTAGATCCTAGCAGGGGCTCATTCCGTCGATATCGGCAGAGAGAATCATGTACAGTTATGCTATTGAGAATTGAGCACTTGATTAGGAGTAGAAGAGTCGTGGAATGGAACCCTTGAGCAACGTTTATATCCCCCTTCACGAAGGCCTCGCTTTCCTAATATGGTTTAGCGCAAATGTGACCCGGTTATTGCCTGCTCATCAATTCAAGCATCTCCAACAGGTAACACCGTAGAGATCATACAGCAAAAATGTACTGATAGTATAGAAGTTGAAATGAAATCAAACGGCTTTCTCCCGATCTCTGTTCACGAAACACCCTTCCGAAAGCAAATCATTCTCGATTCTTGTCAGATTGGGCAATGATCACCACCCAACGCAGCAGGCGGTGAAGGAGATGCGTGGATTTGCGCGGATTTGAGCACCTTGCGAGTACAGGCTACCTTGCGGACATAGAGGGAATTATTCGTAATAAAGGAATCTAAGTAGGGGTTGATTGAGTTGGATAGATAAAGGCTCTTGCCCCTTTCTTTGTGAATTTCTGATCGCTTTGTTAAAACTCATCTACTATCTATCACCACTATATATTATTCTGCCACGCCTTACTTACAGCCCTAACTCCGAGATATTTCATCGACCGTTGAACCTCTTCACGGATTCAGAAAAGCAGATCAAGAAAAAGAGAAGCAATATGTGCGGACCCTCCAGGCCTAGCTCCGGAAATCGCATCGCCATCATGTTTCCTTCATCATCATCAGAGGGCCCTACCGGCAACATGGCCCCCTACTCTCTTTTCTTCAAGGACATTGAATCCGGGACAACAGCTGTTTTTCGAATCGATGATGCTACGACGTTAAACCTCTTTCGCCAGTCAAAAGATGTGGATATTAGGATTGAGTAAGTATTTTCCGTTCTTTTACATTGCTATCATTTGGGTCATTCTTTGAAGTGGGGGGCTAATGACTGCTATTAGAAAACACGGCGATCTCACATCCACTTCAAACCTAACTACACCCCCTCTACACCAATTTCTTGTGAGCCCTGAATCAAGAACAGGGCTGCAAGGTACGGACCTCGAAGCACAATTGCCGGAGCGAATGGATTTAGACGTGTCTGATGTCGGCATCGTGGGGAGAAAAGTTACGGTGTCGGTTGGGGGACAAAGAATGGGGATGGGAATTGTGGGGTTTGACTAGACAGCTGGGTATGCTGGCTGATGGGAACAGCTCTGCGAGGTGTTCTGGGTTTGATTTTATCTCTGTGTGTTTTTTAGCCTATGGACTATGCGGGTTTCATTATGTTTTGTGTTATGGTTCATGGTAAGATCGTGTCATTTACTACTGGATAGGATATCAAGCTCCAGCTTTCACGAAATATTTACAACTTCAGCAGCGAGTCCCCCCGGACTCCATTCTTGAAACGATCCTCTGTCGTCTTCCAGTTAATGACCTTCCAGATACCCTCGACATACGAGGCCTTGTTATTGAGATACTGCCAGATATCATCAGCACGGAGCTCAACAAACACGACCAACCCAACACCAAGACGGGGGGATAGAAGAGAAGTAAAGGAAAGTAAAACAAACCTGAAGGTAATACGCATGCTCCCACATATCGACGCCAAACACCGGAGTCCCCTCAGTCACAGGATCCTGATCCTTCGTCGAGACAATCTCCAACCTCTCCTCGCCCGCACTCTTCACCTTGACCAACCATCCCCACCCACTGCCCTGCAGTGTCAACAAGAGACCGGCAAACGCTTCCCGAAACGCCCCAACAGACCCCCACTGCGTCTCGATAGCCGCCTTCAACGATGGAGCGACCTTGTCGATCTCGGTATCCGCGGACCCGTAGGGAGCCAGGTTCTGCCAGAATAGGGAGTGGTTGATGTGTCCGCCGCCGTTGAATTTGATCTTTTGTTGCAGGGAGATGAGCTGGGGGACGTCGCTGGTGGACTGGGCCTTCTCTAGTGCGGAAAGCGCCCCGTTTAGGTTTGTGATGTAGGTTTGGTGGTGCTTTTGGTGGTGGATTTTCATGATTTGGGAGGAGATGGCGGGTTCGAGGGCCTTTTTGTAGGATTTAGTTTCTTGTCAGAATAAAGACGGGACGAATGGACTTACATCGTAGGCGTAGGGAAGGGGAGGAAGAGAGAATTGGTGGGCCATGTTGGGTGGTTGGTTTGATTGCCTGGATGTGTTGAACTGTGATAAAAGATGAGAAGTGAAGTGATCGCTGAGAATGGAGAGGAAAAGGTCAGACAGGCAGACCAGACTAAGAAATATGCTCTCCCAAGGTACTTCGCTTATCGATTAGAAGCGGAAGAGGGGAAGAAGAGGACCTTGGATGCGCGCAATTGAGCACATTTCTGGCCCTCTTATTGGCTCGAGATGAGGATTATGCAATTTCAGAGGGGTGGTGCTTGCAAAGGGGGGTGTATTTCTAAGCGGAGATTCGATGATGTTATTAAAACAATCTGTTGAAGACAGGTAGCTCGCTGGGGAGTGTGATATTCTCTTGTGGGTGATGTAGATAAACGTTGACGGGCACTCGGCGGATGATTTGACTGTAGTAGAAGCCACAGGTATAAGGGGAAGAATGGAATAGAGACTGACAGACACAGTCATTTATTCGAACCCACATTTCAGTTCATCGAAACCCCTCTCGATATCTCCTTGGCCAAATCCCACTCCACCCCGGTGCCAGAATCCCCTTCTCATCCAACATGTCCTTCATGCTCTCATGAAACCTCATCAAGGCATGATTGTTCCAAGAGTAAGTCCCCGCCACTCGATCCGCCAACAAGATATGGGTGCGATAATCCCCATAACTTGCCACCGCACACTCGTCGATCATCTCAGTCATCACCGTCTTTGCTCTTCGCTTGTCTTCCAAGCTAGCCCGATCATAAACGATATTGATAATCAGGTGGATCTCACGAAGAGCAATACAAAACGTAGGAAATATATCGAGTCCATGATCTCGGTGGATGCGAGAGACGATGCCGTATAATTTTCGAATATGGTCTCGTTGCGGCGGACAGATTGGCGAGAAGAAGAGATGGGCGCCACTGTGCTTCCAATTGAGACACTCTAGCGTGTGGGTCTCGGGAACCCTAAATGATACATTGGCCCGCGAGTGGATATAATGAGATTTGGGGAGATCGGAAGGGAGACGAAGACGTGATCCTGGGATTTCAGCGAAGGCGAGTTTGGCCGCAGATAGATTGGTTTGGATGGTTGAGGGGGTACCGTATATGGTTGCTACACGTCTGAGTTATTGATTGGATGTAGAAGATATAATGATTTCATACCGTAGAGCACCCACGAGCAGTCACCACATGGCAGTGTCGACGCATGTTGGCGAATCACTTGCAGTGGGACTTGTCCCTCACCGGTATAAAATTCACTTCGATTCTTCCCCGTCGCAGTGAGCTCCTGAGCGACATGTCGGAGTTGAGGGGAGCCTTCAATTATGTTCGCAAGATCATCCTCTTCTGCGAATGTAACCAAGATAGTAAGATGGTCGGTCTCTGGCATCAGCCACATGCCCATTTTTGTCACGATGCCAAAATTGGATTGCGTGAAGATGCCATCGATGTAGGGCCCGTATCCATACTGGAAAGCCTGCCAGGTCGGATTATCTTGGCCATTGGGGCCGGGCAGAGTGCCCATGCCGGTTCGAAGGACTTCGCCATTTGGAAGAACTACCTAGGTGGGAGTCAGTCTAGATCTTAAATATCATGATTCTTGTCTCACCTCTAATCCGCAATGATTCGCAAAATCTAGGAGCTTTGTTAGGCTTGAATAATAGAGCCAGAGGAGGGCACTCACGATCCGCCATCGGCGTATATCCCATCCCTCGATCCAAGACCGATCCACCGCCGATATTAGGCGTGTCGATCCACAAGGGATATCTCGTCTTCTGAACCTCCTCGTACAGCTTAAAGTAAGAGACCCCCGGCTCAACAAGACAGCAAAACTGCACGGGATCCATTTTCAACACTTTATTCATGCGCTTACCCAGATTGACGACGACGCTTCCGCACACGCGCGGAGCTGCACCTCCATAGCCTAGGTTCCGTCCGATGGAGATCGGCCACAGGGGAATTTCGTATCGGTTGGCCCATTTGACCACCGAGGATACTTCTTCCGTCGAGCTGGGGTATACCGCAGCGGAGCTGACTGTGTCGGTCGGGTCGAGAAGATGGAATGCGTCGTGGGTGTTTCTTCTTTTGCGTTAGAGTTTTGCCGAGTCACGAGTAGCAAAGCCAGGTTGTACGGGTGCTCCATGTACCATCCATTGTTCAAGGATTTGTCATTCAGCTCGACATTTTCTGAACCGACTAGGCATTCAAGTTTTGTGATAACTGCATTGAACTCGGCTCTGCTGATGAACGGCGGTAGGACTGGGAGGTCTTTCCGCGTTGCGTTATTCCGGATACCGTGCTGTTGTCTTTGCACTTAGACTTAGAATTTTCGGCAGCATCTGATAGACGAATGGGGATTCCCGAATGATGCGATTCTGTGAGGAGTGGTACAGTTGGGGATGCTATATTCAGCGCTGGAATCGCAGATGAAGACATGGTGTTGAGGAGATGGAATGATGGGAAAGAAGATAGACCACAGCTAAGTCACCGGCTTATATACAAAAGAGCGGAGGTTCCGCTCTGCTGGCTTTAACAAGCATCCCCAGAGAAAAGATGAAATGATATTTGTTGGCGACTCAAAAAAAAAAAAAAAAAAAAAAAAAAAAAAAAAAAAGGGAAAAAAAAAAAAAAAAAAAAAAAAATATTATTTAAAAAAAAAAAAAAAAATAAAATTAAAAAACCAAATAAATTAAAAAGCACG